ACCCTGTTTTCATCTGTCCACGGCCAGGTGGGTGCAGAGAGACAACAGCCATCTGGGAGACGACTGCAGACGGTGACCAATGCTCTGGGGACAGTGAGGCCGCTGACGTGTGCAGACCCTGGCCGGGGGGAGGTGACTGATGACGCTGTTGGGCAGGGCCCACAGAGCAGGGGGCCGCTGAGCCGAGGTCGGGGGACGGGAAGGAGCCGCCCAAGGGACAGCCGGTGGGCACGTTGTTCCTGCCCCAGGCAGGGGAAGAGCAAGAGCGCAGGCAGAGGCCTGGCAGGGGAAGGAGCCTGACACGTTCAGAGGGCGGCAGAGGGGCCAGCTGGGCCTGGAGCGGAGGCCAGAGACCCCCACCTTCCAGTGGGCGTCCCCCTCGGCACAAGGGGCCCCGCCGGTCCCGAAACCCACCCGCGGCTCAGCCCCTTCTCCGGCGCCCCCGCCCATCACACCGCCACCTTCCCATGAGCTGGTGAGGGAGACCCGCCCATCACACTGCCACCTTGCCCTGAGCTGATGGGGGAGACCCCGCCCATCACACCGCCACCTTCCCCTGAGCTGGTGAGGGAGACCCCCCCCAATCACACCGCCACCTTCCCCCGAGCTGGTGGGGGAGACCCCGCCCTGCTCCGCTGCCCCGACCACGCCGGCTGGGCGGAGGGCGCCCCACAAGCTTCAGGCCTCCTGTCCCCATTCTTTTTTTTTTAATTAAGATGCAACAGTCATACCACAGCCCGCATCCCCTCCAGCGATCAGTTAAAATGAACTCCAGACGACTGGATTAGACTTTGAAGGTGGCAATCGAGATAATGAACACGGAGGATGCGGTGTTGACACAGGCCCTGGTGAGCTACATTATTATTTAACAGGCCTCGCCGAGGCCTCCACGGGGATCAAGGGGCTGAACAAGCAGTTGGGGGGGCGAGCGGAGAGCCCAGAGACGGGCCGGGCCCCACGCACAGGCACCGGCTCCGCAGGGCCGGGGCGGCCACGGAGGCCAGCGGGCCTAATGGGGGCAGCAGCCCAGGGCTGCTCCCGGGAGCCCCCCACCCACACAGCCGGGCCTGCCGGTGTCCCCCCTCCCCGCCCCCAAGCCCCGTCTCCATCAGTCCCGCTCACCTGCCCTGCCCAGACCTCCCCTGCTCCGGCCCCTCCTCCCTCTCTCCTCCCAGGGCCCCCACAGGGCCTGGGCCTGCCCCCACGGGCCTCCCCTCCCTGGGCCAGCGATGACCATCCCGGGCCTGCTCCAAGCTGAGACGAGGTCTCACTCCAGTCCACCCCTCCAGCCCTCTCTCTGCGCGAAGCCCTGCCAATCAGGACCCCTCCTACCCACATCCTCCGTGGCTGTTGACTCAGGGCGCCTGCTACGGGAGCCAGACAGACAGATGCCGGGAAATGAGCAGGGTCCATCCTCGGCCCAGAAGATGTGTTGGTGGAAAAAGCAGTAAGAGATTACAGAAAGACCCAAACAAAGTTTTTGGCGAACGCGGTACTTAACGGATGACACTGCCCGAAACTTACACACGCCAGAGACTGTGGTGGACGGTGCAGCCCAGGGAGGCACCCCTCTGCCCCCCGCAGCCGACCCGGGGCTTCCGAGTGGACTCAGAGGCGGACACCCGGGCCCCCATGCCACCTCCGCCTCCTGGCTGTGTGACTTTGGGCGATCACTGAACCTCTCTGGGCCTCTGTTCACTTACCGGTAAAGTACGAATAATAAAAGTGCTCAGCTCACAGGGTGGTTTGAGGATTGAGTGGGCTAAGACATGTGACACGCTTACCCCAGGCCGGGTCCATGCTAAGCACTCAGCGCGTGTTGGTTATTATTTTACTTTCTGGTGGTGGAGAAACTGCAGAAAGTGCCTCAGTGTCTACAAAATCTCTAAATGAACCCCCCATGTCCTCATATTCGGGCCAGAGATGAGCAACCACACCCAGGACCGCCAGGACCCTCCTGGGCCCCCTGGCGTGGAGGATCTCCAGCCCCCACGGGGCTCCTGGTCCTGGGGGAGGGTCTGGCCCAACATCCTTCCAGGCAGAGGCGTGCCCCGTGGTGAGGATGCGCCTGAGCCCTGGGGACCGGGGAAGCCTGGACAGCAGCCCAGCCCAGCCCAGAGGCCAGTCCTCCGGCCGGGCGCACGGAGCCCCTGGCTGGGTCTGGCGGTCTCTAGCAGCACCCAGATGGCCGTCCCGGAGCCCAGCGCGGAGGTGGGCTGGCCTCCTCTTCTCCGAGCAGTGGCGGAGGGAGGCTCTATTAAGTATGCATGGCGGGCTCCTCGTTACTGTGCAGAGGATGGTGTGTGCTGAAGGCAAACCGCCTGCCCCGCGCCCCCACAAACTTTTCCATTTCCAGGCTCCCTCTCGCCCTGCCGCCGGGCCTCCTCAGATGCCCCTTCCTCCATCCTGCCTCCCCCCACCCAGGGCCCGCCCGCTGCTCCCCGTGGATGCAGAGCAGGACAAGGGCCACACTGACCCCTTCTTAAGAGCGGGGGGCCCAAGCTCATCTTAAATCACCGCAGCCTCGCGCTGGAGCCTGCCGCCCCTCCACCCTGGGGACCGCAGGGGTCCCGGAGCTGAGCTGCAGGGCTGGGCAGGACGGTGGGGCCCCTGGCGAGGAGTGGGATCGGGGGAGGGCAGGCAGGGTCATGCCCGGGCCCTGTCCTTCCCTTGATCCCTCTGTCTCAAGCTCCTGGGACGGCTGTCGGCAGAAGGGGGCCTTCCAGCCAACGAAGCGAGGGGATGGCAGACCCGTGACGCGGACACACACCCCACCCCACCAACACCAGCCACTCCAAAGGAGCAGCTTGACTTCCCAAAGAAACCACACATCCGGCAGGAAGGATGCAAGTTAGGCAGTCACAACACCTAGGCCCTAAGCTGGGCCCCTGCTGCTGCTGCTGCTAAGTCGCTCCAGTCGTGTCCGACTCTGTGCGACCCCATAGACGGCAGCCCACCAGGCTCCCCCGTCCCTGGGATTCTCCAGGCGAGAACACTGGAGTGGGCTGCCATTTCCCCAGGCCCAGGAAAAACCCGGGAAGACACTGGGACTGGCATGGGGACAGCAGGGGTCTGCTTGGGGGGACTGTACTCATCATTCTTCCACCCAAATGCCTTGAGACCCAGGCCCACCAGTGACCCTGAGCGCCCAGGAGCCAGCTCCCCCGGTCAGCTTCCTCCCAGAAGGCTGAGGACCCTGAAGGCAGTGATGGGGCAGGGCTGGGAACAGGGGCCCTCGCCCCCACCCAGCTGCCAGGGAGAAGGAGGACCAGGAAATCCAGAAGCAGAGGAGGCGTGGCTCCTCCCTGGCCCCGCGCAGAGCCCGCCCCCTCTGCCAGGCCCGCCCCAACAGTGAGGCCAAAGGTCCCCGGTGCCACGGTGCAAACCTGAGGGGGGAAGGGCTGTTCAAGCAGCCCCGAAACGGGGGGGGGGGGGGGGGGCAGGCCACGTTTCACCGCGAGCCCCCAGACCTTCTCAAAACCTGATGAGAGCTGCACACCCAAACCCTCTGGTTCCGCCCACAGCACGGCCTCTCACCGCCGTCCAAGGTGCTGGGGGCAAACCCACCCCACCTGCCTTCCCAGCGCCCCAAAGGGCCGCTAACCAAACACCTCCCTGGCCAGGACTGGGCCCCCCGAGCAGCATCTCACACAGAGGCGAGGGGACCCCGGGGAAGGGGCAGGAAAACGTGTGTGCTCACAGGCCCAGCACCGCGAGGCTGAGCCGGGAAGGCGCGGATGTGAAGGCTGAGCCTCAAGCTCCAGCAGAGGCAGGGAGTCAGCACTGGGACCCTGACGCTCAACCCGGGCCTCAGGGCTCACCCTCCCTGGGCTCAGGGTCTCCATCTGCCAAACCAGGACCTGTCCTCCGGGATCCAGCCCAGACGGCCTGGCTGCTGAGGAAGCTGAGGCGGGACCCAGTGGGCGAGGAAAGAAGGTCCTTGCAGGAAGGCAGCAGGGCCAGGCTCAGGCTCCCCCCGGGCCTGGTGGCCAAGCTGGTAACCCAAGCAAACCAAATAACAGGGATCATCACCAAAATACCCCGCGGGGAGCCAGGCAGGATGGAGCCTGGGCTGCGGCGAAGGGGGTGGGCAGGGCTGCTGGTCACCGACAGGAGAGGGTCCAGGCCGAGCCAGAGAGGACCCCCAGACGAGGCCCGCATCGCAGCGGCCGAGGATCGGGCAGCGCTCACGACGGGACGAGGCAGGACCCCGGTGCTGGCCGAGCGCCCCTTCCCCGTGGGGTCCACACTGGCTGAAGAGCCCGGCGCCCCGAGTGCCGGCATCCACACCGGCCGCGCCCTCAGCACAGCCGGGCCCCCAAGTGAGCTGGAGGCAGGAAAGGCAGCCCCAGAGAGTGGGTTTTCAGGCCTCTAGCACGCAGCCAGGGTGTGGCTCCTCACACACTGTGCTCCCTGGGGGCACAGGGACCCCAGCCCCAGCTCCCCGGGGAGCAGCAGACGCGACGGAGGAGTGGGCCCACTGCCAGCAGGGTGGGGACCCTTCCCTCTCGGCAGCCCTGAGGGGGCGTGTCGGGGGAGGCAGGGGCGGCCGCACGGGGGTCCCGCCCACCGCGCGGCCCAGGAAACCCTGACGACCCCAAGATGCCCCTGGGAGCCCAGGGCAACGCCCAGCAGGGTGGGGACCCTTCCCTCTCGGCAGCCCTGAGGGAGCGTGTCGGGGGAGGCAGGGGCGGCCGCACGGGGGTCCCGCCCACCGCGCGGCCCAGAAACCCTGACGACCCCAAGATGCCCCTGGGAGCCCAGGGCAACGCCCAGCAGGGTGGGGACCCTTCCCTCTCGGCAGCCCTGAGGGAGCGTGTCGGGGGAGGCAGGGGCGGCCGCACGGGGGTCCCGCCCACCGCGCGGCCCAGGAAACCCTGACGACCCCAAGATGCCCCTGGGAGCCCAGGGCAGCGCCCGGCAGAGTGTGAGAGGGGTCAGCAGAGGGGACGCCTGGAGACGGGCCCCTGGGGCCACGGGCCGCGAGGCAGGGCCGGTACCTGAGTCTGCAAGCTGGTGGCGTCCAGGACGGTGACCCGGGGCCCACAGCTGGCCCACACAGCCTCCTCCAGGCTCAGCAGGACGCGGACGGGCCCCGGCCCCACAGGCAGGCACACAGGCGGGCTCTCCAGGTCCCAGGGGACACTTCCTGCAGGGAGAGGAAGCCAGCAGGTCAGCGGGGGGGACAGCGGGCAGCAGACAGGTCGGGCTCCCCAATCTTCGGAAACCAGGCCCCCAGGGGGCCCAGCCCAGCTCCAGGCTCCTCCCGGCCCCTGCCCTTGCCCCCTCCAGCTCCTGTTCCCATCTGTGGTGCTCCCCACTCCTCCCTCCTCCTCTCCCCTCTCCTGTGCTTTCACCCCACAGGCACGCCGACTCGCCAGGCCCCATGCTCAGGGCTACGGAGGCAGAAATAAATCAGACACACACCCTGCCCTCAACAAAACTCCCCCTGGCCGGCAAGACCAAAAGGTTAATCAGCAGTTACAACACAAAGTGCCAGGCCCAAGTGGCCGGGCGGGCACAGACGGCCTTGAGCACCATTAACAGGGAAAGAACCAGCTCTGCACGGGGAAATCCAGGAAGGCTTCCTGGACGAGGCAGCATCCAGACAGCCCTGCCAAGAAGGCAGCATGACGTGGTGGGAAGTGTGCCGGACTGGGTTCTGCGAGCAGCTCACCATGGACCTTGAGAGCCTTTCTCGCCTTCTCAAGGCCTCAGTCTCCCCATCTGGAGAATGGGGAGGGTGCCACCAACAGGACTCTCCAAGGACTTTTCAGAGGCCGTAACTTACTGAGACTGTCCTTGCTTCTCAGACCTTCTCACCCACTCCAAGGCACTCTGTCACCTCTACTGAGATCTCAAATGACCTTCCTCCTCCAGAGATGCCACCACCCCAGGTGTGGAAGGAGGAAGTCCTCACAGGCCATCAGCCCCCAGCCCACAATCCCTGAAGAGGGGCAGATGAAGGGACCTGGCCCATTGCCCAGCTGATGCTCAGCTCACCCAAGAACAGACCAAGGATTTCCCCTGGCGTGCGAGCAGTGTCCACTGAGACGGGTTTTACTCTGCAGTCATGCCTGACGCCACACAGAACCCCCCTGGCAGTCCTGTCCTGCCAGGGTGCCAGGTGGGCCAGGAGGCTTGAGCAGGAAGTGGGGCCCACCCCTGAGGGGCGGGCGGTGGAGGGAGGAAGGACGGAGCCTGCCACTGGGCACCAGGGCCCGGCCCCCCAGCGCTCCTCCACCGGGTCCCTGGAAGGGGTGCACGGTAGCCCTGGCGCAGGCCGTCCCTCCGAGCCAGCTGCTGGGCGGCAGGATGGGCACCGCTGTCTGCAGAGGAGCGGGCAGAGCAGGTTCCCCACCACATCCTCCCCTTCTGTGAAACAGGGCCTCCTCTCCCCCTCAGCACCCCCTAAACTCGGAAGACCCCTAGCTCAGCTGAGTCGGGAAACACACACACACACACAGACGCACACCCCATCACCCCTGCCCAACCAACACACGCCGCGTTCTTCCCAGCCGTGAACGCGGGATGCAAGCTGGGCCGGAGTCCTGGCTGCAGCCGCTCAATCTCTGCAGGTTCTTGGACAGGCGATGCCGCTTCCTTACCTCTCACCAGCCTGGGTGGAAGATTCTATTCTTTTCCCTCTTTTACAACTGAGAAAACTGAGGTACAGGGCTGAAAGAACCAGTCCAGACCACCCGGCTAGGCAGGGCCGGCCGCGGGTCAGCCCTGGCCGTTGACTGTCCCTTGCCTCCAGGCGGCCGCCTGCACAAGCGTGCACACCTCACTGGACTCACGCGACGCCAGGGACCCGGGGAGCCCGGGATGTGTGCACAGCCACCCCAGGTGGGGGTGTGCCGGCCAGCCAGGGCCGGAACTCAGCTGACCCTGGTCCCCATTCCCGGCTGCTCTCTCAGGTTCCTAGAGTTTCCAAACATCTCTGGGCCCAGGGCTGGCGTCCAGGAGGGAAGAGGGACCACAGGCGCCCGGGGCCTCCAACGCAGATCGTGGCCCCCCCAGGAAACCGGAGCCACAGACAGGCGGTGCTCTGAGCGCCCCCCAGCGGCCAGGAGCCAGAACGCCCGCACTCGGGCCGGTTAGGAAGGCAGCGGTCAGACAGGCTGGAACCGCGCCCCGGCAGCGGACACGCAAGCTCTGCGCTGGGCGCAGCAACGCCCCCCCGGGCCCTGTACACTCTGCCCTCCCGGGAGCAGCGCCGGCCTGGGGGAGGGGGTACCCTTGAGGGTCACACGTGTCCTGCTGGTATCTCCTAAGAGACCTGGCTTCAGGACAACGATGAACCGATAAAATGTAGTAACGCCAGGGACGGCTGGGAGGGAGGGGACATGCACATGTTTACAGCTGATTCACGTTGTTGTCTGGCAGAAACCAACACGTTATAGTTTCCAATTAAATTAATTAAGCCTCCAATTAAAAATGCTTCTAAAAAATTTAATACTACCAATGTCATTACATCAAAAAGAACACAGGACAGGAATTCCTCGATTCAGGGGCCCAAAGTAGGACCCTGGACAAGAGGCTGTCCCTTGCTGGGCCTCCGTTTTCCCGCCTGCACCCCAAGGGGATGGAATTCTGCTGAGTCAACCATGGCGCCTCCCTGGGTTTGTCTCAGCTCCCTGCGGCGACCCTGCTGGCTCGGCTGGTAAAGAATTCGCCTGCGATGTGGCAGACCTGGGTTCAATCCCTGGGTTGGGAAGATCCCCTGGAGAAGGGAAAGGCCACCCACTCCAGTATTCTGGCCTGGCGAATTCCAGGGACTGCACAGTCCACGGGGTCGCAAAGAGTGGACGTGACTGAGCAACTTTCACCTTCACTTTCACCCTTGGTGGTCAATGGGGTGACAGATGTCACAAGTAGATCACCCTCTCACCCCAGAGTTCTGACCTCTAAGATTCTTCTCAGCCTCCACAGGCCGCATGTCTAAGACTTCAGTCGGGACCAGCGGGCACTCTGGGCAGGGCCAGCCCCCTGCCCACCCCAAGCCTGCTGGGGGGTCCGCCCCTCCCCGCTCTCCCTGCCTCCAGTGACTGTCCACACACAATTCCAGAACAGGCACGCACACCTCCAAAGTCACACCCACCCTGGCACGACAGCCCATTTGTCTGGGCCTGGACCCACGCTCACGTCTAGTGAATGGAGACCAAGGCCCTGTCGCAGCAAAGGCAACTTCGAGCGGCAGCAGTCCCCCCCGCTGCGCGCCGCAGGGCAGAAAGCCCAGCAGGGTCCTCGGGGGTCTGGAGCCAGAAGGGAGGACACACAGAGAAAGTCGCTGAGGTCGAGGGGACCCAGAGGGCAGCCAGTACCCCGGGAGTGAGCGCGACAGTGATGCTGACGGTGGGGAGGGGAACGCACGCCTGTCCCCACACTCCAGGCTGAGCACCTGCGATGGCTGGCCCTGGCACTCACAGCCACCCTGTGCGGAGGGGTGGGATTCGCACCCACTTTACAGGTGGGGAAACTGAGGCCCCGAGAGGAGAAGCAGGAACAAGTCTAGTCTCTCACAGTGGGGACCCGATCCCGACAGCCTGACCCCTCAGCCCCCTCGCCCATCCCATCATCGGGCTCCTCCCAACCCCTCAGCCCCCCTCGCCCATCCCGCCATCGGGCTCCTCCCGACCCCTCAGCCCCCCTCACCCATCCCGTCGTCGGGCTCCTCCCGACCCCTCAGCCCCCCTCGCCCATCCCGTCGTCGGGCTACTCCCGACCCCTCAGCCCCCTCGCCCATCCCGTCATCAGGCTCCTCCGACCCCTCAGCCCCCCTCACCCATCCCACCATCGGGCTCCTCTGGGGGGCAGCTGTGACCCCGCCCCCAGAGGCTAACCAGGGACATTCCTGCAGCCCCACCAGGCCTGGTCAAGTCCCTGTCTCTGCTCGGAGACAGACCAGAAGTGGGGGGAATGGACAGAGGGCATTCAGGCAGCTCTGCCCAAACCCGAGATGGACAGGGACGGGCTCACCTGGCGCCTCATGAACGCATACTTGCTGAGTGAGTGAAGGAAGGAAGGAAGGAAGGAACACAGATAAGCAGAGACCCTGAAGGCAGCAGGCTGCCTGCCACGGCCTCACTGCTTGGACCCCGAGGCCCCTCCAGCTCCGAAAGCCCCGGGCTCCAGGCGGCCCAGTGACCCGAGAGTCCTCACAGTCATCTCACCGCTGCTGGCCACTTCTCTTCAGTCTCAGCTTCGGGGGCCCGCCCCTTAGAGAGGCTTCGCCGACCAGCCCATCCCGGGCACAGAGGGCCAGGCCCTCACGCGACACCCTGCGCCTCCCCTTGGGACCGCCAGCACCACGTATTACCGCCAGCTTCCTGCAGGTTCACTCGACTCATCTACAAACCTGTCTTGTCTCCCACTGTAAGCCGTGAGGGTGGGCTCACATCCGGTTTGCTGGCCACCACATCCACGCGGCCTAATGGGTGCTCGGTAAACATCTGGGGGACAGACGTCTGCAAGGCAGGACAGCTCCTGGAGCACCTCAACTTCCTCCTCCAGGCCAGACGCCACCCCGCTCTGCCCAGAGCAGCCAAAGCCCCCTGAAAGCTGGAGAGGACCTCCAGTCCTGAGGTTCGGGCCTTGGCTCGCCCATGGGGCTCCGCGGAGTCCCTTCCCACCCAGAAAATGAGGGTGTTGGGTCCAATGGTCCCCAGGGGCTCTTCTGGTTCTGAGAAACCCCAGGCTGAAAGTCAGTGCTTAGACCCCAACCCTCAACGGGTTGAACTGTGTCCCCCAAATTCATTCATTGACGCCTCAATCCCTAGCACCTCAGCACACGGCCTTGTTTGCTGGTAGGATTGCTGATGGAACTGGTTAAGATGAGGTCACGCTGGAGGAGGATGGGGGTCTGATTCCAAGGGGTTCTCTGGACACAGGCTCCCCCAAAGAGAGCCCCGCATGAAGATGGGGGTTATGCTGCCACAAGCCAAGGAACCACCTGAAACCAGGAGACGGGCCTGGAACAGACGCGTCCCCGGCGCCTTCATGGAGATCACGGCCCCGCCGGCACCCTGCTCTCAGACTCCAGTCTCCAGATGGCCGTCAGTAAATCAGGCTGCTGAAACCATGCGGCCTGCGGTACGTGGTCCTGGAAGCTCCGGCACACAGATACACCCTGCCCACCTCCTCCCAACCCGCACTCCCAAACTGAAGAGTCAGGAGCCAATGGGGAAAGGCCCAAGGCAGCCCATCTGGGGGCTGGGGGGGCGCAGAGCAGGCCAGGCCGGGCTCCACTCCCGCAGGAGCCAGAGGGTGGCCGTCCCTCCAGAAGCCCTGGTGCAGACTGCCGAAGATCTGAGCCCAGACCGACAATCACACACGGTGTGTCTGACGGTGAAGGGGATCACCTCCCCTCCCTCTACCCCCGTAATTAAAAACTATAAACGCCTTATCAAAAGCTAATTTAAAGTACCAACACAGTGCCAAGTGGCAAAAACAAAAAGCTCAGTACAAATATCTGCTTAAAAGCTGCAACAGGCTGTGATGACGCAGCAATCAGAGGCGGGGCAGGGGGCAGGGGGGCGGGCAGGAAGGCTGAGGCTTCGGCACAGCAGCCTCTGGGGGCGCTGGTCTTGGACCTGCTCCCCTCCACGCCTGCTCCTGTCCTTGGACTGGGAGCTGAACAAGCCGTGAGGTAGGGGACCATAGCCCTCGCATCCCTTCCTGCACCTCAGCATCGGTCTCCGTACGGAGGAGGCCATTCCCGAGGGTCGTGGTGAGAATTAAAAGAACGCGCCACGTCACCCCGTCCTGGAGCTCAGCAGCTCGGACGCCGTCCGCCTTCCCTCCAGACGTCATCGTCTGTGCCATCGACAGCTCGATCGAACAGTGGAGACCGAAGTGCCTGACCCCCCTGGGCACCGCCTGTGCCGGGCGCTAAGCTTTGCCTTCACTGAAATTCTTACCCCCTCCTGTACCTATGAGCAGCAGGTGTTACCATTATCCCCATTTTACAGATGAGGAAACCGAGGCCCACAGGAGCAGCTGCTCACTCGTGGACACGGCTGTCATCAGGGCAGAGCCCAGATGTGAAGCCAGGTCTCCCTGAGCCCAGAGACCCTGTTCCTATGCAGCAGAGTCTCCTACCAATGGGCTGAGCTGTCCATAGGACAGTGAGCGCCCCGTCCCTTTGGGGCCCCCGATGGGGATCAGTCCCCATCAGACCTCCAGTCTCTCCAGCACTTCATTCCCAGACTCTGCTGAGCTGCCTCCTTGGTATGCCTCCCACAGCCTCCCTCGTCCTGGGTCTGGCGCTTGGCCGGGGCCCAGGGTGGCTCCCACCACCCCCAACACCGCATCCTTACCGCTGGTCCGAGGGTAGGCGGCGAGGGTGCCATCCTCCAGGCCGGCCAGCAGGTGGAAGGGGCTGTGTCGCAGGCAGAGCACAGGCTGCAGGCCGGGGCTCCGGCAGGCCGCCAGGCACTGCGTGCCCGTGTCCACGCTGCTATAAAGCAGGACGCTGCGGGGAGAGGCGGTGACTCACTTAGCCCCCGCCCTCCTGGTGAGAGGGCTCCAGCCCCCAGCCCCACCTCCCACCAGCTCAGCCTGCCTCCCACTGTGTGGCCAGGCCACTGTTCAGACTTCTCCACGGGCCTGGGTCGGAGCCCACAGAAGACAGGGGGCTCTGAGCACAGCACAGCTGGGGGGCTGGGAGAACGGTTCCAGGGTCACATCTGAGGGCAAACCCAGCTGACTGTCCCCCTCCAGCTGGCCAGCCTGGACCACTGAGCCTCAGTCCTCTCTGAAAAATGGGGCCGTGCTGCCTACCTCACAGCCACACCGAGGAACAAAGCCCCAGCGTGTGCACTACCTGGATGAACCTTGAAACGTTAGGGGGAATGAGAGAAGGCAGGCACAAAAGGCCGCACACTGTGTGAGTCCATTCGTATGAAGTGAGCAGAAGAGACAAATCCAGACCAATGGATGGGAACAGATTAGTGGTTCCCAGGGGCTGGGGCGGGGAATGTGAGGTGATACAGAGGTTCCAGGGGATGTGACGAGAATGTTATTAAGTAGTGGTGATGGCTACCCATCATGAATGTACTGGGAACCACTGAATTGCATGATTTTAAATGGCTAAAATGATAAATTTTACATAGTTTGAATCTGATCTCATTAAAAGCAAAAAGTGTTCACCAGGCCCCTGGGTTCCGTGAACCCAGACCCGGACAGCATGGAGCCTCTAGTGCCTCCAAGTTGGTTCTAAGTATATTAGCTTTCAGCTCCTCCCCTGGCTGCTCATGCGGGAAATGAGCCCCTGCGAGGCTCACAGCTCCTGGCCCAGGGAGCAGTACACAGCAGGTGTGCATAATGTCCCTGGACTCTACGGCAGGTGCGAGGCACACGGAGACACGAGGATGTGGGGGTGCAGCCCATCTCAGAGTCCTCTTCACAGCCGTCTTCACAGTCCAGTTAACGAGATGAATATTCACCCTCCATCCACATGGCTGGGCCTTCCAGCAGGCCAAGCTTGGGCAGGGGCGGCCCCTGCTGCACAGAAGTGTTTGCTGACTCACCAGCTCCAGGCAGGTCTTACAAGGGGGAGCCCCCTCTGCCAGCAGGTCTCATAGCCTGGGCACACCCCGCACCTCACTTGCCCTGCAAGGCTGGCTGAGGCCGCAGACGGGTGGATGCGGGCAGTGACAGCAAAGGGACCTGAAGTCTTCATGTGTCCCACGCCTGGTGGGCTCCACAGCAGCCCCGCGTGCGGGGGACGGTCACACCACCTCACAGAGGGCCACACGGCCCAGAGAAGCAGCGGACCCACACCCAGCTCCGCCACACAGCGAGGCCAGCGTCGCCCGGGGACCACACTACGGGAGGGGGCTACTGGCACGGAGCTGCCCCTGGAGCGTCCTGGTTAAAGTGTGAGCAGCTCCTGACACTGGCTGGGCATCCCGGCCCCCACTTCCCGCTCCCGGCCCCCGCTTCCTGCTCCCAGCCCCCACTTCCAGTTCCTGGTCCCCACTTCCAGTTCCTGGTCCCCACTTCCCGCTCCTGGCCCCCACTTCCTGCTCCTGGCCCCCACTTCCTGCTCCTGGCCCCCACTTCCTGCTCCGGGCCCCCACTTCCAGTTCCTGGTCCCCACATCCCGCTCCTGGCCCCCACTTCCTGCTCCTGGCCCCCACTTCCTGCTCCTGGCCCCCACTTCCAGTTCCTGGCCCCCACTTCCTGCTCCTGCTCACCACTTCCTGCTCTTGCTCACCACTTCCTGGTCCTGCTCCCCGCTTCCTGCTCCCAGCCCCCCGCTTCCTGCTCCTGGCCCCCGCTTCCTGCTCCTGGCCCCCACTTCCTGTTCCTGGCCCCCACTTCCTGCTCCTGGCCCCCACTTCCAGTTCCTGGCCCCCACTTCCTGCTCCGGGCCCCCACTTCCTGCTCCTGCTCACCACTTCCTGCTCTTGCTCATCACTTCCTGCTCCTGCTCCCCACTTCCTGCTCCTGGCCCCTACCTCCTGCTCCTGGCCCCCACTTCCCACTCTGGGCCCCCACCTCCTGCTCCTGAACCCCACTTCCCACTCCGGGCCCCCACTTCCTGCTCCTGGCCCCCACCTCCCGCTCCCTACCAGGGGCGCCGAATGTTGGGGGTGAGGAGCAAAGCTGGAGGGGCAGAGCCCAGGGTTCCCAGCCCCTCCCCAGCCCGGGCCCCTCACCTGCCGTCCTGGAGCCCGAGGCAGATGATGGGGTGCGCCCCGGCCGAGGCGTCAGCAGCGGGGCAGCCCTCATCCCCGTCTCTGCCGTCGCCCTCCTCTGGCTCTGGAATGTACTCCATGCAGAGCACAGGGGCCGCCAGCGGGAAGGATTTGACCGTGCGGGGTGACGGCCGGTTCAGGGAGAAGATCTCCACATGGCCGCCCGCACCCTCCTGCCCACCTCCGACCTACGGCAGAGGCGAGAGAGGCCGTCAGGTGAGCGCCTCCTGGGCGGACGCAGACGCAGCCCCTGCCTCCCGTGACCCGCCCCGCTGAGCATCTGCTTGTCACGGGGGTTAGGCACCAAGAGAAACATGCCCGCTCCTGCCCACAGGTGTCCTGCGGTCACTGCAGGTCACTTGTTCCCAGCTGCCTCGGCAACAAGTTAGATTCAGGGCCCAAAGAAAATCAAGAAAAGAGCTAAGGTGGACTAGGTACCCAGCCAGCTTTCTATTGCTTTAAGGAAAATTTCAAGCAACAAAGAGCGAGCATACACTCTGCCCTGTCTCCTTCAGTTTTACCTCTGCATTTAGCACATGGTAGACACTCATTGTATCCTTGCTGAATGGATGAAGGGATGGATGGATGATCACAAGGATGGATGGATAGAAGAATGGACGGATGGGACAAAAGACTGGATGAATGGATGGATGAATGATGGATGGATGGATAGAAGGATGGACAGATGATTACAAGGACTTTTGGATGATGGATGGATGGATGGATGAACAGATGGATGGAAGGGAGAGCGACTAGCTGAATGGATGAATGGATGGATGGGTAGATGAACAGATGATTATAACGCTGGATGGATGGATGGATGGATGGAAGGATAACAGATAGATGGGTGGATGGAAGGATAATGGATGGATGGATGAAGATTAATGGATGGATGGAAGGATAGTGGATGGGTAGATACATCATATACTAGACACTGGAGAAACAGTGAAGAAGAAATCACCCTCAGAAGGGACAGTTGGGCTGGACTCTGAAGGGTAAGCCAGAGTTTCCCTGCCTGAATGCCTGAAGACTGACTGGAGGAGTGGTGAGGCTGGAACCTCAGGAAACCTATGGGAGGCCACAGTCTGCACCGCAAGTCACATGAGTAGCACAGCACCGATGTGGATCAAGGCAGGCTCTGCAGAATCCCGGTGCAGAAAGGTGGGCTGGAATCTCTGAGAGAGAAGGGCAGCCTTGCCTCCTGACGCCCGGGGGGGAAGACCTGCCATCCTGATTCTCCGACTGCTCCGTTCATTTCTGTCACAGCACCAAGGCCAGTTGCAAGAATCCTACTCTCTGATCGGTCCCCTGGCTTTCTGCTGTCCCTGCTGAGGTCACACATGCCAGCTCTGAGCACAGAGCCTGCCGCGCAAGTCCCCAGGAAGACCTCGCTGGGTGAAGGTGCGCAAAACGGGGCCCACGGGCTGGCCGCTTTCTCCAGCACCCCTCCCAGGCGCCTGCCCCGAGGCCCCGGCTGGACGTGGGGGTCACTCACCCAGAGGTAGCCCTGTGGAAGGGAGGTGCTGATGGCCGAGAAGCCCAGCAGAGGACAGCTGACGGGACTGTGGACCAGGGCCCCGAGCTGCAGAGACAGACGGCACACGGGTGAGCATCACGGTGCCGGGGATGCTGGCGTCTGGCAGCGCCACCCGGGTCTGGACGTCCGTCAGGGACCGCTGAACCTGCCGGTTCCTGTGTCCCCTTCAGGCCCCCCGTCAGGCACCTGTGGGCAGGGCCAGCAAGGGGCAGGCTCCTCCCAGGCAGCCCCCAGGCACTCCCAGGTGACCTCCGCCCTCCTGGTAGCTTCTGCAGCCTGAATGAAACTCTGGGCCAGCAGAGGGATTTCCAACCTGGGCTTTGTTGAAAACCACGGACGTGCACCGCTCATATTTCATACGTGGGGAAGACAAGGTCCACAGAAAACAAGCAGCTGCCCAAGGCCATGGAGGCGGCATGCACCCTTGCCCTTCCCACACCACCCCCCCCCCAAGAAGCACGGCGGAGGGGGTCCCGGGTAAACATAGCCCCTCCTCAGCCGACCCCGCCAGGACCAGAGGGCCGGTCCGTGGTCCAGGGGCTCCGTCCGCGCGGCGCTGTCACTGAGGACCACTGGCTGCTTACTCCTCAGCATCACAGCCCACAACCCCACGCCAGTGGCCCTCGGGCCTTTTCCTGAACTAAATCTGCCATCCACGTCTCTGGCCAGGATGGCAGTGTGAGGGGAGGGCCTGGCCCTTTCAGGGGCCTTGCTGGAAACTCCAGCCAGAACAAGGAGGAAGCTGGCTGGGGAGCACAGAGCTGCCCGGGGAGGACGCGGCCACCGCGGGGCCTCTGAGCAGGCAGGTGCTGCCCTCTGCTGGTGCCCGTGGCCTGCTCGTCCCGGCCCGCTGGGATGATCTAATGATGAAGTCTCCAAGGGCCACAGGTGACGGGACCCAAAGGGGTCACCTGCCGCAGCCCCCTTGCTGACAGGCTGGCAAACGTGAACTCGGAGGGCAGGGGGACGTGACTGACTGAGGGTCACCCAGCAGGGAACGGCGGAGTCAGGGACGGAATCCTGTTGTGAATCCCAGCCCGGTGCTCTTTTTGGTTAAAACACTACGCGAAGGCCGGGCCGCTGGAGGCCGTGAGCCCCTGGGGGACAGCGTGTGCCGGGCCGGGAGCTCACCCCGGTCTCCTGGGCACCCTCGGGCCCTGCGCCCATCACCTGGTCTCTTGGGGGCCCACAGCCCCCTGAGTGCCTGGCCCTTCCCGCTCCTCTCCTCTTGGATTGATGGGGCAGGGGGTGGGGGGACCGCAGCCTGGCTCGGGTGTTTCCATGGCAACCCCAGCAGGCCAGCCGTCAGCCAGTCAGCAGAGCCTGGGCCGAGACGGGGGCGAAGACTCAAAGGCTCCTTGAACGGCCGGGCTCTGGGTGCAGCCAGTGGGCTCCAGTCCCAGCTCAGCTGCTACCAGCACGCGCGCTCGGTCACTCAGGCATGTCCAACTCTTTGCGACCCCGAGGACTGCACCCCGCCAGGCTCCTCTGTCCAGGGGGATTCTCCAGGCAAGAATACTAGGGTGGGCTGCCATGTCCTCCTGCAGGGGATCTTCCCAACCCAGGGATCCAGCCCACGTCTCAAGTTTCCTGCACTGGCAGGCGGGTCCTTCACCCCAGAGCTCCCTGGGATGTGCTACCAGCTCGGTGACCCCACAGACCAGTTCCTCGTGGTCATGGGGCCCTGGCATCTCAGCAGGACCCGGACTAGAGATGGTGGACCTGACGCCCTTGGCAGGGGCTGGGCCCCCGGCAGCAGTCACTGGTCAGGAGGACTTCTGCTGGGACACGTTAGCACTTCACGGGAGTAACTCCATCAGCCAACAGCACTGTGGGGGAGGGGCAACGGAGGCCCAGAGTTCGGGGACAGGGACCCACCGACGGTAACTCTGGCTGATGGAGGGTGGCGGCCAGCACTGAGGCCCCTTGCCTGGTGTGCTGAGGCCCAAGCAAGCCTGCCTCTGCAGCTCTGGGCTGCAGCCCTCGGCCCCCCGGGATAGCTGTATATGACAGCTGCCTGGAGCGGGCAGCAGCCCGCCCACGCCCCGAGTCCTGAGCCCCTGGCAGGCCTGTCATGGAACCTCAGCCCACAGGGGGAAATGGGTTCGCTGTGAGCCTTCCCCTTGCCCCCCCCCGGTCACCCTCCAGGGACGGGCCTACAGCGCAGATGGAGCCCAAGTCCAAGAAGAACCTCCTACCACCTCAGCAATCAGGCCACCAGAAAACCCCCAAACCACGACACCAGTGGGGCTGAGGGTGCTTTCAGCCCAAAGGCTTCACATGGGGACGACCCCCAGTGACAAGAGGCGGGTAACTCCCGGCTCAGGGGTGGGGGGCGTTCTTTCAGGGAGGCCCTGGGGCAGCGGCCTGTCTGGGACGCCTCCACCCCGGGCGTGACCTGTCAGGGCAGGCCTGTGTCCTGCATTCCCCAGAGGTCCAGCGCCCTGGGGCAGACGGGATGATGCACTCCGTACCCGGAAGTCCTTCTCCATGGGATCTGCTCGGGTCAGGAGAGCTGCAGGCGGGTGGACCGGAATCCGCCCACAGGCTGTGCCCCTGGGGCAAGAGCCGGCAGGACCCCCCGCAGGCAGCCCTTACTAATGGGGTCAGGACTGTAGGCCCACAGAGGCCAGCGATGTCTGAGGGGGAACTGCGCTGGCCATGTGCCAGCCAAGGCCGGGCGAGAGAGGGGTGGGGAGGAGCAGATCAGGCAACGATCAGGGCACTCTCCTTCCCAGGGCCGTGAGCAAGTGATGGCCCCTGGATCTCCATCTCAGGGTGGCTGGGGATCACGGAGTCCATCCCCAGGAACGGCCCAGGGCGGAGCCCAGCACAGACAGGTACCAGAAGGACCTGACCCTTGTGGCCAACACTCCGGTCAGTTCAGTGCAGTCGCTCAGTCATGTCCGACTCTTTGCCACCCCATGGACTGCAGCATGCCAGGCCTCCCCATCCATCACCAGCTCTCGGAGTTTACTCAAACTCATGTCCATCGAGTCAGTGATGCCATCCAACCATCTCATTCTCTGTCGTCCCCTTCTCCTCCCACCTTCAATCTTTCCCAGCTTCAGGGCCTTTTCCAATGAGTCAGTTCTTCGCATCAGGTGGCCACAGTATTGGAGCTTCAGCTTCAGCCCTTCCAATGAATATTCAGGACTGATCTCCTTTAGGATGGACTGGTTGGATCTCCTTGCAGTCCAAGGGACTCTTAAGAGTCTTCTCCAACACCACAGTTCAATAGCATCAATTCTTCGGCGTTCAGCTTTCTTTATAGTCCAAGTCTCACATCCATACATGACATGTGGTTGTCAAGACTAAAGAACTCAAGGTAACGTTGTGGTCGTCTTGATTGTTATTAGTATCACCGCTACATGACTGAGCGACTCGGCACAGCACAGCGTTGTGGCTACTGTCCCCCAAGCACGGGCCAGGAGTCAGGCTCACTGTGAGGAACCTGATTCACTGAACCCCTAAATCAGGCCACCGCGCAGGGCCCAGCACCCCACTGAGCAAAAGCCAAAGACCCGCCAAGTCCTTCGTCTCCTTCAGCCCCAGCCCCCACCTTCTCACCAGTTCAGCCAGTCCGAGCCCAGAGCACTGCCCACACCTGTCCCCAAGTCCCCCCTGCCCACTGCCTCCACCAGGGCCAGGACCAGGGGGAGGGGAGCGGGATGCTCACCCCGGGGGCACCCCTTCAGCGGGGGATGCGATACTCAGACATCAAGAAAAGGTTTCAACATAATTTCTTACAATAAAAATTTAGCGCACACACACACACAAAATCAATGGTGAACAATTACTAAGAGCTGAAATAAAGACAGGACCAGATGCTGCCTTTCCCTAATCCTGGCTCCTTATTCACTAAAAAAAGAAAAAAAAAAAAGGCAGGCAAGCCAAGCCCACAGTGGGCTGGTCTGACTTTTTTCTTTAACGTGAAGTTGCTCAGTCGTGTCTGACTCTTTGCGATCCCATGGACAGTAGCCTGCCCCAGGCTCCTCCGTCCATGGGGTTTTCTAAGCAAGAGTACTGGAGTGGGTTGCCATTTCCTTCTCCAGGGAATCTTTCCAACCCAGGGATCGAACCCGGGTCTCCCGCATTGTAGACAGACGCTTTACCGTCTGAGCCACAGTAGTAAAGAATCACTTTAACGTAAAACATGTTCTTTAAGCGTTGCAATAAAACATCACTTACTCTGACGATCAGTGCCTCACTCACCTCCCCACAGCCACCCTGGTCTCCGTTGACCCTGGCCTCCCTCCACCTGCACCAAGTCTCGCCCCGTCTCAGCGGGACCCTGGTGCCAAGCTCTGCGAAGGTCCCAGCCTCCCATCCTGGCCCCTCCGGGTCCGCAGTTGCCTCCTGCACACCGGCCGGAAGCGTCAGATGACCCTTCCAAAAGGCAAACCAGGTCCCGCTGGTCCCTTGCTTGGAGCCACGCTTGGTTTTTCCTTGCTCTGAGGATGACATCCAAACCCGATGCGGCCTGCAAGGCCAGCTGAACCAGCTCACCCACTGTCGGGTCTCAGAGCCCAGCCTTCCCTGCTGGCTCCCGGAGCCACAGCCACGCCAGCTGCCCCGATCGCAGGCTTGTGTGTCGGTTTGTTTGATTTGAATATCCTCCTGCTGGGCCCTCCTGTGGTTGGATCCTCCTCACCATTAGGGGCTCAGTTTATATGCCACCTCCTCTGAGAGTCCCCCTCTGACCCCCTAACTACGTGGCCCCAGGTCTGCATTCACTGTCTCTGATTTATTCTCTATAGCACGCAGCACTCCTTTCTCTTTGCCCCTGTTTGCTGAGGGGGTGGGTGGGAGGTGGTGGTAACTGCCTGCCTCTCTCGTCTAGACTGAGAGCTGCAAGAGGGCAGGAACCTTGCGTGTTTAGGTCGCCACCATATTCCCAGAGTGGGCACAAGGCCTGGCACACAGTACATCCTCAAAAAAATTATATGCAGAACAGATGAGCACGCGAATGGACGGACTGGCGTCCCAAGGGCACATTCCTTCAGCTGTTCAGAGCCCGGATCCACAGTCCAGTTTGTCTCTTGGGGATTAATCCGGTGCCAAGGTCCCAGGCTTGCTCTCCCCTGCCCGGAGCTCAGACGACCTCACCTCCTTGGGAGGAGGATGGACGAGCACTTCTCCAGACGGACGGCTGAGCTCAGCCAGGGTCCCGGGCAAGGAGGCACCAGAGCTGAGCGTCCCTGGGCTTACAGCCGGGGTGCAGGCGTCAGGGAGCCAGATTCCTATTTCTCCTCTCACCCTCACCGGCCATGACATTTAAAAAAAATCATGTCACCTGAGCCTTGACCTGCGAAGGAGACCTAGAGACATCCACTTGTGGGTTCTTATAAATAATAAAACAAGCGAGTGAGGGCAAAGCACTGAGGGGGTGACGGCGGTGGAGCCGAAGCCGGCTGCCCCGGCAACGTCCGAAGAGGGGAAACCATTCCAGTCTGTTTGCTGAGCGGGCGTCACGCCATCAGCTGACGGATCGCCGCTGTCTGTTAGCTCAGAACAACGGAACTGTCGGCTCCCTGACCCACAGAGGTCGCCTGTCCCCTTCTCTGGGGGGAACGCCGACCCGAGACCACCCCCCTGGGCCCGACGTGGAGAAGCTGGGGCCGGCGGCTGGGCCTCCCCTGCCCTGGGCGCCCCCGGGCACACTCACCTGCAGGCTGAGGCCCCTGGAGGAGAAGGCAGGGACGCAGCAGGCCAGGATCGGACACCAGAACGGGGCTCGGCTCTGCTTGTCTTCATCCGGACACAGCCAGCCAGGCTGGTTCTCCTCCCCTGCGCGAAAGGAAGGGGCGGGGAGGGCCCGTTAGAGACGGGGCGGGGACGAAGTGGTCCACAGGGCCTGGGAGCCCGCGTCCACGTGCTGACCCTGCGGGCTGGACGCTCACTGCTGCCCCTGCAGCCAGCCGGGCTGGTTCTCCTCCCCTGCGCAAGAGGAAGGGGCGGGGACGAAGTGGTCCACGGGGCCTCGGAGCCCACGTCCACGTGCTGACCCTGCCGGCTGGACGCTCACTGCTGCCCCTGCAGCCAGCCCGGCTGGTTCTCCTCCCCTGCATGAAAGGAAGAGGGCAGGGAGGGCCCGTTAGAGACGGGGGACGAAGTGGTCCACGGCGGGCCCCGAGACCACGCCCACGTGCCGACCCTGCCGGCTGGACGCTCACTGCTGCCCCTACAGCCCGCCATCCCCACGGCAGCCAGCGCCATCCTGCTGAGCCTCTGCCAGCCCTCGTGGTTCCCCCCTTCCGCTGGGTCCTGGTCCACTTGGAATGAAGTCCAGACTCTTCCCAGAAGAGCCGTGAGGACCCTCCTTCCCTGACAGCCTCACCCCTGGCAGCAGGCTCCAGCATGCTAGGCTCTCCTCTCCGGCTGAAACGGGACGAGCCCGCAGGAGGGCGTCCCTCTGCCCTTTTCCCTCTGCCCTCCACCCTCTCCAGGGCGGGCTCCGCTCCTCGCTGAGGCTGAGGCTGAGCCCCCGCCCTCTCAGAAAGGCCTCAACTGACCATCGCCCCCTTCCCCCACCTCCATCGTTTTCTGTCCCAGCCCTGCGGGTGTGTACAATGGCCCTGACCACAATTTCTGGCTCTTCTATTAGCAGGCTTGCGTCTTTTTCCCTCTGTGCGCGTGTGTGCACAGCCGCACAAGTACACGTGTGTATATGCGTGAATGCACGTGCACGTGTGATTCATGGCCTCGTGTGTCCACTGGCCTCCCACTACGCCCGTTTCCCGTGAAGGCTGAAGCTTCCCACACCTCCTCCTCCGCCCCACTCCATCCTTCACACAGCACTGCACGCACAGCGGGCTCTCATGCCCTTGTGTGGCATGAACGAAGCTTGTTCCCCGAGCCCCATTTTCTGGATTAGTCAAATCAGAACGATGGCCTCCAAGAGTAGCAACCTCCCCAAGCTCCACTCGGCACAGAGCAAGCACTGCAGAAATACGGCCAACTGGGAAAGGCAGGAAGCTTTGTTTTCACAAGATGAATAAATCCCAGAGATCGTCTGCACGGCCTGCAGCTAACAGCTCTGTATTACGTGCTTTGGGCTTCCCAGGTGGCGCTAGTGGTAAAGAACCCGCCTGTCAATGCAGGAGATGTAAGCGACGCGAATTCAATCCCTGGGTGGGGAAGATCCCCTGGAGCAGGGCATGGCAACCCACTCTAGTATTCTCGCCTGGAGAATCCCACGGACAGAGGAGCCTGGAAGGCTACAATCCACGGGGTTTCAGAGAGTCGGACACGGCTGAAGCACCTGAGCACGCAGTGTATGCTTTAACATTTGCTAAGAGGACAGGTCTTATGCTAAGTGTTCTTATCACACACACACAAGTAACAATAATAAGGCAGAGGGCAGGAGGGAAGTTTGCAGCGGACGCATTTATTTAGGGCATAGACTGCGGCGATGGAGTTCACGAGGTATGCTTACCTCTGAACTCATCCAGTTGTAGGCATGAAATATGCACGGCCTTTGTACATCAATCAGACCGCAGTGAAGGGGCTTTAAGATGGCCATTTCCACTGGAGAAAGGTGATGTCTGTGTGCAGGTCGCAACACGAGCTGGAACCAGGGGGCAGGGGCCGAGGCTCTCTGAGAGACGAGGACGTTCACAAAAGCGGGGATTCACGAACAACCAGCCCCGGCTCCGGCAGAGGCTACGGCGCCTGCCCACCCCCTCGAGCAGCGGAGTCTCTGGGCAAAGAGCTGCCTCCCTGAGCAGGCCAGGGGCACCCCCAGCGGCAGGCCCTCCGCCCCACCGGGCCCTGGTTCCCGCCACTGGGGAGGAGAGGCCACCAAGGGAAGGACAACCTGAGCCGAGGCCGCGCACCTCTGCGGCGGAACGGCCGTGCGCACCGCACTTCACGGCTCCCAGTGCTCTGTCCCATGTGCCCTCCCCCAGCCGGCAGGCGAGCTCAGGGTCTCTGTCCCCATCTACACGGGGGAGTGGAGGGCGGGGAGCCAAAGACAGGGCCCAGGAGCCCAGAAAACAGCCCCCGGAGGCAACCTGCACAGCTCCTGCAAGACAGGTGAGCGCTGAGACAGCCCGCCCACCCGGGGACGCCCGCCACCCGTGGACAAAGCCCCGGGCGGTGAGTAAGACGGCGAGGCTGCAGAGTCTGGCCCTGCTTTCACGGCGCTCAGTCACGCAGCCCCTCGCCTCTGCGGGCAGGGGCTCAGGAGAGCAGTCCGAGCCCACCTGCCCACCCGGGGCTCCGTGAGTGGACGCGTCCGCTCCCCCATCACCGCGTCGCCCAGAGCTCTGTCCTCCCCTCCCCTCCACGCACTCCCAGCCCACTGAGTCCTGGAAATTTATCCTGTCTCTTCCTTTAATGATCTGACCTTCTCCTTCCAGATGGTGCCTTCCCGGCCTGCGACTGGGAATGTTAACAGAAAACGGGGCTGTTGTTCCCCATCTGCCACTGCCTTTATTCCCATCACAAAACCGGGGCAGCTGAGACTGAATCAGAAGGCTGCCTCCTCGGAGGCTGAAAGCCCGCTTGGGGTAAGTGACATTAAGAACTGGCACCGACGGCAGAGCCGCTATTTCCAGCTGACATTAAGTGGGGGCTTATTTAGCATCGGCTGTGTCCGCCAGCACCCACCCAACTCTGGGGTCCCCGCCCGTGCCCGCGCCCCCGAGCCCTCGGGACCGCCCGCCGGCCGCAGGAGGCTGACTCTGCCGGCAGGGCCCTGTGTGGCTCAGAGCCGCACACATCACCGCTCTGAGCCTGTGGCCTCGTCTGGGAAATGGGGGAAATAATTCCAGCCGTTGAGAGTTGTGAGCACCGGGAAGACCACACACGAACATCCAGTGCGCACCAGACACTCAAGAAACGAACCCAGGGCCCTTCAGGTGGCCCAGTGGTGAAGAGGCCACCTCGCGAGGTGGGGGACAGAGGCTTGAAGCGCGGTCAGAGAACTGGGATCCCACACACCGCAGGGCGGCGAGGCCCGCCCGCCGCAACCCTGGCCTCCATGCGCTGTGACTAGAGAGAGGCCTGCCCGCGGCAACAAAGCGGCCTGCCTCGGCCCAGACCCGATGCAGCCCGAGAAATAAACAATTCCTTAAAGCGTGTTTTTACAAAAAGAAATAGAACCCACTACGATCACCGTCCTCGTGGTGAAGAGGATGCCTACTACTGTGCTCAAGGTTGGACCACTCCCTACCCGAGCCGAGCCCTCCACCCTCACGGGCCCTGCACAGAGTCTCCAGCCCCACCTGCCTCCCACTCCCCGCGCTCAGTCCCAGCCCTGCACGCTGGCCCCCACGGCGGCCCCAGCAGACAGCCCAGCCTGCCCTGCTCTGCGCCCTAAACCCAAGGCCCCTGTCACACCTGCCCAGCCCACAAAGATGCTGCAGACCGCGGCCATGGGCATACCCGCACACATCTTGTCCTGACACTTTGCCCCTTCAGAGAGATGCTGGGGTCCAGGGAGGCCAGGCGGGGGCCAAGGTCACCCGGCTGGGGTAAAGCCCAGAGGGGCTCCCAGGCCTCAGCCCTCCTGCAGAGCAGACCCGCTGCTTCCAGCTGAGCGCTTGGGTAGGTCCTGGCGCCGCCCTCTGACGGCTGAGGGTTAATGAAGACCCAGCAAGGACCTGTTTCTCTGATCGCGGGACTGGCCTGGGGTGTGCCTGGCCCAGGTCCTTCAGGGTTGGGAACAAGGAAGGCCGTGTCGGGATAGGCTCCAGGGGTCCCTGGGCCACGGATGCGGCACTTAGAGCCGCAGGGCTGGGGGACAGGAAGGGAGGCCGGAAGCCCCAACCTGTCCTTTCCCCAGCCCCACCTCCGGGGCCGCCTCTCGACAAACCTTTTCCCGAGCCTTAGAGAACAGAGATTAACTGGCAGGGGGCGGGGGGAGGGCGACCTGGCCCCCTCTGCACTAAATGTGACCCCAGGCCGGCCCGGACTCCCTCGGGAGACGCACACACCCCTTTCCTGGGAGCGGCCTCTTCCAGGCACCATCTCCCCTACGCTCAGCCCACACCCTGGGAACATCCCCATTTTCTGATGGAGAATCCCAGGCATGCAGGGGTGAAGGCGTCTGTCCAAGATCACGGAGCTGGCATGCCGCAGAGCTGGGAACTGAACCCACAGAGTCTGGCTCCGCGTCACGCGGTGCTCAGACCCTGCGATGCACAGGAAGAGGCCCCGGAGACTCACGCCAGGTTAGGGGAGACAGCCTGCCTTCCTCAGGCTGCAGCACACGGCGGTGGCCACACGGGAGTGTCAGTGGGGTCCCGAGACCCCCCCAGGACCCCTGCCCTTCCGAAGGGTAGGACTGACTCCCCATCCCAGTTCCCAGGGCCCCTGCCCAGCCCTCAACTCTCAGCCTTTGTGGATTATGATCTCGGCAGACTGGACTCAGGAAGAGAGGAAGATACAGGGGAAAAAATTAAAGGAATAACATCCTTTGTGAATAAATGCTTTTAACATGTTCTATTTCTAACAGGCTCATATTATTCCCACCCCCCTCCCGCACCAGGCACTGCAGATAAAAAAACAAACTGGCCAAATAAAAGAACCAAATTATTCAAGCCCCAGGGGAACCCTGGCATTCAAATAAGATTTCAAATGACTCTCTTTCCATTAAAACTTCTGCTGCAGTGAAACTGGGTGGAGATAAGGCGGCTGAGCGTCCTCACAGGCCGCAGAAAAGGGAGCCGCTCACACCAGTGAGCGCCTCTCTGGCCGATGCCAGGGCCCTCTGGCAAAGCATCTGAGCTTCAGACGGGAGATGCTTACAGGTCCACACACGGGAGCTCAGGCCCTGGACGCCTCCCCCAAGGGCGGGGGGAGCGGAGCACGCGGCCCACGTCCAGCAGGGAGGCCACCACGACCGGAATCCCCGCCACCCTCCGCCAGGGCCGGGGCAGCCTCGGCTTAAACCCCCTCTTCCACCGTCCGCAGGCCTCCTGCTCATAGGAACATCCCGCGGAGGCCCATATGGGTCAGCACCAGACCCCGGCGGGCCTGATCCCCACTCCTCCAAGCCCAGGCCCCCTCCCTATTCCCTCCCCCACCTCCCCACACCCCCTCAACGCCCCCTCTGCCCCTCCGCGCCCTCCATGCCCCATGCCCCCCACGCGCCCTCCACGCCCCCTCTGCGCAGCAGCCAGATGAGCCACTGAATCGGAAATCAGGTCACACCGCCCTCAGGCTCTCAGCGCAGCAACCAAGCCCCCACGCCTCCAGACACGAACTCTGTACACCTCACCCTGGCTTTCCAGTAAACCCGCTGCCCACTTCTGCCGGCCTCCCCTCACACCCGGCTGTGCACCAACTCTGGCCACCTCAGGACCTTCGCACTCGCTGCACGGCCTGGCTAACTGGACCGAGACCTCCGCCCAGCTCCAGACGTCACCTCCACAGAGCCCGCCCTGACCAGTCCAGACCCCAAGCTGCGTGACGGCTCCACCCGCCTGGCGGCTCCAGGCCCTCCCTGCGGACTTGCTCCTCCTGTGAACCTCTGCCTGCCCCTGTAAACTGTAACTTCCTTGAGAACAGTGAACCTCTGTTTATCCATTTTTCTCGTCCCCTGCGCCTGAAATCACTGCATTGTTGTCATTCAGTCTCTCAGTCGCGTCCGACTCTCTGGGACCCCGTGGACTGCAGCACGCCAGGCCTCCCTGTCCATCACCAACTCCCGGAGCTTGCCCAAACTCATGTCCATCGAGTGCGTGATGCCATCCATCTCATCCTCTCAAATAACTGTAGAGACTCAATACTTTTTTTAATTGATGAAAGCCATTGACAAAGGTCCTGACCCCTTTCCAGAAACGTTTTAAAATCCATTGGAGATAAATATCGAATACTTATCTCAAAAAAGATCACACCAGAAACAGAAACAAAATAAAATAAAACAAAACCTCCAAAATCACTGCTATTGATTAGAATCAGCATATGGAAATTCTAGCATGTCACAGACAATAATGGTTTTGATGGGCAACAAAGCAGGCCTTTTGTCAATTCAAAAAAAAGCACAAATAAAGTGCTTATAGCTTAACAAATGTGGTTTGGCAGACAGAAGCTCACCAACTTGAGGAAGTACGAACAAGAATCAAGAGTGGGCTCTAAAGCCGACCGCCCAGGTTCCGAACCCCTTCCTGCTGCGTGAACTCTGACAAGTCACTGCACCTCTCTGGGCAGCAGAATCTCAACCGTACAAAGGCATTCGCAACAGACTGGCCTCTTGGTGTTACTAAGAATGTGAAATGAAAGAGAGATGTGTAAAATGCTTAGAAAAAGGCTTGGCACACAGGAAACACTTTATAGACGGAAACGTCCATTATTTCACAGGGATGTATAGGAGAAAAGACCCTGGTGGCTCAGACAGTAAAGAATCTGCCTGTAACGCGGGAGACCTCGGTTCGAACCCTGGGTGGGGAAGATCCCCTGGAGGAGGGCATGGCAACCCACTCCAGTGTTCTGGCCTGGAGAACCCCACGGACAGACGAGCCTAGAGGACTGCAGTCAGTGGGGTCACAAAGCGTCGGACACGACTGAGCGACTAAGCACCGCCGCAGAGAAAAGAATTATAAAGAGGCCTCTGGTTGAGAATCAGTTTAGTCTAACCTGCATCATTCTTTTTACAACAGTTTTATCAAGACATAATTCCGCTACCATAGAATCCACCCCTTAAATAAAGAGTACATTTCACTGGTCTCTGGTACAGTCGCTCAGTTGGGCAACCGTCACCACTCTCCAGTTTGAGAACGTTTTCATCATTCTCACCAAAAAAAAACCCTTTAGTGGTGACTCTCCAGTCTCTCCTCTTCCAGACCCCAGGCAACCACCAATTAACTTTCCATCAACTCCCACCGTTCTCCAGATAGGGAAACTGAGGCTCCGAGAGGGGAAGTGACATGTCCAAGGTCACTAAGCCCAGTACACCCTCTCCCTTCACCTAGAAGCGCCCCCGGCCCCCAGGACTGAACGCCCCCCTCGTACCCACACATACACACACCCCAAACCTCCCATGTCCACCCCTGACCCTAGGGCTTTACTCACGAAGTCCGATCTTGGCCAAGTGCAACCTGTTGACCCAGGAGATCTTGCTCAGAGGGTTGGGGGTGATGAAGACCACCATGAAGCTGATGGGGCGGCCGGACCTTCAGTGAGACAGTAGGGCATAAGTACAGGAACGGGGCTCCCCGGGGACACCCCCAGCCCCTCTGCCGCCCCCACCAGCCCTGGAGACAGATCGTGGTCTGTGCACAGCACTGAAACATGGCCAGAGAGGCTGGTGGCCTGGCAAAGCCTCAGTCCCTTGGGGAAAGAGTTCCTCCACCCACCACAGCCGCAGGGACAGGTAGGTCCCCAGAGCGACAAGGCCACGGCCTCCCAGCCTGGCCCAGGCGCCCAGCAAGGCCACGGGGGTCTGGGGCTCTGCAGGCTGCAGCTCAAGCAGCCCCCCAGGCCCAGCTGCTCAGCCTTCCACAGGCCGCGCAGCCGCCCGCACACGCCTGGCCCAGAGCCTGTGACTCGGGCCTGTGTCTGGCCCCCGAGGCAGGACAGCTGCTCGGTAAACATCCACTGGACGATACATGAATGAGTGAAAAAGGAAGTGAACGGAGGTGTGTGCAGGCTTGGGGGGCGAGGTCCCTGCTGTCCCTGCCACCTCACCTCGGAGCGGCAGGGCACCTTCACTGTTTCTGAGCTCGTCTCACCCCTGCGGTCCACCCCAGCCGGGAGAGGCGGGTGGGCCTGGGGTCCCGAGCGCTCTGTGGGGTGTGGGGAGGAGGACGTGCAGGGTTGGGGGGACAGGGCGGCTCAGCAGGGCGCCAGGAGCCAGCAGGAGGGCCGCTCGCAGGTTCGGGGCCCCCACCCGGGGCTTCAATCCCCGTGCCCTGCAGCCGCGGAGCCCGTAAGACTCCCCGCCTAACCCCGCCACACACGCATGCATGCACTCAGTCGTGTCTGAGTCTTCGTGACAACGGACCCAGCGGGTCACAAACTGGGCTCTGACCACTCACTGCCCGGCCTAGGCCTGGGAGTGGGGACCCTGAGGACCCGGCCCCGCCTCCCCATCTGCAGAGTGGGGACCACATGGCTCGCCCTCCATCTCTGCGTCAAGTCCACAAATGCCAGCCGTGGGTCTACGGAGCACCTGCTCCTGTGCGGGCATTTGGGGGACGCTGGGTGCACCTGGTCCCAGGGGATGCCACGGTCGACCAACCGCTGGCACAGTGTCCGAGCAGCCTAACAGAGGAAGGGCTCCCCCGGGTACGAACGGGTCCTTTGTTCATTCATTCATTCATGCACTGGACCACAGGCACCTGCTCTGTGCCAAACCCGCACCAGGCCCAGCCCACACCCAGCCCACGCCCACGCCCAGCCCCTCCTAGCCAGGAGCAGGACGGACCAGAGGCCCCTCCCAGGCCCCTCCTCTCACTTGTCGGGCTTCCCAGGAAGCAGGAGCCGCAGGCGGCACTTGTTGGCTGAATGGATCTCTTCCTCCTTCACCCGCATGAGCCGCTGCAGGGCCAGGCACCAGTCCTGGGCCACTGTCATGTTGAGGTTCTAGGGCGCGGGAGCCAAGGATGTCAGCACAAAGCCCGCTGTCCCTGAGAGCCGCCCTCGAGTGCAGTCGGGGCCCGCGAGGGAGCAGAGCAGGCGCTGCTCCACCACTCCCCAGGCGCCCGGCCTTGGTTCTGACCGCCCCCCAGCACCCCTCCTTTGAAAGGGACACCCCCTCCCAGCCTGGGATGAGGCTTGGGAAGGTGCTTGCAGGACAAACCAGGCTCTTTACAGAGCATAACAAAACGATGCCCACAGCTGGGCCCTGCTCAACCAGAACCAAAGCTTCCGCCTGAGCCACAGACCACATGCCGAGCTCCCAGTAGCGACAGGGCACCTCCCGGCACTGCTGGGGGGCTGAGGCCAGGGCATACCCAGCACTGAGCGAGGGCGGCGGCCTGTGCCCCCAGCCCAGGCCGGCGCCGGTACCTGGTAGGTGCCGTGCAGCGTGCTGACGAGGAGGGTGATCTGCTCCACCACGGCCAGGTCCTTCTGCAGGTCCTGAAGCTCCTGGAAGAGGCGCGGTGGCCCGAGGTACACCTTATCTGGGCAGAGAGACACCCTGTGGGTGGGGAAGGCCCCAACAGGAACCCCAGCAGGTGCTCACGGCAGTGGCGAGGGGCTGCCAGGCCTCCTGCGGGGCTCAGCAGCTGGGAGTCCACCGGCCAGTGCAGGAGACCCGGGGGGATCCTTGGTCCGGGGGGATCCCACGAGCCGCCGGATAAGCGAGCCGGTGCACCACAGGTACGGAGCCAACGCTCCAGAGCCTGCGCTCCGCAAAAGAAACGGCTGCAGTGAGCACGCACAACACAGGCAGAGAGGAGCCCAGCTCGGGCCAGGAGAGAAAGCCCGTGGAGGCAGCAAAGCCATAAATAAAACAAACACATCTTAAAAAAAAGAAGAGCTGTCGCCCTGGGGACGTGGCGCTAGAGATACAGAAGGAAAGGCTACCCGGCTCTCGTCTACTAGCGGGGACAATCCAGTGGGGGGAAAGTCGAGCGCCTCGGGTCTGGGCCACACTTAGCCTATGCAGAGGGTCACAGGAGACCAGAAGACTGAGAGCCAGCTGCGCCAGGAGGCACCGCCTTAGAGGAATGCAGCCGTGCCCAGGGACCTGTGAACAGCAAGCAGCTCACAGATGCTCTAAGAGCCCGCTCTACAGCAGGCTGGACTGTACGCGTTGGACAGAAAGCGGCACATGAGGCAGACAAGGTCCCTGCTCTCGTGGAGTGGATGACCTGGTCGGGGCGGCACGTGTGCTAGCTCGCTTCAGTCGAGTCCGACTCTTTGCGACCCCGTGGACTGCAGCCCGCCAGGTGCCTCTGTCCACGGGATTCTCCAGGCAAGGACACTGGAGTGGGTTGCCATTCCCTCCTCCAGGGGGTCTTCCTGCCCCAGGGATGGGACCTGTGTCTTCTGTCTCCTGCACTGGCAGGCGGGTTTTTTATCACTAGCACCACCTGGGAAGCCCAGGGGGGTGGGGGAGGAGCCAGTTAAGAAGACGGTGGGAGGCGCTAGGGAGGAAGGTATCAGGGTGATGGGACAGAGACGGGATGGGGTGACAGCACCCAGATCTCTGGGGGTGACACAGCTGCAGCATCGCGGACCTGGGGGAGGGCAGTGAGAAACACGGCAGGAGTGCCCAGCAGGATCGGACAGGGAGGCTCTAGACACGGGGCCAGGGAAGCCGGCTGTGTTCTCCACGCCGCAGTTACCCATGCTGAGCTCTCATGGAGTCTCAGGGCAGGGTGGTGGCACAATCATCTAACAAACAGGTGCACACCCTCAGTCACCTGGATATAATGACTGTAAAGCCACATCCTGGGCTTCCCTGGCGCTCCGGGGATTAAGAATCTGTGCTTCCACTGCAGGGGGCATGGCTTCTATCCCTGGGCGGGGACTAAGATCCCACGTACCTCGTGGTGTGTTCAGAAAAGAAGGAAGGAAGAAATCCATGCCTTGCTGCCAGTGTGACAGTTTCCTGACTTTGCAGCCACGTGGACTTTGGTGCCACGTGCTGGCCAGCAGGCAATGACCATGGAGCAAGGTGGGCGTGGGCGGCAAGAGACAGGCTCCCACTGAATGAAGGGCAGAGAAACGCTCTGTGGTGACCCCAGCAGGACGAGCTGGAGGGCAACGGGGACCACACGAGGCACCTTAGGGTCATAGGCGCAGACAGCTCGAAAGAACCCGGCCCATGAGAGAATCACATTCATGCTGAGAGCGACTTCATTCCAGCAAAACAACCTCATCCATCACATTCCACTAATACTGCTAATTCGCATTTTATTGTTTTGTAGCTTCATTTCTATTCCACTTGTGATTCTGTTTAGATGTTATGGTTGTTCAAGGGATATAAGCGTAAGAAGTTTATTAATATTATACCTAGTCTTAGATCTGCACATATTTGAATAACAATATAATAAAATCTCATCCAAGGCCAACTGGGGCTCAGCAAGGATTTCTTCTCTCCTCTTTGAAGGGGATCTGGCACCCTAGCCCTATACTTTGAGAAACGCTGTCACAGCTAAGACAGTGGTTGCAGGAGGGGTCCCAGAGCAGGGGTCCCGAGTGGTCCCGGGAAAGCGGAGCAGGACCTGGGCTGGAGGTGCCTCGGAAGGGGGCAGGCGGGCTGGGAGCCCCTCCCGGGGGCTTCTGTAAACAGCCAGCCAGGAAAGCAGATCAGCCCCCTGGAGAGGTGCAACCAGAGGCTGAAGTGGGTACGGCCCCCCGGGGGCAAGCGTGTGCGGCGAGCGCCCGCCGCAGAGGCGCCCCAGGGTTAGGGCAGGACCGGGCGGGTGGGAGGCTGAGTCAGGCACCCCTGCCGCCCTGCAGTCACCTCCTCTGTTCACTCAGCACGCGTGTGTTAACACCCACCGCACACCCGGGCGCAGGGCCAGTCACACCAAGGGGCGGGACGAGACGGCAACCAAAGCGTCACCGTAAAGATGAAAACACAGCCGGGCCTTGAGAGCACGGACTGGCAGCTGGCCGGCCCGAAGGAATCGGGAAGGCTTCTAGGAGGAGGAGGTGTCACCTGAGCCGAGATGAACAGCAGCAGCGAGACAAGACCGGAGAGCAGAGAACACGCGGAAAAGGGCAGAGGCCAGGAGAAGGCTCTGGGGCAGGAGGGCACTCAGCCCCCCGGGAACAGAGGCTGGAGTGGGAGGGGGTGGGCAGGCTGAGGCGGGGTGGGGGGTGGGCCCCCGGGACAGGCGTGCGGGCCTCGGTGAGGACGCCGGGCTTCAGCCCAGGGCAGCGGGAAGCCACCGGCACGTTTCAGGTGCAGGGTGACATATGGCTGTGGCATGCCCTTGGAAGAGTCGGCCCAGGAGGAAGGCGCGCAGGACGGGGGGGCAGCCAGGAGGTCCTGCAGCAGCAGGAGGCGGAGGAAGCGGGCGGACGGGGGAGCCGGTCACCCCCAGTTCTCACTGTCCCCGTCATCGGACAGTCTGAGGGGACAGTCAGGGTGGGGAAGGGGGATCCAGGCAGCTTGAGGCCACCCTGAGCCTGAGCTCTGGGGGTTTGGGGACAGGCCACCCGGGCCCCTCACAGAACAGATGGGCAAGCTGCGGTCCCACAGGGAGGCTGGCAATGCCCAGGCAGGCCCTAGAGGTCACGCTTTCGGATCCAAGGTCACTGCGTGTGCACGCCTGTGTGTGCATGCGCCTGAGCATGTCCAGGGCTGGGGTGGGCAGGGCGGCGGGGTGGAGGGGTGACTGTGGGGGGGCTGGGCACTCACTCTGGGCCTGGCCGGCGGCCGAGGCCTTCTTGGCGCCGGCGTGCTGGATGAGCACGTTGTCCTTGTCGCAGGGGCCGCCCTCCTGGCCCACCTCCACCACCTGCACCTGCGGCAGCGCCGTGTTCCACTTCACCACGTACTTGGGCCCCAGGGGCACCAGGCTGCTGATCTCCAGTTGGCCCCTGCCGGGGACAGAGGACACGGCCCTGCAGAGCCTGCCGCACCAGCCCCAGGGTCAGCCCAGAGCCGCTCCCCCGCACGTCCGTTCAGCCAGGCACCTGGCAGCCCAGCACAGCCCTGGGGCCCAGCCGAGCAGGTGGAGCGGGCAGCCGGGCAAGGCGCAAGCGTCGGCACCCAGGCCAGCCCCAGAGGCGCACGCCCACCCCGAGCCTCGAGCCCCTACCTGTGGTTGGCAGGCCTGAGGGAAAAGACAAGAAGGGTCGTTATTGTTGCTGAGCGATTTCTGCAGGCGCTGAGACTCCCTGCGGGGCGGCCGCCAGGCTGGGCCACGTGAGGGCGGAGGGGGACCACTTGGGGGTTTCTCCCCAGGCCGGACGCTAGCCTTCCTTCACCCCCTATTCCCACCACAGCCCTGCTAGGAAGCCTGCCTTATTTCACAAGAGGATACTGAGGTTCAGACAGGTCACATGACTCACCCCAAGTTACCCAAAATGATCCCCCAAAAGTGGGCCACCACACCCTCATCAGCTTCCCTGCAGCTCAGAAGGTAAAGAATCTCCTGCAATGCAAGAGATCCTGGTTGGATCCCTGGGTGAGGAAGATCCTGTGGAGAAGGGCATGGCTACCCACGCCAGCATCCTTGCCTGGAGAATCCCATGGACAGAGGAGCCTGGCGGGCTACAGTCCACGGGGTCACAAAGAGTCGGACACGACGGAGCAACTAACGCTTTCACTTTTCAACACCCCCATCACACGTTCACACCCTGGAGGCTCCCAGCAACAGGAGGGCAGAGCGGGTGTCGGTCAGATCCCCGGCACCGGCACAAGCCAGGGTGCAGACAGGACTTAATCCCAGAGCTCGGGGCACCCCTGGCAGTCCAGCGGTTGAGACTCCATGCTCTCAGTGCAGGGGGCTCAGGTTCAATCCCCGGTCAGGGAAGTAAGATTCCTCATGGCACACGGTGCAGTCAAAAAAAAAACTACAGTGTTTACGTGAGAGGGTGACCGAGTGAGCGCACAAAGGGTGAGTCGTCAGCAGAACCGCACCGACTCGGGTCAGAGGCTGCCTGGCCTGAGGCCGCTACCAGGGCCGGGTCCCCCCAGACCTGCGAGCGGGCACCAAGTAAGGGTCCAGTAAACACTGAAGGACAATCGGACGGACGGACGAGGGCGCGGAGGCTGAGCGTGTGGGAGAGCCAGGCAGGGTTCACCCCTGACTGTGGGGGACTCTCCTCATGGGTCTGGGGAGCTGCCGCCAGCTGTTGCTTCCGGAGCTTTTGGGAGCCCTGCCAGACAGTGAGCAGTGAGGTTCTCCTCCACTGGCAGGGCTAAGAGCCTTGCTGGAAAGGTCGCGCTGGCCTTCGCGGGGTCAAGAGTCACGATCCCCGACGCCCAAAGGACCGAGCAGCAGATGGGGGCGACCCGGTCAGCTGGGAAGCCCCGTCAACGGCTCACATAGCCCAGACACAGGCCCATGTGGTCCCAGGCAGTGTGGGCCCAGATGTGGGATCTTCCATTTTCAAGAGAAGTTGGATGTCTCAATCTTTCTGTGAATTCCCCAGAGGAGCCAGACATAAGATTTCCGGAGGGCTACTGCACCCTCAGGCCACGAGTCTGCAGACTCAGGCCTCAGGCATGGCCCTCGTCCCACTGTAAGGCTCTGACTCCAGTCCCAACTCCAGCCAGGCCCAGCGGGCTGGCCCCAGGCATTTCTGCAACCTCTGACCCAGAACCAGGAAACCAGGCTCTGGCAGGGAGTGAGGGGAAAAGGCAAAGCCTTGTGCTAAAAACACTGCAATCTGGCTGGAGGAAAACCTACTTGACTTAAAGTGGCAGGGACTTGGGGGACTTCCCTAGAGGTCCAATAGTTAAGACTCTTGGCTCCCAACCCAGGGAGCACAGGTTTGATTCCTGGTCTGGGAACCAAGACCCCACATGCCGCATGGCGCAGCCAAAAATAATAATGATGATGATGACAATGCTACAGCAGGGATTTTGGATCTGGGCTGGAGACAGGGAAGAAATCCCTCTTGGATTTCAAAGTGGTCAAAACTCGGGAGGCTGTTTCGTTCTGAGGAGTTCCAGAGTTCCAGAAGAGCCCACTCTGAGCCGTGGCCAGCCATGGGCCCTCCTAGGAACTGGGATTCCAGCAGGCAAAGAGGGGTGAAGAGGAAGTCAGATAGCTGGAGCCCTCAGCCGGGCTCACACAGGACCCCGGCCGGGACAAACTGGGACGCGACAAGAGGGGTCCCCAGGGTGGGGGGTGATGGCCAGGCCCGCTTACTTGAAGTTGATGTTGGCACAGACCAGCATGTCGTTGAGTAGGAAGACCCGGCGCTCCTTGGACTTTATCAGCTGCCCGCGGTCACCGTACACAGTCTCCGTCAGCGTCTCACACAAGAGCAGCTGCCGCTGGCCCGAGGTCAGAAGCTAGGGGAGGAGACAGGGCAAGGTCAACGCCAGCATCGCTCATGGGCTGGTCCGCAGACATCACTGCGCCGAATACTCAGGATGGTCCTTCCACACCCAAAGGGGACTACGACTGGGAGAAGCGGGGATGAGGCAGGACCATGTCCTCCACCCCTGGGGACCAGAGGCACTGACCGCCAGCCCCCTCCATCCCTGCCGGCAGCACAGCTCCGGGGCACAGAGCCACACCCTGGCCCCGAGGCACGCCGTGGAGCCCTCTGGCCAGTGCCGGGCAGCCTGCCCACACCTCGGCCTCCTCGGCTGTTCCGTGGGTGACGGCACCAAAGCTCAGGTCGCCAGGGAAACGCTTGACTGGCTACGCGACCGACAGAGCCCCAAACGGGGCTCACTCAGAATTATTAAGAACTTCAAGACAACGATGGCAGAGCATTAACCCAAATGCAGGGCCCCCTGAGTGCTGGCCCCAGGGAGCCAGCCCCACGGTGGGACACCCCACAGATGGCCCCTGTCCCCACAGCTCACGCGGCCTCAAGCAGGCAGACTCCTGGCCCGAAGGCAGGTCCCGCTCCTCACCCTGACCTGCTGACCTTACGGAAGGCCTCGTGCAGGGCTGGGAGGGCTCCGCTGGTCAGCAAGGCAGCCCTCGGACCACGCTGACCAGGCTGAAGACCTTCACGCCTCCGGGCAGGCGTGTGCCCACCCCAGGCTGACAGCAGCCAGCACGGGACCGGCATCAGAGCCAGGGACCCGCAGAAAACACGTCGTTGCAAAGAAGGGACTTTGCGGAGGAAGAAGAGTGTTCAGCCAAGTTCATTCCCAAAGTCAAGCACATTCTCACAACAGCCACCCCCGTCCTCCCCATCCTCGCAAGGAAAAGGGTGGATCACCCCAAAACCTCTCCTGGAGAGAAACACCCTGCCAGCCCCTAAGAACCATGTCTGTCCCAGCAGCACAGAACCCGGAGCAGCTCCGCATGCCGCTAGGGAGCCCACGCCTCCTCTCACCAGCTCGAGGGTCCCGAGGCCCCCATTCCCAGATGAGGGGACAGGGACCCCCATGGCAAAGTGGCCTGCCAAGGCCCCCTGCTGGCTGAGCAGCAGGGCAGGCTGGAGCCGGGCCACATACACTGTCTCCAGTGCGAGGCAGCTGGCCGCACACCCGCCCGCTCCAGGCTGGGGGTGAGAGGAGTCAGGGAAAGGCCTGTGGCTCCCAACACACACACACAAAAAAACTCAGGGTCCCCCAGGGGTCCCCCCATGACTGCAAAGGCTGGTCTCCCCCACCTCACAACTTCCACCACCCAGCTGACCACCGGCTTGTGAAAACACAGCTGGGACCCTGAGGATAGCAGGCCCCAGAAAAGACAGCCACGTGTGCCGAGACCCGGAACGTGGGACAGGAAAGTCCCCTGCCTTCTGGCAACCACCCTCCTGCCAGTTAAGCAGATAAAAAAGAAAAAGACAAAAGGACGCTCGGATATTGCGCAAGCAGCCCCTGCAGCCAGGTCCTGAGCGGGCACATTGTGAAACGGCCGCACGGTTCCGCTCCGGGCACGCCCGGTTTCGGTTCCGCTTCTCTCTGGGGGGGCGGGCGGCGAGGGGACAGCGCCGGCTCAGAGCGGCCGAGACCCCGCCGGGGGCCAGCTCCCCTGGCCAGGGAGGGCGCGGTGTGCAGCCACCGCCACCACCCGGAACGCATCCAGCACGGCCACGTGACGATGGGGAACTCGGGCCCGGTCTGTCAGTCCGTCTCCCGACACCAGACGGGTCTCCCTGACCTCCAGCCAGAGGCCACTGCTCCTACGGCCTGGGTGTCCCCCAGTGGCCAGAGGGGAGGGGAGCACAGAAAGAGAATTCCCCCAGGTGACTGCACAGGCGTGTGAGCCGAAGCAAGAGAAGCCCTCACGGTCACAGACGCGGAGCGCAAGCAGGAGACAGAAGACGACGCCTCTCGAGCGTAAAGAGCCTCGGATGCCACACGGCGGCTGTGACTGGGCCCAAGTCGCGTGCCTGAGAGCCGTTCCGAATTAGAAGGCTGGGGGAGCCCCGCCCGGAGGTGGGGAGGAGGGACGCCCCCACCCCGGAGGCCCACCCTGGGCAACCCTGGACGAGGCACCCCTGGGAGGGGGCTCCTCTCCTGCCCTATCTTTTCCTCCCGGCTCTATCCTCCTGGAACGGGTGGCGCAAACCCAGCTGCCAGCAGGTAACTTCAGGGGAAAGACCCGGATGGGGGCTGAGGGGTGCGGGCACCTGCTGCTTAGGTGACCGGCCCCACGTGAGAAGATGGGCCAGGATGCCAGCTCTTCCAACCCTTCGAGAAGATGAACGAGTCTAAATTTTATGGGACACTTCTCCATTTCTAAATGCTGGCAACCAATTTCATCTTCTTAAAAGTCCTGTGTGGGCCTGAGTACACTTGTGCAGCCTGAATTTGGCCTGAGGTGGGACCGTCTTAAGATGCAGGACCCCGAACTTAGAACACCTTGCCCTGGCCCTGCTCCACGGGCCTGCAGTACAGATCAGAGACAACAGTGGAGGTCAGAGACCATCACAGGCTATGAAGCGCGGGCCACGTGGGGAGGGCCGCGGTGCTCATGGTGACGCTCGGCAAACATCAGAAAGCTCTTCCCCCGTGGCTGAAATCCCGCTGACCTTAGTCACCGGCCTTAGTTCTGCTTTTGGGGGCACAGAGCCAGGAGGCTCCCAGTTTCTCCCCCAGATGATCTGAACACCTTCCTGTGACCCTACGCGTTGTCCCTTCCCCAGAGAACAACTCTTGTTCTTGCCAAGTGCCCTGGGGTGTGGTCACCTCCCCGCAAACCATCAGGACCAAATCCCACCCTCTACTGAGTGAGAGGGGGCGGAGCCCAGGGTGGGGGACCTCCCAGATGTGGGTGCAGCTGCAAGATGTGTGTGCCACAAGCCGCCAAGGAGACACAGGACTAAAGTTCCCCGGCAGGTGACTCCGGGAGGTGACTGATTCTCTCTGTGTTTTACAAACAGGGTTCTCTAGGGACCTCCCAGAATCCACCTATCAACACAGTGGACACAGGTTCAATCCCTGGTCCAGGAAGACTCCACACGCCTGGGAGCACCGAAGCTTGTACACAGCTGCTGAGCACCATGTTCCAGGGCCACGAGCCGCAGCTACTGAAGCCTCATGTCCCAGGGCCCACGAGCCGTGACCACCAAGCCCTGGAACCACAGCTACTGAAGCCTCATGTCCCAGGGCCCACGAGCCGTGACCACCAAGCCCTGGAACCACAGCTACTGAAGCCTCATGTCCCAGGGCCCACGAGCCGTGACCACCAAGCCCTGGAACCACAGCTACTGAAGCCTCATGTCCCAGGGCCCACGAGCCGTGACCACCAAGCCCTGGAACCACAGCTACTGAAGCCTCATGTCCCAGGGCCCACGAGCCATGACCACCAAGCCCTGGAACCACAGCTACTGAAGTCTGCGTGTCCCAGGGCCCATGAGCCGCGACCACTGAGCCTGTGAGCTGTCTCCACGGAAGTCCAAGAGCCCGGAGCCTGTGCCCCACAAGAGAAGCCCCTGCAATGCGAGCCCGTGCACCACAACAAAGAGTAGCCCCTGCTTGCTGCAAATTAAAAAAAAAAAAACCCACAAAAAAGCAAAGAATACCCATCGAAGCCAAAAACAAAATAGATAAATAATAGTTTAAAAAACAGGGTTCTCTAATAGACTCATCTGAAAGTTAAGATTTTTTTTGCTAGAATGTTTCTAAGTTGCAATCTCAAAATATGGCATGGATTTTTTTTTTTTTTTGGTCTTTCTTCTTAAAACCTAACACTACTAATGACAACAGCCACCTTGCATTAAGGTGCATTAAGGTGCATTAACTGCCACTTTGCCAGTGTTCTCCCTGGCCGTGCAGAAGCCCTGAGGGTCAGGCGCTGTCCAACTCCTTTCAGAGGAAGGTTTCAGAGGAAGCAACTGAGGTTCAGAGAGTTAGGTGAGTCCCCACAGTAAACACCAGTGGCAAAATCTGGATTCACACCCAGACTCTGCCTCCACAGCCCAGTGGTTTAAACATAATACTAGGCTATCATTTCTGGAGTCTTTACTGGCAATTCTACAGATAAATAAAATCAGCTTTTATCCTAACAATGCCTGAGTGGTAAACTAATGTGAGGGTGGCCAGGAGGGGGTCTAGTCAAGATTGCTCCTCGGGACTTCCCTGGAGGTCCAGGGGCTAAGAAGCCGCCTGCCGATGCATGGGACATCCCATGGTCTGGGAAGACCCCACAGGCCACAGGGCAACTGAGTCCACGCCCCCGAGAGCCCGTGCCCCAAAACAAAAGAAGCCTCCACGCCGCAACCAGAGAAAGCCCACAGGAAAACAAAGACCCAGGACTGTCAAAATAAATAAATAAATGTTAGGGGAGAAAAAAAGACTCATCCTCAAGGTAAGGTCTGCAGACCCCAGAGGAGCGAGGAGCCACCCCTGTCGGCCACCCGGAGGTGCTGAGAGGCGGGCGGCGGGCGGCGGGCGGGGGCGCACCCACCTTGTTGAGGCTGCTGCGGTCGCTGATGCTCTTGGTCAGCTGCTGGATCTCGGCCACCTGGTCGGCCAGCCGCTTCTGCTCGTTGAGCTTCTCGGCCAGCGTCTCCAGCTCCGTGAGGGCCAGCTGAAGCGACAGTCTGTCCGGGTGGCCCCTGGGCGTGTTCTTCAGCATGTCCTGTGGGGCCCAGGGGGAGCCAGGACTGAGACCCCCACCCCAGCAGACCCTCAGCCTCTATGGTCCCTGCGGAAACCCGGCCGGACAGGGACCCAGCCGGGAGCCCGGGGAGAAACAGCCACCACGTGAGAACGTGAAGTCACGGGACCTGGGGGACCTAGCCCGGCCCCAGTGACAGAGAGAGTACGGAGACGACACCCACTGCTGCTGCTGCTGTCTGCTCTGAGGACGGGGAAAGACGCTGCTGGGGCCCTCAGGGGGCTCACCTCCTGCCCGGGGACCCCCAGCAACTGGGGGACTGATGCTCCCTCAGGAAGCCTGGAGCACCGAGACCAAAGCCCTCACAGGCCTCTCCCCCCTGCCAGGGGCCCCGAGGGCACTGGGGTTCCATGTGCCCCCCGCCGCCATGGGCGCCTGTCCGCACCCGTCACCGGGTTCCCACCGGCAGAGGGAAAGGACGTGGTCGCACTGAATGGGCTCCACCCCAGGGGCGAGGAAAGCGGGGCTGGGGGCCGAGACCCTGCCCACCCTGCACGGCCTACGAGAGGGCTGTGGGTGACGGGACAGAGCCAGGCCTCCCACCCCGACCCCTCCAGGCACGCACCCGCCCCGGAGGCTGCCAGAACCCGCTGCGGTACCTGCAACAGGAGGATGAACTGCGGGAACCTCTGGATGGGCTTCACCATCAGTCCGTAGAGCGTGACGCGGTCAGGGCTGCAAACCTGGCGTCTCTGTTGGGAGAGGCGGCGTCACTCACTGCGCGCCCCACGCGGGGGCCTGGCTCCCACGCACAGCATGCAGACCTGGGTCCCTCTCCCCAGGACGCTGGCCGGCCTCGGGCCCGAGGGAGGCCCCTGGGTCCGCAGCCAGGGGTCCCTGCCTCCATGGGGGCCCTCTGTACAGCCCCGCAGCCTCGGGGGCCTGGAGAACCACGTTAAGGTCTCTGGGCTAAAAGCGTAATAACTAGGACCTTCAGCCGTTTGTTCAAGAGGTCAGGCCTCTGGAAGGAGCTGAGACCACCTTTCCCTCCACGTAAAGTAAGGTGAACGGGCCCGGGCCAGGGCGGGCTGGGCACGGGGCTTCTCATTGTCCTGGGTCTCCCTTCTGTCTCCACCATGCCACCCACACATCTGCCACCTTGACACCTTGGCCCCTGCAACCCAGGGACGTCCCCACCGGCCTCCGCTTCCATCTGCGTCCACCCGAAGCTTCAGCGGTGCCCCACTGCCTGCACTATGACATCCCAGGCCCTGGGCCTGAGGCCCAGATCTACCCAAACTGAACTCAGAAGCTCTGCGCCTCTCTCCCAGGCATCCCGTGCCCCCAGGATCCAGCTGGACTTGCCTCTGACCTTTGCCCACCGCCCTGGTACCTGGAACACACTCTCCTGTCTCCCTCTGTTTCAACCCCACCATCCCCCCAGGACCCGTGTCAGATGGGACCCCGTTGAGAAAGCCCCGACCCTCCGGGATCTGGACTGTGGGTTTGTCTTCTGGGGCTGGGGGTCCTGGCCCACCTGTGCCCTCTGCCGGGCAGGGTCTCCGTCTGAATTATGACCGTGCTCTAGGGAGAGGGGGGTGGGGACGAGGCCCCACGGCTACTCCACGTGACCCCACAGTGCCGAGGCCCACCTGAAGACCCACCCAAGCCCAGCCCCTATCAGCAAGATGTCACGGCTCCCCTCCTTCCTGTCAAAGCTCCAGATCCCAAGTGGCGTATGAACCCTCTAATTCTCATCACCCCCTTAGGGGGCGGGGAGCAGAGGCTCATCTTCTCCCAGGGGACTGGGGACGCCCCAGAGGAAAGAAGAGAGGTGCCTGGACCAGAGAAACCGCGGGCAGCGGCCCGCCTCCTGAGAAGCCTCCCCGCCCCCGCACGGCGGGGCTCCGTCGGGAGGGGCCCAGGTCGCCCGCAGGCCCACCTTGAGGAACTCGAGGAAAGCGGGCTTGGTGAGACACGCCTTCTTGATGATGGACATGGCGCTGGTGAAGTTGTTCACGTAGTCACTGTAGACGTCTAGCACCATGGACTTGGAGAACTGGAACGGGCAGGGGTGCCACCCGGAGGGTCACATCCAGGCGAGGGGGCGGGCGGGCGGCACCCCCACCCTCCCCGCGGGCCACAGCCCTCCCCTCCCGGGGGCTCTCGGCTAGCCTGGAGGTCAGGAAACCTGTCGCCCAGTGAGGGCCGCGGACAGGGCGCAGAGAGGCGCAGACCCCAGGTCACGGGGCAGGCGGCGGGGCCCGGGAGCTGGGCTGCGGGCAGAGGGGGCGGCGGGCCTGTGCTCCACGCACCCCCACCCCCGCGCCCCGCCACCGAGGACGGCGCTCCCGGCCAAGCCCGCAGACACACCGACCAGGGTGCTGGGCTCTCACAACAGTACTTTTGCCTTTTAGCCCAATTGCCTAAAAAACATCAGCGCGGGCTCTGCCATCCCGACCCTCTCTCACCCCAGGCATCTCTCTGGGGCCCACAGACCTCCGTTTCAGAAACCTACAATCCCCTCCTTCCACAGATGGGGAGCTGAGCCCAGAGAGCGCGCGAGTTTGCAGGGGGCGCTGGGAACAGGCAGATCTCCCGGCGCACGACCCAGCGGGCCTGCCCTGACACCCCTCGGGGTCCTCCGGGGCCGGGCCCTGCCCGGTGTGAGCGCTCCGCGGGAGACTTGAGATGGGCTAGGTGGCTGCCCACAGCGGCCAGCCTCCTGGGGGCGAGCAGTGAGCCGGCCGACTCGGGCGCTGCCACCCTCGGACCCCGCTGGCGTGGACACCAGGAGCAGGGAGGCAGGAGGCTGGCCTGAAAGACGGCCCGCGAGGGCCGCGGTGTGCGCCGCGACGGGCCGGCGGCGCTTGGCGACGCCTACCGAAGCCACGAAGAGGTCGCCGATCTTCTCGGTGGCGTCCCACTCGGCCACGCGCGAGGACAGGGCGATCTGGAACATGGAGTGGCAGTGCAGGATCTCCTTCACGCGGAAGAACACCGCCCGGCACTTGCGCACGCTCAGCGCCTTGGGCTCCATCTCCATCAGGGGGTTGCGGTAATCCTGCAGCCGGGGCGGGCGGCAGGGTGAGCCCCAGGCCCGCCCCCCACTGCCCTCAGGGACCCCGGGGCCGGCAGAGCAGAACTCCGCCGGGAGCGCTCGGCCCGCGCTCCTCGCCCGGCCGGGTCTCCGCGGACGGAACGCTCCTGAGCCTTCCAACCGTGCACAGCCCACCGCCGTGACTTCGGTGGGAAGCGGGGTTTGGGGAGACGCTGTCTGCAGGGGGCGCCGTGGAGGCAGGCCCCAGGGCTGGCCCGGAGCGGCTCTGCCCACAACTGAGCCAGTCCGCCCGACGGAGCAGCGGCAGCGGCGTCACAGCGAGACCGAGAGCCGCGGTCTCTAGCCGGCTTCGTCAGAAACACGGGGTATCCTGTCTCCACCTGCCCGGGGTCTGGGCCCCTCCACTGTGGATCCAGACTCGGCAGGGGAAGTAAGAGTGTTCCGAGCATTCTCCCACCCCAACAGTGCCCCTCCGCGGGGTCCGTACAGACAGCCCACAGCATCCCCGCCAGTCACTGTTTCAGGAATGTAAACCAAACAGGCCAGGCCGGCACACCTGGGTCATGCAAGGCTCTACTCAGCGGTTCCTGGGCATTCTGATGGCAAGGAGGGGGGGTGAGCCCGACACCCCATCCCAGGAGCTCTGAGACAGTGGGGAGCGGTGGCCCCGCCCCAGGGATCCCAGGGATGAGGAAGCAGGATCGACTCAGGGCACCAGAGGGACCACAGTCTCAGGTCCAGGCTGGGGGCTCAGATGGGAGAGAATCTGCCTGCAGCGCAAGAGACCTGAGTTAGATCTCTGGATCAGGGCGATCCCCTGGAGGAGGGCATGGCCACCCAGTGTTCTTGCCTGGAGAATCCCATGGACAGAGGAGTCTGGAGGGCTGCAGTCCACGGGGTCACAGAGAGTCGGACACGACAGAGTGCCCTTCGGTTTTCGCTCTCAGGCCCACGGGACAGATCTCATTTCACTGAACCCCAATGTCATTTCAGAAAACCCAGTCATCCCGTACACTGGGGCACCTGAAATTCGCAGTGTTCCCCATTCGGAGGTCCTGCTGTCCCCATAGAAACACTGGCTTTTGGTGCCTTCCCTTGAAAACTGCCCACAGCCCCCAAACACTCCTTGTAACACGCCCCTGGAGGGGCTCCTGAAGCCCCTGGAGTCGTACCTGGAGGACCCGCTTCAGAGAGTCCACGTAGCTGCCCTCGCTCTGAACAATGGAGCCGAGGATGTGCCTCCGGACCACCTGCTCAGGCAGAGAGCACAGTCAGCCCCCGTGCCAACGATGCCAACAGAGCGCGGGCGAGCACCAGCCGTGGGTGGGGCACCCGGAGACGGGGAGAGGTGTCACAGCCAGCGGAGCAGCAGGAAGTCGTCTCTCCCAGAGCCACTCCTGGACCACTGGATTCTGGCAGGCTGGCACCAACTCCCAGAGCCCCAGCCCACCCCAGACAGATGCCTGTGCTCCCCAGATGGCAGCATGAGGTCCGGGGACGCGGGGACTGCAGGGTCCTGCCCGGCCTGTGCACGCCCATCCAGGGGTGGGGAGCCACCTTGCTCCTCCACGGGACGGGAGGCCTCCATCTCTGGACCACCCTTGTACAGAGCTCCTTCTTAGACAGAACTGAAATCTCAGCTCCCGCCACTTACAGATCCAATCCTTAACCGATCCCTCTCCCAGGAGACAGTCCTGAGCGTGTCCTCCCACCCGCTCAAGTGGACTCTGCTTCAGGCTAAACACCCCAGCCCTTCCCTCCCCTCTCCCCCCATCTCTCAGCCCAAATCGGTGCCTCCCCCAGGGGCAGCCCAACCAGTGCCCACTCAGGAAACCCTCACGTGGACACAGCACCACACGGGGGTGGGGGCCTTTGCTGCACACTGGAGTCACGTGGCTTCCACCCCGGACACTGAACTGCTCTGGGGCGCCACCTGGCTAGCGGGGCTTTTTAAAGCCTCCTGCTGCCCCATTGTGCAGCGAAGCTGGGACAGGGCCTATGAAAGGCGTCGTAGGTGAGTGGGGTCGTGGCCCGGGGCCGGGAGGGTGACGGACCCCCACCACGCCCCCGAGCCGTCCTGAGCGCGGCGGCGCAGGTGCCTCCCCCACCACCCGCCTCCGCCCTCCCCGCGCCGGGGCATCCTATGCCTCTCTTCCCACCGCTGTCCTGGCCTGGACCTGACTGTGCCCCCCAGGCCGTCTGACGAGCCAGCTGCCGCCCTTCAAGCTGCCCTGCGAACGGACGCTCTGTCCAGGACTCCCGGTCCCCAGGGGTGCCCAGAGCAGCCCTCAGCCTCCGCCTGCTGACGTGGGGGGCGGTCCTATGCCCCACAGGTGGCCAGCACTACCCCTGGCCTCTCTCCAGTAGACTCCAGGGGCCCCACCCCCAGCTGTGAGCACCAAAGCATCACCGGACGCGGCCAAACATCCCCTGGGAGGCAAGATCACCTCCATGAGAGCCACTGGCCTGGAGCAACCAACATCGCTGCTCCAAGAAATGCAAGAGGCTTCCGACCCGGCCGACGCCAGAAAGGGGAAGCCCGGCTTCTGGGCGGGCGGGCTGGGGTCCCGCCCGGCTCTGAGCTCTGACGGTGACTCACTGCACAGGGGATGAGGCTGGGGGCCACCGCCCTGATGCTGCCAGGGCCCCAGTAGGAGAAAGAGGGAAGGAAGGAGGCAGACAGGCTCCCGAGACGAGAGGTGTGGCCGAATCTCTCATTTTCAAAAGGGGTGCGACGTCAGGATGTCCTGCCAACGCCAAACCAGCCAATCGCTCGATGTGTTTGCCGCCCCGATGTGTCTTGCTCAGAGTCCTCGTGAGCAGAGGGAGGTAGGGGCCACCCCCCGCCTCGGGGAGGGGAAAACCAGCCACGGGGGGGGGGGGGGGGCTCAGTCATGGCTCTGCCACAGGGTCCCAGGGCACGGGTGCCCCGATCTCCATATGACCCTCCAGAAGGAGGAAGACACACCCAAGAGCCAGGCTCCTGGGAAACCCGCAGTGACTCTGGGGTCTCAGCTGATGACAGGTGGGCAGACGGGGGGCCAGGCGCCCCCAGGGTCCCCTCCGAGCTGGGTGAGCTCGATGCTGCCCAGCCCTCTCTTGACTGCAGGCCTTCTCTTCAGACACCTTCGTCCTTTTGCAGAAGCCGCTCTGGTGGTCTCGGGGCTGGGCGGCGAGGGTGCCAGGGGCAGCCCCGCGCCACCCGGAACAGCAGCGCCAACCCACAGGGTCCAGTGTGGCCAGCCTGTGCGGCGGGTCGAGTGGGATCCCAGGAGGCCCCTTCCCAGCTGGGCTCTGCCACTGACCGTCGCCTCCCCTTTCAGACCCAGACGGGCGCGGTCCCAGGCAGCAGGCTGGGACCCGCTGTCCCACCCCCCGGGGACACCCACGCCCCCACAGACCTGCTGCGGGGTCAGGCCATCCGGCATGGGGCCCAGCTCCGGGGCTGGGGGTTTGATGTCCGAAACACTGACCTCCAGAAGCCCCATGTCCTCCTCCTCCGAGTCACCTGGAAAGGGAAGTGGGCTGGTGACGCGTGCCGGGCGAGGAGGACGCACCTGCTCAGGCTCCAGGAGCCGGAGCCGCGGCCCCCGCAGACCAGCGTCCTGGGAAGAGCAGCTCCTCGGAGCGGCTCGGAGGGTGACGGCCCTCCTCACATCCCCTGGGGGATGCCCGCCCGGACAAAGAGGTGAGGGCCGAGGGAGCGAGGGGGGAGAAGGCCACAGGGGCTCAGCTCTCAGGACCCACCCTGCCGAGTCCCTGTCCTTGCTCAGAGCCGCCCGCCTCTGCCTGCCAAAGGCCAGGCCGCCCGTGTCCCCATCACCAGGCACTAAAAATAGTTTTCTTCTGGACGCCGAAAAGAGGGAAGAATGCAAGCCCTGAGAAGAAGCTGTTTGGCTCTGTGTTTCCGTCTCCCCCCCACAAAAAAGAGACCCAAAAGGGAAAAGGCTCAGCTCGACGCCAGCAGGGGACAAGGATGCAAGTGAGGGCGGCTCTTAACGGGCAGAGCCGGGCAGACAGAGGTTCAGGCGGAGAGGCAGCCAGGCAGAGCGCGGGCCCACGAGTGGCGGACATGGCCGGGGGACACGGGGCCCTGCGGCCTGCGGCCCTGGGAGCCGGGTCAGCAGCCGGGGCGGCAGGAGGCGGCGCCGGGGAAGCGGGAGGAAAGGTGCCCGGGGCGGGGCGGGGCAGGGACAGGCTGGCAGGCCTTACCTGAGCAGGAGACGGAGGAGGAGGAGGAGGAGGACGGGCCTCGTCCGGCCGCGGGGGGGTGGGCACGGGGGAGGGCCCCCTGCCCAGCCCACATGGCCCCCTGGGCCCGGCCCCGCACCCAGCCAGACCGACCAGCCCGCGGCTTCCTCTTCCCCCACGCGCCCCGGGGGAACATTCTTGGCCGGTGATTCGAGCCGGCCGCGGCTATTAATAACGCCTCTGGTGGGAGGGTCACTTTAGGAAAGGCTCCGGGCTCGCAGGCGGGGTGGGGAGGGCCCCAGGATGGGGAGGGCGACCAGGGACCGTTCTGGCCAGCCAGCCTACCCGCCCCGTCCCGGCTCCTGCCCGGCCCAGCGTTCCCTCCCTGATCAGGGCGGGGGCCTCCTGCAGCACATGCCGTGGCGGGATTAAGCCCATTTCACAGATGAGGGGAAGGACCAGGCAAGGCCAGGAGGCCGTGGCACCAGGGCGGTAGCCAGGTCACCGAGACGCTGTCCCAGCACCAAACGCCTGCTTGCTGGGGCTCCGCTGGGAAGAAGGCCTGCCGCGCGGGGCGGGCAGCTGTGCTGGGTTCTTCCCACATACCGCTCGGTCATCCCCCCGAGGGCCCCCGACACACAGGCCCGATCAGCCCCAACGTACAGACGAGGAAGCCAAGCCACAGGGAGGCCCACGTGCACAGATTTCAGGAGGGTGCGGGGCCTCACCGCCCCCCTTGGCGTGGACGCCTGTGCTCACCGGGCCCTGAGGGTGCGGGGCCTCACCCCCCCCTTGGCGTGGACGCCTGTGCTCACTGGGCCCTGAGGGTGCGGGGCCTCACCGCCCCCCTTGGCGTGGACGCCTGTGCTCACCGGGCCCTGAGGAGGGTGCGGGGCCTCACCGCCCCCCTTGGCGTGGATGCCTGTGCTCACCGGGCCCTGAGCCCTCACCCCCGGCCTCACTCCAGCCAGAGGAAGCCTCTTCCATCCCCTCCACGCCTGTGTGTCCCCCGGCAAGACACTCACCCACTCTGTCTGTTCCCTCACGTCCAGGTGGGAACAGGACAGCCCTCTGCACCGGTCTGGTGCTTATAAGGATTGAATGAGAAGCTGTAAAGCTCTTAGCAGAGTGCCTGGCATCCCAGCAGTTGCTCCACGAATGCTGACTTCCTGACCGTCTGTTCCTCCCCACCTCCGGCGGCTCCTCGGCCAGGAGCGCCCGTCCTCCCCCCGTGCCCTGCCCGAGGGACCTGGGTCCCCTTCTCCTCTGCTCTCAGCCCCGATCTTTCATTCCCACGTTCCAGACTCACTTCCCCCAGCTCCCGCCATGGTACCCCGCCGAGCAGCTGGTCACTTCCTGTTGACACGCCCGCCTCCCGCAGTGTACCAGGCGCTCCTGGAGGCAACTCAGCTAACAGCGTCCCTGCACTCAGCATGGAGCAGGGCACTTAGCAGGGTTTAGAGAGGGGTGAGTGGACAAAGGCACATTCAAAGATGAGGTCGGGAGGGACTTCCCTGGTGGCTCAGCGGTTAAGACGTTGTGCTCCCCAAGCCGGGGGCCAGGGTTCGGTCCCTGGGCAGGGAACTAGATCCTGAAAGCCCCAACTACAGCTCCCAGGAGCCGCAACTGAGAAAAGGTCCAGCTCGCTGAGAGGAAGACCTCACAGGACTCAACGAGGATCCCTCGTGCCACAACTAAGACCCAGCCGAGCCAGATAATAAATACTGAAACAAAAAGCAATGATGAGGCCAGGTGAGTGTGAGAGGCAGGAGGTCCAGGGCACGGACGCTGAAGGGAGAGGCCCACGGTCCCCAGGAGAGACAGGGCCCGCCAGCCGGAGCCTGGGAAACAAGCTGGCGCCTGTGGGGACCAGGCCCAGGCCCCCCCATCAGAGGCGCCCAGACACCCGGCGACCTCGCCCCGCCCGCCCACCGGGCCCGCCTGCCTCCGGTGCCTCACCCAGGACATCCCTCCTGTGCAGAAAGGACACTTTGCGCATGACGGCGAGCCGCGTCTTCTCCAGCCCGTCCTTCGTCCCGCTCCTGGCCGCCTTCATGAGCTGCGTCATCTGGGCAGAGGCAGAGGGGCTCGTCAGGGATGTGGGGCGGGCCTGGGGACACCCACCACCACCCAGGGCCGCCGGGCCGGGCTACACACGTGGGGAGCCCAGAGCGGCGCCCCCAGGGTGCTGGCAGCTGAGGCCAAGGGCGGGGCCACCCCAAGGCCTCCAGGGAAGGGGCTCACGTCGTGGGGGGCCTCCCTGGGGTCACCCTCTCAGGGCAAGAGGATTTCCTCACCCAGATTTCTCCCTTGGGGTCCAGTTAAGGACACGGTGCGACATGGCAAAAAGCCTCAAGGCCTGGAGTCCTAGGCCTGGCTCAAGTTCCAGCCCCGCCGCCCCCCGGCCGCCTGACCCTGCACGAGACACTCAACCTCCCCGAGCCTCAGTTTCCCCCTTGAGCCCCGCCAGGGCCTGAGACTGAACAGACAGGGTGCAGGTGAGCACGCCGACAGTAGACGGGCAGCTCCCTTCACAGCTGACAACGCCCGCAGGGGCTCCCTCCATCCCACGGGGGCACCCCCCCACCCCACCCAGACAGCCAGGCTTCTGCTGAGCCTCTGCCTGGGAACCGGGGAGGCTGGGCGCAGCTTCCCCGGGCGGGCACACGCCCAGGACGGGGGTGGCAGCCTCACCGGCACACAGAGCTATGGTCCCCTCAGCCCGGCGACCTCACCCCCCAGCGAGGCCGCTTCCCCAGTGCATGGCCAGTGCTGGAAGTTTCTGCAAGGCAACCACGCTGCCCAGCAAGGCGGCTGCCAGCCACATGTCACCACAGGGCACTCGAGAGCTGGCTGGTGCGACGGAGGACCACAAGTCCCGGTGATATTTAATTTCAATTAACTTAAGCGTGAAGAGGCACGTGGCCACCACAATGGACAGTGTAGATCTGGGAAACCCCTCCTCCCTGAAGCTCTCTGCTGAAAGTGGGGAGCACTCTCTGGGGGCCCCTGTTCTCTGCTCTCACTGTCACTGTCCTCCACACCACCTCCTGGTCCCCACGGCAGGAGCCGTGGCACTTCTCGAGGGTCTGGGCCAGGAAGGCTTGCTGAACTCCCAGTGGATGCTGAGGCTGCAGGCAGGACAGTAACCTTTCAGAACAAGGCGACTGTCTGGAAATAACCAACAGCCATTGGGGGCTGACGTGGGGCTGGGGAGGGAAGGGAAGTTCCCGCGCCGCTCCCTGCATCTAAATGGTTCGATTCTAGAGCAGCGATTCTCGGCCTTTTGGAGAGACTAGCAGGGGTGCCATACATGCCTGTGAGAATCTAATGAGAGAGACAGACACTGACCCCAGAAACCGCACAGAGATGCCCATCCTCCTCTGGGGGGTCATGACTCCCAGATGGAGGTCTCTGTCCTGAGACAGGAACTGGGGGGCTGCCCTAGAAACCCCCAAAGTGGTCTTTGGGGGAACCATCAGAAGCTCTTCCTGGGCAAAAATAGAGCAACAGGCCTATACGCAAGAGGCATCGCTGGGTCACCCTGCCACCTCCACCATCACACGGCGCTGAGGACGGGCCGGCCCGGGGCCGACTCGGGGGTCAGGCCGGGAGAGCACCCAGGCCGCACACCACCCTCCACGTGCTCTCTGCCACCGCTGGGCTGAGGCCCCCTGAGAAGTCACACCTGCCCCCGCCCCCAGCACAGGCTCTCAGAGGGGCTCTGAGTAAGGGACCTGCAAACCTTAAAAGCGCCTCTCCCACTTCTCCAGAGACACCTCCGGTTCTGAGGACTGGGCTAGGCCGCAGGACGGAGGGCGAGCAGGCTGTGACTCCTACAGACCCAGGCTCGGGTCCCGGCTCAGCTGCTGACCGCTGCTGTGACCAGCCTCACTAACGCTAACGACAGCGGTAGGACGGCGGCCTCCCGGGTGCCCGGGGAGAAAACGGTCAGACACACACGTAACATCAGTCAGCACGCTCTGAGCTCTGGGGCGGCGCCCAGCACGGCACTGGGCACGGGACTGGTCTGAGCTCATACCCCCCAGGGCCGGCACTGTTTCTGCCACCATCTCACGGGCAAGGAAACCGAAACTCAGACAGGTCAAGAGGCCGCCCAGGACCACACAGCGAGCAGGGGCGGACCTGCGACTCAGATCCAGGCCTGCAGAGCCCACGGCGCACAGCAGGTGCAGTGAGTAGGACCCACGGCCGTCAGCAGCATCACCCTTAGGCTGAAGCAGGAGTCCCAGCTAAGAGGCAGTGCTGAGGCTTCTCGCTCTGGCCTCCTAACCGGGAGCTCTCTGAACAGCTCAGAGCTGGAGGAATGTTAAGCATCAGCAACAGTCACACTTTAAAGGTGTGACCCAGACCCACCCAGCCAGAGCCATCCCGTTTGCAGATCCCCAGGCCTTGGCCCGGATTGGCAGAATCAGGCTCTTTGCAGGTGGACTCAGGACTGTGTGTTTTTCGAAGCACCCAGGGGATTCCAAGGGCCCTGGAGTTTGAGAGCCCACCCAGGAGTCCCCACAGACAGATGAGGGGTCGCTGAAGGGTGGGGAGAAAGAGAGGTGAGGATGGGGACAGGAGCAAGCCAGCCGGCGGCGTCAGCCAAAGCCACAGGTGCGAGGCGCCGACAGGGCCCGGGGCTCGGGGCACCCCCCTCCCCGCGGCCCCCGAAGCAGCAGGAAAGGCCCCGGCGCCCGGGACCAGGAGGGACAGGCAGACGGTACCTTACAATCGCACTTGTGCTTCAGCTCCTGCATGTCTCTCCCCCCAACTCTTAGAGCCAGGATGTCTCTCTTAGTCCTGACGCATCTCTCCTTTAGCCTAGTCAGGTCTGGAGAAAGCTGGAGCCCCGGCAGCCAAGCAGAAGGAGCAGGTGAGGGGCAGGGCAGGCAGCAGAGCAGACACGGCGACAGAGGAGAGAGGAGACTCGGGTGAGGCAGAGGAGGGACCGCTCGGGGCAGCAGGATGGGGCCTGGGGACCTGCTGCCTGGGGTCAGCTCCAGCAGCACGCAGCCCGACACGCCAGCCAGCTGGGGGCCGGGGCTCAGGAGCTGGGGGCAGGGGGGAGGGGAACAGCCCAGGCCCCTTCCCAGCACTCAGAGGACAAGGGCTGTGTCTCCGTTATCTCCCCATCCTGGGGGCCCAGCGTGGGGCTCCTGACAGAGGAAGTTCTTGCTAAGTTTCTGAGATGGAAGGGTGGTAGGTGGCTGGATGGGTGCGTGCAGAGAGGGGTGGCTGGCTGGGTGGGCAACAGACAGATGGTAGATGAACAGGCCCATGGATGAATGGATGGACAGATAAACGGATGGATGCGAGAGCAAGTGGATACATTCAGTTGGATGATTCTACAGCTGGGCAAATGGGTAGAGGGACGAACCGATAGTCATAAATGAATAAAAAGGTGGATGAATTAGTGAGTGGACGGAAGCAGTGCTATGCTGGTAAACAGCCAACCACTGGTTCTGCACGGAAAAGCACCCTGCTTCCTCGCATTTCCGTGGTTCAAGCATGCTCGCCGCAGACAGTTTCAGGCTACCGATGTGACGTCACTGAACGTGAGGTTGGGAAGGGATGCACACGTTTGGTTCTCGGGTTCTAATGAGCTGGGACCAACTGGCCAGAGCCTGTCACTTGGAGGAAGGGTGGACGGACAGAGGGAGGAAGAGTTCGGGGAGGGAGAGGCAGGTGACTGGATGGAAGGACGGGGCTGACTGGCTTCGTACCATCTGGGGAGATGGACAGAGAGATGCACAGACAGACAGCCACTCAAATGCATGAACCTCAGGAGCAAGGGTGGCATTGGCCAAGTGCAGAGAAGATAAGACTGGAACTACTTGTAGGAAGCAGACAGGCAGAGGGGTCAGGAGCATGAGCTGAGAGGCAGGGAGGCTACTTTCAAATCTGTTCCCCGCTGACCAGCTGCGAAGTCTCTACCTCGCTGAGTGACAGCTTCCTCACAGGTAAGGTGGCCATAGTAACCACCTCATAGTGTCATTAAGAAGGTTAACCGGGCAAAGCGGACAGAACCTAGAGCTTATTGAGTGTTCAAAAAAATGGAAGCCAGTATTATTGGACTGTCTTTCAAATACTAACTGCCCAATATTTGTTGAACGGATGGACAGTTGGCTGGCTGGCTGGCTGGACAGATGGATGGATGGATGGATGGATGGATGGATGGATGAATGGACACAGTATTTTTTTCCCAACCAGATGTGATGTTGAGTTGGGGTTCTACCACTTATGGGCTGCGTGGCCTTCACCACATCATTTAACCTCTCTGAGCTTCTGTCGCTTAGGTTCTCTGATCCTAACAAAATGAGGCTCTTTTTCTTTTTAATGAGACTCTTAAAGGAAATGATACCAACCACTCTGAGGTCTCAGGAACAATAAATGAAACTGCTCCGTAAGCTGTACCATACTAGGCAAAGGTTCGCTACTGATATGCAAAGAAGTAGCGGGACTGGGAAAATCCTGAGAGTTACTCAGCCTCCCAAAACACTAGAGTCCTGTTTCATCTGTAAAAAAGACTAATGTGATACAGTCATGAAGGCCCTGGGCCTCCGCCTCTCTGACCCTGAGGGTCAGAAGGACTAGGCCAACTGCAACAGCCAGATCGGACTCAACCAGCTGAGGCCCCAGCTGGCTGTGCTGCCCAGGCCTCTGACAGCCAGGCCACGGTCACCTTAATCACGAAGAAGCCACAGTCAGGAAAACATTCAGTGCAGCTCATTTCACAGCTGGAAAAGGCACCTCCCACTGACCGTGGCCCTCGCGAACCTGGACCAGGCTTCCAGTTAGGTCTGGGTCAGGGGCTCCTGAGGGGTCCCTCTGCAGACCCTGTCATTCTCTTTGGCAAAAGCCCGCCCGCCGAGGGTTGGCCTGGCCAGACCCCTGCAGGAGGGGCTCCCCTGGTCTGTCGCAGCTGCACGGGGCGCGGGCCCGTCAGTCTCCAAGGACAGGACTCGACACTGCCCAGCTCGGCTGTCCGCGGCCCCAGAGCGCACAGCACGAGGCAGGCAGAGGGGGCCCCGGAGCCGTGCCGCGGCGGCAGTGCGAGGCCGGGGGGCAGATGCGCCCCCGAAGCTCAGGAGGGGCTCGCAGCGGGGGGCTCCCAGGCAGAGGCGGCTGTCAGAGGAAAAGCCCTCCACCATGCGCAGGGGAGCAGGTGGGCCGGGCCCGCGGCCAGGGAAGAAGTCCTCGCAGTGAGAAATTCCAAGAACGCTGCCACGCCATCTGTCTGCCGAGGAAGAGCTTGAGGGTGTGCGGGACACGGGTCCACAGGCAGCCGCCAGGACCCGTCTGGGGCCAGGCCAAGCTGAGGGCTCTCCCAGCGTTTCTCAGAGCGCTCTGTGGGCCCCCGGCTGCCCCTGGGGACCCAGGGCTGTTAAAAAGCAGGTGGCCAGGCCCCATCCAGCCCTGGAGCTGGGAGTGAGGCCCCAGCATCTGCCCCCGCGATCCCAATGCCCACGGGAGAGGCCAAACTCCACATCCCCCACCTCCTGCCCGGAGAGGGCCTGACGCTTCCCTCTCGGTCCCCAGCAAGAAAGCAGGGGGCTAGGAACGCGGCCACGGGGGACTTGGAGCGACAGCCAGGGGCTGGGGACAAGGGCTGGCCCAGGCCTGGAGTCCCAGCTGCCCACACTCTCCAGAGCCACGCTGGGCGCACAGGGCCCACCCTCCTCTCAAGGGGCTCCCTGGGGGAGCGGTGGCTTCACAGTCTTGCAAGGGCGGAAGCAGGAAGGGGCCTGTCCTCCGGCTCTCATCTGGACTGTTCCTCCCCCCAGGGACCCCCGTCTCCTCCGGCTCCTGCCACCTCTCTTGGAAGCCTCCTGTGATCAGGCCCATCAAATCCCACCTGCGAGGGGCAGGCCATAGGAACACAGGCTCAGGTTCACAGAAAGGCCTGTTTTTCTTCCTTTTTGACAAATCGTTTCGTACTTGGTATCTCCTCCTAGGCCACAAGGTTTCCCTGAGCCTGGGTTGGGTCATCCTGCCCCCCGGGACCCCCATCTGCACCCTAAGAGGCGTCAGAGATGCTTAACTTTTTGGTTAGCAAGAGGTCAAGGCTGCTTTCTGTGGCCCTGCCGTGGGGACCAGCCAAGAGGAGGCTGGGGCTCAGGGGACACCTGCTCAGGCCCTGTCTTCCCAAGGACTGGGGTGCCTTTTTCATCTCAGTAAAGTCTGTCTGAAGACTCCTAGGTGTGGGTGCTGCTCTGGCCTGCACCCCCTCCCCACCAGGGGATCCCCAAACTGAGAAAGGGGTGGGAGGCACTCTGAAAACATGGAGTTGGACACCCCCCATAATCCAGCCCAGGCCTGAGGCCCCTGCCTGCTCCCTGCCCTCCCTGTAGGCAAGACTCACTGACACCTCGGCTCACTTGCCTGCCTCGGTCTTTCCAAAATAGAACCTGAGAGGGACCCAGTCACCTCCGGTCGGGTAGGCCTGTCTCAAAGAAGCGGCTCCCCATTAAATCCCGAACCTCAGCATGGACAGCGTCGGCCTTTTGGTGGCCTCTAGAGAACAGAGGAGCCTGGCAGGCTACAGCCAGTCCACGGGGTCACACAGAGTCAGACACAACCTAGGGACCGCACCAGAACAAATAGGACGGGCAAGGCTGTCACAGGAGGGGAGGGACCAGACAGTCCGTCCTCTTGGCTTCCGTGGCTTCTTCCGTGAAGTCGACAGAATGAACTATGTTCCAGGCAGAAACACCAGAAGCTACCAATGCGTGGATGGCACTTTGGAAAGGCTTTGGAAAAGAAAGAAGCCCTCTTGCGGCTCTGTCTGAGCCGGCTTGGTCACCTCCCCAGGGCAGAGGGCTGTGGGGTCTAGGGCTGATCTGAGAAGCAGAGTTGGATTGATCCACATGTGTGCTAAGTCGCTTCAGCCATGTCCAACTCTTGGTGACCCCATGGACCATGGCCTGCCCGGCTCCTCTGTCCCTGCGATTCTCCAGGCAGGAACACTGGAGCGGGTTGCCACGCCCCCCTCCAGGGGATCTTCCCGACCCGGGGATGGAACCCGCGTCTCCTGTGTCTCCTGCACTGGCAGACTGGACTTCACCATTAGTGCACGTGTCACCTCTCAGCCATCAGTGAGGCTGCCCACGCCCGTGAGGAGGAGGATTCTGAGGCCGGATCTGACTCCGTGAGCACCCTTCTCAGATGCCGGGGCGCCGCAGGCACAGCGGAGCTGGGCGGCGCCGGCGCAGGGCACTAACCATGCCCATGCTCGGTACGGGCGCGCCGCGGCTATCCAGCTCCGGCGGGTGGTTTCCCGTCTCAGGACACCAGGGCCCCCGCTCCCTCTCTCACCACACTCCTGGGAGTCACTGAGGCTGAGCCAGGAGTCTCAGCCCTGGCCCTCACCGCCCGGCTCTCGGGGGCCCGGGGGCTGGGGTGACGGATGCCCCCTCCCTTCACCTTGGGCTGGAAGGACACTCGATGCTTGGCAGGCTCTGCCTCTGGCTTGGCCTCCTCGCCCGAGTCCTCGCTGTAGCTCTCGAACTCGCTGGAGCTCCAGCCTAGGTCCTCCGGCTCCCGGGGCGCCCTGTCCTGGCGCACATCCTCGTAGGGCTGGCTCCTCTCCGCCTCTGCTGGCCAAGAGACGCGGCTGGTGAGCGGAGATCCTGCAGCCAAGCCCAGCAGACCCAGTTTCTGAACTCGGGGGCGGGGGCAGGTATGGGGGTGGGGTCAGGGTGGACCTCCAGCTGCGCTTCTTGGTCCATAAGCGTGGGGCAAGGAGAACATGACATCCACCCGCAGAGTGAGGAGGACGTGAAAAATGCAGAAAAGCACAAGAAATGCGCCCGGCACACAACAGGCCCAACAACGTCCTCCTGGTGGGGGAGACAGACTGGAAGTCTGGAACATGTACACGCGCTGTGCTTAAAACAGATAAGCAACACGGGCTACTGTACGGCAGAGACGTGTGTGCTCCATCCCTGAGTCCTGTCCGGCTCTGAGACCCCACAGACTGTAACCTGCCAGGCTCCTCTGTCCATGGGGTTTCCCAGGCAAGAAAACTGGAGTGGGTAGCCTTCTCCTTCTCCAGGGGAGCTTCCCAACCCAGCGATCGAACCCACATCTCCTGTGTTGCAGGCAGATTCTTTACCGCTGAGTCAGCTGGGAAGCCCTATAGCACAGAGAACTCTGCTCAACACTTTTTTAATAACCTAAATGGGAAAAGAAAGTGGAGAAGAACAGATACACATGCATGTTTAACTGAATCACTTTGCTTCACACCTGAAACTAACACAACGCTGTTAATCAACTGTGCTCCAAGAGAAAATGAAAGTGAAAAAAACAAATTTCTTCCCCCTACTGGCATCACTTTTCCAGGATCTCAGTGCTCACTCTGGGCCTCCTTGGCATTTTTTAGTGGAAAAGAGAAGACCGGGGACCCAGTTCTGACTCGGGCCCTCAGCTCCGCCTCAGCACCCTTAGGGGGACACGGGCAGTGAAGATGGTCCGCAGCATTGAGTGACTCGGGTCCCTTGTCCCAGATGTGAGCTCCCCACGAGGCTCCAGGACAGTCCAGCAGGGGGCGCGCCTGGCCTAGCATCCAGGAGTGTTCCCCCTTCTTCCACAGGAAACGGGCACACACACCTGGGAGTCCCTTGGCCCGGAGGACCTGGGCCTGCTGTGGTCCCTATAAACTCGGGTCTGAGATGCTGCTTCCAAGACAGGAAATCCACTTTCCTGGGCCCAGAACCCAGGGTCCCAGCCTAGCCTCCACTTCACAGATGGGAGTTCACATCCTGGGCTGTTACCTGGACGCAAGCCTCACAAAAGTGAGACCAGACTCCCAAAACTGCACGGAGGTGAAAATGCTTGCTGTCAGCTCAGAGGAAATGGCACTAGGATGGGTTTTAAATTTTATTTTTTGGGGGGGGGGGTTAAAATTTAAAAAAAAAATCTGCTCAGAAACCGCACATACTGAAGAACTGAGAACTTTGGTTTTCAGAGCTGTCTCTGCAAAATGGGGACAATAATAAGCGGAAAGGTGAAGGAAATAAAAAACAGGGATGAAAAGCCCTTAGCCAAGAGCCTGGTACGTGGCAGGCACTCAGCAAAGAGCAGCTGCCCTTCTCATGGGGGCCCTGGGTGGGCTTGAGTGCCTCTGCACTAACCCCAAGCCTCCACCTCCCCACACAGGGAGGCTGGGGGTGAGGGGTGTGGAGAAGACTGTCAGCCAAAGAGCAGAACAGACACACGGGGCTTAGCTGGAGACTCTGGTCCCAGGATCAGGAGGGAGCACGGTTATCTTTTCAGCAAAAGACAGTAGTGACCAATGTCTCCAGGGAGTCGAGCGGCTGGAGACCAGGCTGTGCCCGTTCCGGGGGTGACTGTCCCATCGCTGCAGGAGCGGCTCCACGACCCAGGGGCCAAGGGGCAGAGCTCGGTTCTTGGGGCACCCTGAAGCAAGAGCCACGTGGCACCCACTTCCCCTTGCTTCTGGCCCCAGCCACCTACAACCACCTACATGCCACCTACATGCCAGGTTCTCCCAGCGGTCCTTGGGGCTGGAAACTACCACCTCATCCTATCAGATAAATGAGACCAACGGAGCCCAAAGTCAGGCAGTGAGCGGGAAGGGGGCTCCATCCACCTACCGCGCTGCCTTCCACAGAGGCCATGCTCACGATCCCCAGGCTCATTGAGAAACACTGTCTCCTGCAGAGACAGAGGCACCAAATTCCTGAGTCTTCAGGGGCCTCACAGAGGTCTGCTTCCCCACCTCCACCCCTAGCTGATGCCTCGGGCTTCACTAATGCTCAAGATCACAGCCTCTGTTTCAAAGCACTGACCACCACCTGCTCAGGGCTCTACATCAACCCCCTCGTGGCATCCTCACTACAACCCAAGGAGGAAGCTAGTACTGCCCGGTCTTACGGATGCATCCAATGAGACCAGAGAGGTTAAGAAGAAGTTCTGTGGTGCAACCCTCCCCAAAGCCCTACACGGTCAGGATGATATCTTGATTTCACATGAAGAAGTCATTGCCCAAAGCACAGAACCCTGTGCCCGAGTCAGTGGCAGCACCCACGTAAGAACCCAGGGCTGTGTGTCCACTGGCCTGTGTGGTCTGCACCTCAGTGGACACCCTCCCCATGGAGGGCCCACTGAGCGAGCCCACAGGCCACACAGGTCAGCACTGGGCCTTGGCAGGTATGACAAAACAAGAGCGTTTCCTGTGGCGTGCACCTGCTGAGGGCTGGCCACAGCCTCAAGAGAGAGCAGGTGGCCCAGGGCAGGGACTCTGGTCCTCAGTCTGCAGGCCTGGAGCTGGCTCTCGGCCACCTGCCCATCTCAGAGTAAACTGCAGGACATGCCATATCCCCACACAGGGGTGCCCAGTGAAGACTGTGACCAAGCAATCACCGGCTCGATGGGATTCAGGTGGGAGAACAGCCCAAAGGGGCCAAATAATGGCCTCAGGCCACTCAGATCTCCCGGCTCTGGGACCTTCATATAGCCACCCGTTCCCACTCTTCCAGACTGGAGACAGCTACAGGCAGAAAAGGGTTCTGGGCTTCTCCAGGGATGGGCTTGCTGAATGGATGTGTGGATCACAAGCCCAGCTTTCCGGTTCCTGGGATGGGCGTCAGGAGTGTGCCTCCGGGGACCCCGGGCCTTGTCTTGTTGTCTGTGCGGCTCTCCTGTTGGACCGTATGCTGCCCCAGCATGGTTATGGTTGCCCCTGTCAGACTGGGAGCTCCTCAAATGCAGGGGCTTGAGATGGGGAGCCCCTGAAGACAGGCAGAATCGTGTCATGCAAAAAGCAGATCAAACAGATGTCTATTCGAATTCTGGCTGTGAGATCTGGGGCTGGTGGCTTAACCTCTCTGATATGACTGTCAACTGGAGCCATAGGCCCTACCCAACCAATCTCTCAGGTTGATTGAGCAGGGGGAACAACTGTGCTTCATCTGCCATAAAATGCCACCCAAATCCTTTGGAGCGAAGGGACAGAGCACTGGACTTGGAGTCAGAATGACCCAGGTTCAAATCCCAGCCCTCCTCTATAGCTTCCTCCTCTGAAGAATAAGGAAGTAATCCCCTAAGCCAAGGGGCTTGCCAGGTGGTGCAGTGGTAAAGAATCCACCTGCCAATGAAGGAGATGCAAGAGATGTGGGTTCGATTCCTGAGTCAGGAAGATCCCCTGGAGTAAGAAATAGAAACTCCCTCCAGTATTCTTGCCTGGAAAATTTCACAGACAGAGAAGCCTGGCAGTTTACAGTTCATAAGGTCTCAAAGAGCGACAGAGCGCATGCACACACACACACAGCCTAAGTCAAAGTTTCAAACCAAATTACATGAGACAAACCATGAAGAGCCACTGGCGTGTTCAAGCAAAGATGGCTCTTACGGTGAATGGATATTAAACACCCCTCCTCCCTGGGTAGTCCTCCCTCTAGCCAGGTGAGCATGTGGGCCTGGGCCAGGGGACTGACCCTCCTCTGCCCTGTCCACCCTCTGTGGCCACAATGTCCCCACCTTCCCAGCCCACCAGGGGCCTGTCTCCAGAGGCAGGCCCAGGCTTTCCCAGGCTTTCTCTGCTGCTTTCAGCTTTAACAAGCTGTCATTCCCAACAGCCCTGGGATGTCTGAACTATTAACCCATTTTCAGGAGGAAAGGACGCCCAGAGAAGTTAATGACTTGCCTGGGGATCCACAGAACCCAGTGGCTCAGCAGTAAAGAATTTGCCTGCGATGCTGGAAATGTGGCAGGAGCCACGGGTTCAATCCCTGGGTCTGAAAGATCCCCTGGAGAAGGAAGGGCAACCCACTCCAGTACTCTTGCCTAGAAAATCTCCTGGACAGAAGAGCCCGACGGGCTCCAGTCCATAACGGTCGCAAAAGAGTCGGACGCGACTTAGAAAAGAGTCGGACACAGTCGGGGATCCACAGCCCAGCAACCCCCTGCCAGAGAAGCCCCAACCCCACCCCTTGAAGCCCCAATATTCCCCTGGACGCTCTATACCGCACCCAGGGAGCCCTAACCCCGCCCCTTGAAGCCCTAATCCTTCCCCCACGGACCCTAACCCCGCCCCTAGAAGCCCTAACCCCGCCCCATGAAGCCCTAACACCGCCCCTTGAAGCCCTAACACCGCCCCTTGAAGCCCTAACACCGCCCCTTGAATCCCGAACACCGCCCCATGGAGCCCTAACGCCGGCCCATGCAGCCCTAGCCCCGCCCCATGCGGCCCTAGCCCCGCCCCAACCCGGCCAGCTCTCAGCCGTCTCCCACGCTCCCTAGCCCCGCCCCATGCGGCCCTAGCCCCGCCCATGAGGCCCCAACCCCGTCCAAGAAGCCCTAACCCCGCCCATGCAGCCCTAGCACCGCCCCAGCCCGGCCAGCTCGCAGCCTTCTCCCACTCTCCGGGTTTGACTGCAACGGTTTTTAACAGCAGGGAGGAGGGGCCGTGCGCCGGGTGGGGCCTGGCAGGAAGTGCACAAGGAGACCCTCGCCAGGCCCCGCCTCCCCCCTCCGTCCCCCACTCTGCCCAGAAAGAAGAGGCTTTACCGGGCTGCTGGGCGTCCAGGTTTTCGCAGGGGACGTCGTCGTAAATCACATCTTCTTCCAGGGCGGGGAAAGTAAACCGCTCGACTGCGAAAGAAGGACAGGGAGGGAGCACGAATGAGGTTGTGGCGCCCAGCGGGAGGCGGCCGCCAGACTGACATCAGGACTGCACCAGCCGGCAGCTCGCTCCGCCCGCCCGCGTCCCCGCGGCCCGGACGGGCCAGCAGCCTGCAGCCCGGCCCCTAGGGAGCCCCCGCCGGCCACTGCTCTCGGAAGACTGGGACAGCTGCCTCTTCCCGCCCCCAGCCCTCCAAGGAGCCCTCCCAAAGGCCGCGGAAGCCCCGCCTGCTTCAGCAGGCCTGCGCACCTGGCTGATGGCACCTGCAGAGAGCCTGAAGCGACGCAGCAGCACTGGGCCGGCCTCGGAAGCCTCTTAAGCCGCCCAGGCCCCCAGGACTGCCCCCAAAGGAGTCACCTGGTACCCAGAGGTGGGGGAGGGCAAGGCAGCCACCCTGACTACACATGATGGCAGGGAGCAGGGATGATGGGATTTGGAGAGTGGGGTTAAGGACAGTCCCCCAAAACTAAGCCAGTGGGGTCTTGACTGGTTAAAAAAAAAAAATCAGCAAATGAGCATGCTATTCCCTTAACACTTTGCTGGGTGGACTATAAGCAGGGCAGAGCACACACCCTACCCATGTTAGTAGCTCCGGAAACAGAATATTTACAGAGGTCTTGCCCCCTAAAACTGTGTGCCTAGTCTGTGCCCTCTTTAGGGACATGCAGCCCTGCCGAGAGAGGTTTTGGAAAACCAGCCCCCAGCCCTGCGGGGGACTTGTCCTCCCCCCACAGGCCTTCCAGGAACAGAGGACCAGATGAACTCTGAAGTTCCTCCCTACCCTGTTGCCTCCTGTGGTCACAGGGCCTCCAAAGCCCTGTAGGACCCTTACCGCCCCCTCCCACCAGCACAGATTCTGCCTCTCAAGTGGCCATCAGACCTGCCCACCTCTCTCCAGGTCCCTAGCTCCAGCCGTCGCCTGCCTCCCCCAGACAGCATCCAGCCCACTACCTTCTCCCAAAGCATCAGTGATGTGACTGAAATGCAGACGTGGCCGCACAGCTGGCTCCCTGGCACCTTTGGGAAAGCAGGGCCTCCAAGGCCTCCCCCCTGCACCCTGGGAGGACCTGGGGAGATGGCAGCCTCACTGGGCCCTGCTCACCCCTAGACCCTCCCCTCCACCACACCAAGACTCACTGCTTCCCCAGTGACAGGCATCCCCTTGCCCTCGACCTGGACACTCTGGCCCTGATGCCTGCTCCTCTGTGTTCTGCCTCGGGCCTCGTGGGCTCTCTCAGCTCCCACCCTCTGCCTGGCACCCGCCCTCTGCACAGTAAGCGCCCACCCATGCGTCTGGGACTGCTGCCAGAGGGACCCCCTCGTCTTGGGCACCGGGGAACACCCACCACCCAGATTGACCTGTAGGAGCTTTGGGGGGGTGTGGGGGGCAGATGAACAGCTGGATGTGTGATTACTCCCAGACCACAGCTCCAGGGTGGCAAAAGCGGCAAGTCTCAAGGGTGGGCAGTGGCCGGTCTGCCTCGGAGCCACCACCAAGCCCACAGGACAGCCCCGCGGGGAGCAGGAGCACACAGCGGCTCCCTCAGCCTAGAGAAAGGGGCTCTCCTGGCATCACCCTCCTGGGGCTGAGGCCTGGGCGGCAGGGTGGCGAGGGGGACTTACTGCGACGGGAACTCTTCCGCCTCCAGCTGGAGCGCTGGGCCTCGGAGAAAGCTGCGTCCACAGCGTCCCCATTGCTCACGGCGGCCGGCCTCCTGCGGGCCAAGAAACGGAGCCGTGAGCCAGGAGGGTGGGACAGCTGGCTCCTTGAAGCCTCGGGCAGCTCCTCACCAGGTGACGGGGCCACTCACCCCCAAGGCCGGGAGTCAGAAGGGCTGGGGAGGCCACAGCTGGGTCGGCACGGACGAGCCCTTTCCCCTCCTGGCGTCCTCACCTTTAGAAGGCATTGCAAAGCCGGCCTGCTGCTTTATAAGAGCATTAAGGTCAAATGTATTCATCATGATAACTGACAAGGATTGACTGACATGCATTCCTGGCCAGGGCACCCAGACTCTCCTCGTCCAGGGCAGATCCGGGGGGAATCTCTGTGTCCCAGTCTCTACATACAAAACAGAGGCAATGGTTGGTGGGGAGGGCTGCATCTGAATGACAAGGACCTGTAAAGTTTCAAAAGACGGCACACAGAAAGCAGGGCTTCGTCCCCACAGACACTTGAGGATGGGCTGGACCAGAGATTGCTTCCTGGGAGCTGAGAAGCAAAGGGAACTCAGTGGGGAAAAAGCAGACTCCACCATAACCAAGTAGTCAAGTGAGCATCCCCAGTGATACCACACAGGTCTCGTGTCCCCAGATACGACTCGACAGGGTGCTCCCCTGTGGGGCTCTGACCCCAAGCCCATGGCCCCAAGCAAATTGTGAAAAAACACCAAACAAGCCCAGACTGGGGGACCTTTCTATAAACACCTGCCCATTACACCTCAATACTCTCAAGATCTTGAAGAAACAGAAACTCACAGAGCAGGGTAAATGGTGACTGAAGGTCCCGTGAGTCCCACATGGGGTCCTGGGACAGAAAAGGAGCGTAGGCAGAGCAGAGCAGGGTGAATAACGCCTGAAGGCCACATGAGTCCCGCATGGGGTCGCGGGAGCCTGAAGGCCACGTGAGTCCCGCATGGGGTCGCGGGACAGAAAAGGAGCGTAGGCAGAAAAACAGATGAAATTCAGATAAAGTGAGAAGTTTGGGGAGTGGTGACGTACTGACGCTGATTTCTTGGTTTTGACAAATTCCCTGTGGTCGTGCCGGCTGCCAGCAATGGGGAAACGGTGTGGGGGTACACGCAGCTCTGTCTCCTGCCTTCACAACATCTCTGTAAATCTAAAACGATCCCAAGGTGGAGAGGGTTTGTTTGGGTTTTTTTTAAAGCCCAAGCTCAGGGGACTTCCCCGGCGGTTCAGTGGATTAAGCATCCACCTTCCAGTAGAGGGGACAGGGCTCGACCCCGGGGAGCTACTACGCCCACGGGCCACCACTGAGCCGGCACACCCCAGCTAGAGAGAGGCCTGTGCCGCAAAAAACAGCCTGTGGGCCACAGCTAGGACCCGACACAGCCAAAAGTAAATAAAATAAATACTTTTTAATAATAAAATAAAGCCCATCCCCCCCCCCCAAAAAAAGCCACATCTGCCACCCAGAAGGTGGGGAGGAGAAGGGGAGGGGAGGGGAGGGGAGGGGAGGACCCCTCCTGCAGGCTGGCCCTTGGCCTCGCCTCGCCAGTGACCCTCAGGCAGATCCTAGCATCCTTCCTGCTCTGCAGGGGTCGGCAGAGGAACCCGCCCAGGATCACAGGGCCCGTGAGTGGCAGAGCCGGATGGTGAAGACAGCTTGCTGGGTCCCAAAGCTGGGCCCTCAGGACTGCGTCTCAAGTAACAGAGCATAGGCGGCTGTGACGGTGGGAGCATACCACATCCTTGCTGTCCAGGGAGCCACTCGTGGCCACGGAGCACATGGAAGGCGGCTGGTGGAGCTCGTGTGGCTAAGGAACTTAATTGCTCATTCTATTTCTCTTTAGGTGACTTTAAGCAGCCACATGTGGCTAGCAGCCCCCAAACAGGATGGCACAGGCCTAAGCTCCGGCACTATTGGAGAAGCATCTCAACTCCAGTTTTGCTGCCAGAAGTGAGCAGAGTCACCCCGGGGGTGAGGGGCGCGTTTCAGTCCCGGGGTAACGCTTTCTGCCAGTGGGAAGTAAAGGCCAAGATGGGACAGAGCTGGTCTGGAGGGAGTCACCGGGGCCCTGGCCGCTAACGACAGTGCTAGGTCACCACCGTCTTAACCAGGAGACGTCGCAAAGCACCGCGTCCAGCTCAGATGGAACCAAACATTCCAGCTGAAGTCAGCATGAACTAGACTCACAGACTTAGAGAACAAACTTAGGTTTGCCAGCGGGAAGGACGAGGGGGAGGGAGACTTAGGGAGTTTGGGAGGGACCTATACGCGCTGCTGTATTTAATATGGATAACCAACAAGGTCCTACTCTATAGCACGAGGAGCTCTGCTCAATGTTCTGTGGCAGCCTGGATGGGAGGGGAGTTTGGGGGAGAATGGGCGCATGTACGACTGAGTCCCTTCCCTGTTCACCTGGAACTATCCCAACATTGTTAACTGGCTCTACCCCGATACCAAATAAGGACTTTTAAAAACTTTGCTCTGAGCTGGCAACCAGGACGATGCGTGACTCTTGGAAGCTCACGCTAGGTGCTGCTTGCGGGGCTTTACCCACATTCGCACCTTTCGTTTCACAGGAATGCATGTGAAGCAGGCAGCATGGTCCTCACGCTAAGATGGGAAAACTGAGCCCCTCAAAGTCTTGACAACTCTACCCAAAGTCACTCGGCTCATCCGAGGGAGCTGGGACCTGCAGCCTGGACTGTCCGCCTGCAGAGTCTGCGTTCTTCCCACCAGACCATGTGGAAGGAGGGAATCTGCATTCAGACCTTCACCGAAAGCAGGTTCACTGTGCCACAAGGCCACGGAACCTCGCTTGACTCCTCTCCCATCCATGTTTTCAAAAGGAGAGAGAGAAAGAGTGCTCAGCATAGACAGAGTCAGAGACACAAGTTCAAGGCTCTGTCCTGGAGAAATCGTAACACCCAGCAGCAAGGCATCTCCACTAGAGGACACGGGAGAAGGCCCTGGGTAATTTCAAAAGGTGACACGGAGAACGGATGTGGGTATTTGGGGGTGAAGTCAGACAACTTTAGAATGGATCTGGAAATATTTTATGACATACTAAAAGCCACTGTGGGGTTGAAAATATGAGTCCCTGTTTTCACATTACCAAATCGTAGTGAACTTACTTTTTCATTTTATTTCATTTTAAGTAATTTAAATAGCTACATGTGATTAGTGGCCCCCGAACAGGACAGCGTAGCTCTAAGCCACTGGCCCAACTAGAGATGCTGGTCTGGGCTCCGGCTTCTGTTGAGCAGCTGTCAGGGCACTGGTCCTGGCTTCCTGGGTGGGGAAGCGGGGGTCCAACAGTCACCTTCACGCCCACCTTGACTGTCCCCACGGCCGAGGGAAGCAGAGAGACCAGGAGCCCCTAAGGAGGGAAGAGGCTGGTGCCCGTGGGTGGACAGGCCTTCCCAGGCCTCGCTACAGACCACCACCCCCCGTGCTCTGCACGTTGGGGTGTCTCCTCTGCACCCAGGGCTCCGCAGAGTGCTTGAGGACAAGTGCGTGTCCTATTATGACCATCTTACAGATGGGAAAAGTGAGGTTCAGAATAGGCAATTACCTTGCCCCAGATCACCTGACCAGCAAGCGCCAGATCTGCCATTTACCTGCAAAGTCTCATCCTCCTCGACCCCAGGCAGGGGGAGGGAAGAGACCCCCCAGGCGAGGGAAGCAGTGGGCATGGAAGGAAATGAGGGGGGCCTCCGCCCGCCCTGGCCCTTCTGGCTGCTGCCACGGCCATACCCCACCCACCCTGCGTCCACCCAGGGCCAGCCCCTCCCAGCTGCTGCCTGGCAGGAAAATCTAATTCTCCCTGCGGGCAAACACTCCTCCTGGGGCCTCCCCAAAGGTTTCAGATAATGAAAGAGCCATAAAAAAGCAATAAGAGGCCAATTATCTCGCCCTTATCTGAGCTTCCTGCACGTCTAATGCCTCTCAGCTTACAGGTGCAGAAAGGCCAGCCAGGAAGATGACACGTCTTACAAGGTGAAGCCACTGTCACTGCAGGCCGAGGAGGAGGGGCTGGGCGGGAAAGAGGCGTCGGGAGGATAGGAGCGGTCTCTCAGGCCCCCGTGGCGGCGTTCAGACCGAGGAGGCCACCGCATGAGGAGCTCAAGGCGCCTTCTGAGCCCGCCGCCTCTGACTCCAGGGACAAGCCGGGGATGAGGAGGGTGAGTGTCCTGAGACCGCAGGGACCTGCTTTGTCCTGGTCGCCCCGTTCCGTCAGCCCCTTCACTCGGGGAACACTCGGTGATGACGGATGCCCCCGTCCCCCCAGCCTATTTTGTTGATTTATTTATTATTTTTAAAATCTATCTGGCTGCACTGGGTTTTAGTTGGGGGCACAGGGCATTCGAGATCTTTAGCTGTGGCATGGGGCTCTAGCTCCCTGCCCAGGGAGGGATCCCAGGTCCCTGCATTCGGAGCGTGGAGTCTTACCCACTGGACCATCAGGGAAGTCCCTCCCAGCCTATTTCAAAGACAGGAAGCCCCACTCCAAGAATGACAGTGCCCCCAGCCCCGCTGCTGCTGGGCCCCATTGCTCAGCGGATTCCCGGGGTCCCTACCCAGAGGCTACACAGGGTGAGTTGTCAGGGAGAAGACCCCCGAGACCACTATGATCTGAGGATCCTGGCTGGCTGGGCACACACGCGCACCTAGCCCCCCACACACAAGAATATTCTTGATGCCTCACTCTCTCCAGGCCAGAATCCTGGAGGGGGCAGCCGTTCCCTTCTCCAGGGGATCTTTCCAACCCAGGGATCGAACCCAGGTGTCCCGCATTGCGGGCAGATTCTCTACCAGCTGAGTAACGAGGGAAGCCCTTTTCAGAACAAGCTATGAAACATATGAAGAGGAAAGAATCCCACTTTTGGGGACTGAAAGGACCAGAATAACATGAGCCTTATAAGGCCATGAGCAAACCCAGTCTGCAGCAGACGGCGGGGAGGGCTGGGGCGAGAGGGCCTGCCCGGCGCGGCCTGACTCCTGGCATCACCCCCTGGAGAAACGCCCCTGCAGCAGCACCACTTCCACCGTCCCGACATCCAAGAGACAGAAGAAAGGCAGAGACCAGCAGGCCCGGGGGAAGCCTGCTGCCAGATTCCAGCCCTGGCCATTTTCTAGTTCGTGTGGCACATTAAAGCCAGGAGGCCCCTGGAAATCACCTGGGTAGAAGGCTCACAGAGCTGCTCACTGCAGTCCCCTGGGAAGCTCCTCTGAGGTGCAGACTCAGGGCCCTGCCCTGCGATTCTGTCCCGTTGGCCCAGAGGGGCCCAGGGAGCAGTATATTTAAAGCTCCCTGCTGCTCCACTGTGCCGACAGGGTTGAGAACTGCGGAATTACAGACTTTAGGGGGAAGAGACACACTGTCCGGAGCCAACAGCCCTGGGATGAGACCGCGGCTCTGCCCCGTGGCTGCAGACCAGGACCATGGCTTAACGTCCCGGAGCGGCCACGTGACAGGGTGAATAAGCGCTCTGCTTCCTGCCGTGAGGACTGAGCGAGATAACACACGCCCAGCACCGCGCGCCTCTCTGTGCCTCGGTTTCCACATCTGTGACATGGGGCAGCGATTCCTCCCTCCCAGGGTTCCAAGGAGTAAGGAAGGAGGCGTGTGAAACTGTTGGCAGAGGCTCTGGCAAGGATAAGTCCTCCCACACACCCAGGACACCACTTCCCTTCCCCCTCCCCCCTGCACCCCTCCAGTCACGGGGTCCCTGCACACGCTCATCGCTTCATGCTGCAGCCCAGCCACCCCTCACATACGAAGGGTCCTGGGCCCACCTGTCCCGTGCCACCCCCCACACAGTCACAAATCCCCTCACGGAATGAGCAGAGCGGGGCAGAAGCCCCAGGAAGTCGGAGGAGGGGCCCCCGACGTGGTGTCTATAAAACGGCCCTCACTGGGGGTGAGCACCAAGACCCCCGGGGAACCTCCTCAACACTCGACCCTGGTCCCACCGCGCAGACCCTGGCCTTCTGCTCCGGGGCGCACGCACCCACCCCCTGATGTCCGCTCTGAGAGACACAGCTCCCCTAGCAAGCCAAGAGCCTTGTGGGGTGCTGAATACAGTTTCCCGTGGGAAAACGCTCACCCTCTGTAATTAGGTCAAAAGGTGAGCAGGGAACCAGCACGTGCAATAAAATTATGGTTCCACAAAATGTGTGTGTGCACTTCACATACAAGGCAAAGAAGCTGAGCAGGATGTGTTCCAACGGTAGAATTAAAGGCTGCTCTTAGTATATCACTTTCTGCACTTTCCAACTTTTCTATAACAGATATGCATGACTATTACCAAAGAAGAAACTGAGAGAAAGAAAGGGAGAAGGAAAACATCCCGGGGAACACTGAGCAACGGGTGGGCCGGTGCAGGGCCCCTTGGGGGCCTGGAGCCGCCCGGCACAGACCCGCACGCTTCGGAGACGCTGAGTGAGGCGAGCAGCTCGCTGACAGCGTCTGGTCCTCACGTCCCATCCAGCCTCCGCTTCAAAGACCACACCGAAGGTTAGGCAGATCAGACAACGACCGCCGGGGTCTGGGATGTGGAGGGCGGGCGGGATCGAAACCAGAGAGCGCAGAGCTCGGCGCTGGAAGGGTCTGGAAGCCAACGGCGTGCCACCCAGGCTCTGCCTCCTCCCAGCTCCGTGACCTCAGGCTGATGACGTGTGTTCTCTGCGCCTATAAAACGGGGATGACAGAGTCCCCGCCAGAGTGCCTTTCGGACTAATGGAGGCGGGTGAGTCTCTTAGAACAGGGCCTGGTGGGTAATACGTGCAGAAGACGTGAAGGCCATTATTACCTGGCTCCAGAGCTGATAAACGCACCCAGACACCGCCCATCCGCCCCCGGGGGCAGGCATGATCCGCCTCGGTCGCCACAGTGCCTGGCATGGGCAGGCACTCAGTACAGAGATGCAGGCTGGAGGGGGGGAGGACGGGGCTGAAGGGCTGACCTGGGTGGGCAGGGGGCTTTGTAGGAAGAGCAAAGAGAGCCCCTGCCCGCCCCCTGCCCGCCGGCTGTGAACCCAGGGCCACCACTGGCCGCTCGACCTCCTGGGCGCCTCTCTGGGGCTGCACAAGGGGACCCACAATAAGCCCCTCTTCTCAAGCCTGCTCCGTTGGTCTCCTCCTGCGGCTGTGACAAACGACCACAAACTGAGTGACTTCACACAATACCGATGCATTAACTTGCAGCTGCAAAGGTCAGGCGCCCACAGAGCATTTCACTGGGGCAGAAGCAAGGTGCTGGCGGGGCCGGCTCCTGGGGGCTCTTGGGGGGAACCTGCCCCTTCGGGCCTCTGGAGCAGCCCTGCCCCGTGGCCCCTCGTCTTCAAAGCCAACGTGAATCTTTCGATCCGTCTCTGACCCTGCCCTGCCCCCCGCCTGGAAATCCTCGTGATTCCACTGGGCCCACCCAGGTGATGCCGGCCCGGAGGTAACACAGTCCATCTTGTCTGGATAAGCCAGGAGGGGGCAGGACAGGGACCTCCTGGGAGCCACTGAGAGTCCCTGCAGCCAGGCTGGGAGCCAACAGGAAATGCCAAGGCCGCGGGGGGCCGTGGGGATGGCGGTGGGAAGCGGCCTGCGTCCAGGAAAACAGGGAGCCAGAGCCCTGCTCTGGGCGCTCACGGCAGCCAGCCGTGAGCGCGCGGAGTTCAAAGTGCACCGGAAAGCAGGCTCCGCGAGCTCCCGCTGCAGTCAGACAGGCTCCAGCCCCGCTACGACCAGCTCCGCGACAGCTCCGGCAAACTGCTTCAATGCTCTAAGCCTCAGTTCCCCATCTGCAAAGCGGGCACAGCGAGTGGCCCCCCCGCTTGGGGCCGCGTCACCGGGAGATGAGATCGCGCACAGGAGACACGCTCGGGGAGGCAGCTGACCCCACGGCACCGGCCGGGCCAGCCCCTCTGCCCTGGAGGCCTCCCTTCCCGCTGGCCCATCCTCGGCCCCGCTAGTCGCGAGCCAGAGCCTGGTTCGGAGATTCTGCCTCCTTTTCACAGACACTGAGAATCGCCCTGCAGACCTGCCCCTCTGCCCATCAGAACTCGTTCATTCAGTGGGGACGCCTTCAGCACCGGCCCTGGACTGGCTCCGCGCTGAGCCGTGAGGACCCAGCGGCAGACAAAATACCCCCACCCGCCACCACGAACAACGCCTGTCCCCACGAAACCGCCCCCCCCACCTCGAGCATCACAAGACCCCACGTGGGCCAGAGGGGAGGGGGCTGCCTGACTCTGCTTCCGTCTCAAGGGAAGGGGCCCCACACAGAAGCACACCGGCAGAGTCGAGGCCACTCTGCCTGTCTCCCCAGATGGGGTCTATGCGTCTTTCCAGTGACAGCTTAAAACTGCTCTCCCAAGAGCTCAGAGAGGTCAAGTCAGCTCTCACAAGAGGCAGAGTTCCTACCCCCCAGTAAACCCACACAGAGGGGCTTGGCCGTGTGGAGCCGGCCACACCCCCCAGCGTGAACCAGGGTCTGGGGTCCTGAGCCTGGACCTGGAGTCGTCAGGGCACCCTTGAGGGGTAGCGTGAGGCTCAAACAGCTGGCCTCTGCTCAGAGAGGCCCTGGAGAATGAGCAGGCACCGTCGACCTGCAACCCCAGGTCTGTCTGACTCCTGGGGGGCAGAGCCCAACCTCCCTGAGCCTAGATCTCCCCACCTGTGAATGGGTAACAAACCAGGCACTTCCTGGAGAGGGGAGACGCAAATGGGACTGGGCGTTTAGCTTGGTGCCTGGTACACAGTGAACACGGTCACCATCATTCCTATTATCAGCTGCTGCTGCGGTTTCTATCATCTGACAGCGTGGCCCGCTGCGGAGAGAGAAGGCGGCCGCAGCCTGCTGGGCACTGTGAAGGACATACACAGTCCCAGCCACCCTCACCGCTGGACTGAGGAGGGGGGGACGACCCTGAAATTGCCCCAGGGGCCTTGGCACAGCACACTGGCATCAATGCCCTCAACTCTGCTTCCCCATCAGCCTGGCCGCCTCCAGCAGGCAACACCCCCACTCCAGGTGAAGGGACCTGGAAGTCCTCAGGCCTCAAGGCCAAAGATGGACCCAGCGGCCCTGACCAGGTCACCCGGGCCCCCCAGCAGCCTTGGGCGTCCTCGTGACACAGGCCCAGCCGACCCAGCTGTGATCCTCTGTAGCAGGGTCAGGGAGATGGATCCCACCCAGGGCTGCTGACTCCTGGGGGGCAGACCCCAGTGAGTTCCCCTAACGCCACATTCAGACTAGGCCCCAGAAGAACAAAAGCAAATCCATCCGGAGCAGCCAACACATGCCAGGAGGATACAGCACCGAATAAATGTTGATTTATGTACACCTCACAGAATTATCCCCATGGTACTGATTTATCATCCCCGTTTTACTGATTAAGAAAGAACTTTCAGAAAACAACTTTCCCAGTGACACACAGCTTGTGAGTAACAGGTGAGACTTGAAGCCAGCTCCGTGCAGCTCAGAACCAAGCTCCCGGGCCCTCGGACCCCGGACTCCAGGCCTCACTTCACACACCCAGCTCCCGCCTGGGATGCGGAAGGTTGGGGCAGTCCTGCCTCCCGCCCTCCCCAGCGTGGAGGCAGCAGCTCGGCCCTGATGTCGGCTCCGGGGTCAGGCAGCCCCTGCGTCTCCGCAGGGCGGGTAGGCAGCCAGGCAGAGCCCAAGGCCATTTCCAAGCCTCGGGGCAGGAGCCGTGAAGGAAATGAGTGAAAAGAGGTGAAACGTCCTCCACTGGGGAGTTTTGTTTTTCTCAAAGCAACGTTTGCTTAGTGACTAGGTTGGGGTAAATTTTTTTTAAAAAAAAGAAAGAAAATCAAGATTTTTTTTCTCCTTTCTCTCGGATAACAAGGAGAAGGAAAGCAATCTGGAATGGCTCTTCTCCCAGAGGAGACCAGAGTGGAAATTCACCATCCGGAGAAGGAGCTGGAACGTAAGTGAACAGAGACCAGGAAGGGAGGGAACGAAGCTGGGAGCCGCAGAGACTCTGGAGGAGGAGTCTCCTAGGCCTGGGGGCAGGCCCGCCCTCAGCCTGAGTCTGCAAAGTGGAGGGGCTGGACTGGAAGTCTCAGCACTCCCAGTGATGTCCACATTCCGCGGGCTGTGAATGTCTGCCCCAGTGAGGGAGCTCACAGTGATCGTCACTCACATGCCTGCCAAGGCCCTTTAGTCGTGTCTGACTCCCTGTTACCTGTGGACTGTGGCCCGCCAGGCCCCTGTCCGTGGGACTCTCCAGGCAAGAACACCGGAGTGGGCTGCCACGCCCTTCTGCAGGAGGTCTCTCTGACCCGGGGATGGACCCTGTGTCTCATGTCTCCCGCACTGGCCGGCAGGTCTCTAACCACTGGTACCACCCAGGTGTTGGCGGAACAGGCCCAGCCAGGAGTCAGAGGCGCGGTGACCCTGCCCCCGGCCCACGGCACCGGGAACATCCGGGCTGGTCAGGAGCAAGCCCGGTGTGGGTATAGAGTGCGTCCCCCACCAGCCTCTTATTCCTCAGGACGCTTTGAGGCGGATGCCATTGCCACCTTCCAGAGGCAGACACTGGGGCCCGGAGAGCTTCACAGGCAGCCCAGAGCCACCCAGCTAGCGAAGGGCTCAGGGAGGATTGGAAGCTCCAGGAGCTGGTGTTCATGGGGGCTGGGCTGACTCCAGGGGCAGCTGGAGGGCGGGCGGTGGGTAAAGCGGAGGCAGGGCTCCTGCCCAGAACCCGGCGACCCGCGCTGGGCCATCTCACAGAGCACAGCACCAGCTCCGGGGTGCCGCGACCAGGCCTCTGCGCAGGGCCAGCGCCGGCCAGACACCCCTTCCCCTCTGGACGCTGTCACCAAGCCTCCGGGACACACAGCGGAGGTGGGCAGGGCCGGGCCGGGCTGCCGTGTCCTGACCCAGAGACCAGGGAGTGAGGGTGGCCTGAGAGAGCCAAGAGCCAGACCCCTGGGAGGGGAGCCCTGGCTGGCTGGGCGCCCACTCCGCTTCTCTCTCACTCACACACACGTGCCCACTCAGTGGCTTCCTTATGAACACAGACCCCTCCCCTCTCTCCACTGGTGAATTCACGCTCCCGTGCTCAGCCAAGACCGCAGCCCACCCCCCCCCCCCCCCCCCCCCCCCCCCCCCCCCCCCCCCGACAGTGTCCCGGTCCCCTGGGCCCGCCTGGACGCGTCTGCATCCCTGCCCAGATGGAGTTTGCCGGTGGCTTCTCGCCCAGCCCACCCTGGAGGGACATAACCCCTGGGAGATCACCCAGGACGGGACTGCCAGGCCAGGTGCGGAAGCACTGATTCATTTCAGGTCCCCAGGCCGGGAGGAGAGCCTGGCCCCTGCTTCTGGCCGTAATCAGTTACCCAGGGGCAGGCCCAGCAGAAACCCTCCCGCAGTCCAGTCGCTCCCACAGGCAAACAGCACAAACAAGGTGTCCCAGGCTTGAATTTGAATCCAGAACTGCCTTGGCTCCAGGGGCCCTGGGCCACAACCTGCATCTCCAGGTTGGCAACATCTGCCTGAGAGTCAGCTTCCCAGATTCAGCTCACTCCAAGAAAACAAAACGAGGCTCAGATAGTCCCCACCTCCCAAACCAGGGAACCAGGATTTAAACTCCAGGTCCCAGATGCCCGGGCAATCAACCACTGAGGCTTTCCTTAGAAGTGAGAGTGAAAGTCGCTCAGCCGTGTCCCACCCTTTGCGACCCCATGGACTGTAGACCCCATGGACTGTAGACCCCGTGGACTGTAGACCCCGTGGACTGTAGACCCCGTGGACTGTAGACCCCGTGGACTGTAGACCCCGTGGACTGTAGACCCCGTGGACTGTAGACCCCGTGGACTGTAGACCCCATGGACTGTAGACCCCGTGGACTGTAGCCTGCCAGACTCCTCTGCCCATGGGCTTCTCCAAGCAAGAATACTGGAGTGGGCAGCCATTTCCTTCTCCAGGGGGGTCTTCCTGACCCCAGGATGGAACCCAGGTCTCTGGCATTTCAGGCAGATTCTTTACCACCTGAACCACCAGGGAAGAGGACTCTCTAAACACCCGGGTCCCCAAAGTCTGGCAGTCAGCAGCCACGAGCAGCGCTTAGAGCCCTGGGGTTCACGGCCCCCAGCCCCAAATGCACTGTCCAACGTGCCAAGACCACAGACGAACAGTGGTAAAACCGCCTTGATTACGAGCCCGCGATGTCCCCAGGGGTCTGACCCAACGGTGCTTCACTCTTCTATGGAGGCGGCAATGGCCCACTTTACAGACAAGAAAACCAAGACCTGGAGGGCTGAGACGGACACCAGGACGGTGGCCAGACCTGGCCCAGAGGGTGACGTGATACCCAGACTGCCAGCCGTTAGGCTGCTCTGCCTCAGACAGGCTCCCAGGTGGAGGAGGGCAGAGTCCCCAGCAGCAGTCACAGGAAAGGGGGCAGAATAAGCAGCAATGCCAAAGACCATGGCAGCAGGTGACAGCAGAGAGCTGTTAATTCCCAGCCACAACCCCGTGGAGGCGACACTTCATCGCTTCTCTGTTGCATAAACTGTCGGACTCTGGGGGCTTCCCTGTGGCTCACACAGCAAAGAATCTGCCTGCGATGCAGGAGACCCGGGTCTGATCCCTGGGTCGGGAAAAATCCCCTGGAGAAGGGCATGGCAACCCACTCCAGTATTCTTGCCTGGAGAATCCCCAAGGACAGAGGAGCCTGGGCGGGCTACAGTCCAGGGGGTCACAAAGGATTGGACACAATTGACTGACTGACACACACAGCCTGACTTTGGAGTGTTTCTGTGACTCCTTCCAGCCATACAGCTGGCAAGGGGCAAAGCCAGGGTGTGGAGCAAGACCTGCTTAGTATTTCAAGGCTCGTGGGGACAGTGAAGGAAAAAGCAACACGTTCAGGACTGACCTCTTCCCTCTGGCCTAGTAGGTCCTTAGGCAAGGCCTGCCCTGAGCCCCGGCGGCTGCAGCTCCACCCCTTCTCACACCTCCCGCCCAGCCTCTCCCCGTTTTCCAGCCGCCAAAGCAAAGGAAGGAGGCTCACTTACTGTGTCTGCGGCCGTGCGGGCTCTGCTTCGGGCTCTAGGTCTGCGGGAAGTCAACAGGAGCGTCCATCAGGCCGGCGGCCCAAGGGACTCAGCACACCCCGCCCCGTCCCCGGCCTCCCCCAGCCCCACAGTGTCCTGAGGGCCGCCCTGCCTGTCCTGCCGCCCCCCCCAGCCCACGGCCACAGCCCACCTCCTACCAGAACTGGTCGCCCTGATGGCTCTCACCTGCCCCCACCCTCAGCTCCCCAAGGAGCTCCTTGCCCCCAAGCCTGCAGGAAGTTCCTGCTGGTCTAGTCCCCAGTCCCTCCTGAGGACAGAGGCTGCTGTTTCACACAACCCTAACCCACAGGGCTCTGGGAGGAGGCTGCTCCAGCTGGGGTGACTCCCTGGAAGGAGCTGCGGGGAGGGGGAGCTTGGGAGAGACAAGCCCTGGGCGGTAACTGTCCCCGAAGCACAACCGACGGCCAGTCGCTTCCATTTACGACGTGCCAGAGCGCACCAGATGCTGCAGGCATGCTAGGAATCTCCAGGGCCCAAGGGAAGCGATGGGATGTAGCTTCTGCCCAACGGTCTCTCTTTGGTCCCCGCGTCCTGGGGACACCACGAGGCATCACGGGGAGCTGGAAGTCTCCAGGCGGCCCTGAGCGCCCTGGAGTCCTGCAGACCCTGAGCCGTGAAGACATCGGGCTCCCAGAGCACCTTACCGGCGACGGGGGTGGAGTCCAAGTGGATCAGGGGTGTGTCTGCCTCCGGCTCCTGCGCGGCGCCTGGGACGCCCAGGCCGGCATTGGTGTCCTCGTCATCGTCGCTGTCGTCAAATTCAAAGGCCTCGCCAGGGTCGTCTTCCGCCTCGGGGGAGGGGCCTGGGCCTCTGGGAAGCAGCGGATCTCCTGGAAGGAAGGAGGAGTTAGCCCGAGGCAGGGTCTCTGCGTTTGGTCCAGAGAGACGGCTGCAAGTGGGGAGCAGCTGGGGTCCAAGTGAGGGCAGGTCCCAGGGATGAGATCAAACCCATGCCCGGGCCAGGGGGCCCTCCTGTCCCCTGAGGGGCCTGGGGTTGGGTTGGGACTCTAAACAGACGGGCAGTCGGCGGAGAGCAGGGACAGGCTTCCGAGGTGAGTGCATCTGGGCTCGAATGCAAGGAAGCCTTTGACTTTCTTGTTTTCTATTTCCCTATTTTGTAAGCAAGGAGGGGTTTATAAATGCATCTGCCTGGGGAGTGGGGGCGGGCACACACCTTTGGGTGTATTTCCACGTGTCTGTTTCCATCTGTACATTTTGCATACGTGCAAATGAGCACGTCCAGCCTCGATGGGCGCCCTGAGCTGTTCTGCATGCACAAAGCAGGGAGCAGCTATCTGGGAGTGACTGAGCCTGAAGACAGCCAGTTTGGGGAACCAGAGCCCAGACCAGCTGCAGCGGGGCTGGGGGCCGCGCTCCGGGCCTGGAGGGCTTCCCAGCCTCAGAGCCTGCTGCTCCCTCCTGGGAGACCCCCTTTGGGGCCAGGTCTGCCTCGTCATCCCTCAAAGCTCAACTCAGGCGGGGCCGGCCCCCTGCCCGCATCCCTTCTCTGTCTTTGCATCCCGGTTTCTTCATCTGCTCCTATAACATGTGTAACGATTTGCTCTGCCCCCTTCAAGGGGACAGGTCCCGGCCTGGGGTATGTAGACGAACATCACCAGCCAGGTCGGTAAACAAAGGATGCGACAGGAATCAGGGCATCAGACACGCGGCGCCCCAGTGGCGCACCCTGGGGGGGTTCGGGGGAAAGAACAGGATGTAGAGAGCTGAAGCGCACACCGAAGAAATGACGTCAACAAGCCCAGCCTCTCGCATCTCCCACAAAAAGTGCGAAATTCATTAACCTGAGGGGTCTGGTCTTCCTGAACTGTGACCTTTTGAGGGTCTCACTGCCTGGTCTCTGTTGCAAGCACTCCATGTATCCTGGCTCCTCCCTGTCCTCTGCAGATCCTCAGAGCTACCTGAGAGCATCCTCCAGGGCTTCAGTCCTCAGTAAGTCCTCCAAGTGAAACATCATTCTCAGTTTCCAGGTTGTGCATTTTTTCTTAGTCAACAAGTGGAATTCGGGGCTTCCCAGGCGGCTCAGATGGTAAAGAATCTGCCTGCAGTGTGAGAGACCCGGGTTCGATCCCTGGGTCGGGAAGGTTCCCGGGAGAAGGAAATGGCAAACCCACTCCAGTATTCCTGCCTGGAGAACTCCATGGACAGAGGAGCCTGGCAGGTTACAGTCCATGGGGTCACAAAGAGTCGGAGACGACGGAGCAACTAACAGATGTAACTCAGAAACTTTCATTAAACGGGTGAAGAAGTGGACTCTCCGTCCTAAAGGGCACCACAAGCCCTTGCCTTCCCTCCTGTTTCATCCGGCTGAGGTCTCCTAGTCATCTTCCTTGGAAGACTTCTTTCCTGGAATCTGAACCTAAACAGAACCTCAAGTGTTCATTTAGCCCATCTCCCTGGCCCCTGCAAACCTCAGACACGGCGTAGGGACTGAGCAACAAGCTAGCTCATCCCAACCCAGGCGAAAGCCCAAGGACAGCGCGGCCAGGTTCAAGTCTAAAGCTGATCTCCCCTCCCTGGGCTGCCCTGAGCAGACCGCTCTCGGCTCCTGTCACACAGTTCAGGGCATGAGCTCTGGGCCCGCCGGGTCCTGTCTGGGCGCCTTTCACCTCTCTGAGCCTTCGCCTCCTCCCCCGTAAAGCGGAGGATGAAAGGCACCTCCCTTACAAAGCTGACGTGAGTGACCCAAGATGTAGGTCAGGGTTCCTCAGCCTCGCGTCCAGGCTGTGAGGTCTGTGTCTTGGGGCCACAACAGGAGGTGTACCAGCCTTCCTGGCTGTGACAACCAAAAGCATCTGCAGACATTGCCAGCCGAACGTCCCCTGGGGGACGAAACTGCCCCCAGTGGAGAACCGCTGGAGCAGATGTAGCTCTTGGCATACTGCCCGGGATGTGTTACACAATGATACCTGTTGTCATTTCTCCCCCTCCCAGCCTGAGGTCCCTGAGGACAGGGTTGTCCATAGATGCCTTGATAAGCAAGTGGGCGGGGAGGTGGATGGAGCAGAGAGGCAACTGGACAGACCGGCGGATGGACAGATGGGCGTATCTGATTCCGGTAGTCTCTCTGACGAGAAAAATCCAAAAATCCACAGAGACTGGGGGGAGGGGTTCCAGGGCAGAATGTTCTAGGTGCAAGTGTACGAAATTCAAGAAACCCCTTCCGGGACTTCCCTGGCGGTCCAGAGGTTCAGACTTCGACTTCTAATGCAGGAGGTGTGGGTTCGATGCCTGCCCAGGTGCCATGTGACCAAAGTGGGAGGGGTGGTATTAAAATGTAGGTGCGATATTGTAACAAATTCAATAAAACCTTTTTGAAAAATGATCCACATCAAAAAAAATCTTAAAGAGAAAAAGCAGCAGCCCCTTCCTCCACTGCGTGAGCACAGTAGAAAGCCGGAGCTCACCCTCCTGCCTGACTCCCAGGGGAGTGGTGGGTCTCTTGACTACTTTGCTCGTGGAGATGAGAAAGAGGAACCTTCGCTAAGGACCTGGATGCCTGGACTACGCATTTTGAGTGGCCTCAAGGGTGTTACCTATAGAATACCTGACGTCCCAGTGCCCCAAGTGACCGAAACACGACCAATGAGGCGGGGGTGCAGGCCCTGCCCCTGGGAGCTCTGGGGACCCTAAGGCCCAGGTCATCAGGGTGGACTCCTCTGGGCGGTGACGTGGCCAGGGGCACGAGCTCCTCCCCCGGAGGTGGAGAAGCAGACACCTGGGGTCTATGATGAGCCCACGTGACTCTTGCCAAAGCCTCACAAACACCCCCACTTTTCACGAGGCCACAGAGATTTCTGGAGGTGAGCTGAAGCACCCAGTCATCCAGCTGAAAGTGGGGAGCCAGGTTTGAACCCTGATCTGCTGGGGTTCCCACTCTCCACTCAGCCCAGAGGCCTCCTGGAAGTCTCTCTAGAGCCCCTGGACTCTTGACCCCATGATGCTGAATTCAAGAGGAAATCCAGAGGCTGCATCAGAGGCCAGATTCAGTTCAGTTCAGTTCAGTTCAGTTCAGTCGCTCAGTCGTGTCCAACTCTTTACATCCCCATGAACTGCAGCACACCAGGCCTCCCTGTCCATCACCAACTCCTGGAGTTTGCTCAAACTCATGCCCATCGAGTCGGTGATGCCATCCAGCCATCTCATCCTCTGTCGTCCCTTCCTCCTCCTGCCCAGCCACTGTTTCCACTGTTTCCCCATCTATTTCCCATGAAGTGATGGGACCAGTTGCCATGATCTTAGTTTTCTGAATGTTGAGCTTTAAGCCAACTTTTTTACTGTCCTCTTTCACTTTCATCAAGAGGTTTTTTAGTTCCTCTTCACTTTCTGTCATAAGGGTGGTGTCATCTGCATATGAGGTTATTGATATTTCTCCCAGCAATATTAGTAATCTTCAAATGGTTTTCAACCCACTGGTGGATCATAAAATCAATTAGGGGGCTCCCGGGAAGCTTTTTGCTTAATAAATTGCTTACTGAAGATGTTTTTTAAAATTTTATAATACTAATAGTCTTTCCCTGGTGGCTCAGTCGGTAAAGAATCCGCCTGCAATGCAGGAGACCCACCTGAGTGCAAGAGACCTGAGTTCGATCCCTGGGCTGGAAAGATCCCTGCAGAAGGAAATGACCACTATTCTTGCGTGGAGAACCCCACGGACAGAGGAGCCTGGCGGGCTACAGTCCATCGGGAAGCAAGAGTCAGACATGACGACTCAGCCACCACCGCGCCATTAAGAAACTCACATGTGGCATTACTTCTGCTGTTGCTGCCAGCCCTTCCGTTCCGGATTTGTGCCTGCAGCACACACATGCACACAGGTGTAGCGCAGACCCTCCTAGCGCTCTCCCCGCTCACTCCCCGCAGCCGCGCGGCCCTCCTCGCTGGGCCACGCAAGTGTCCGCGCTGCTGCTGCCTCGGGACTTTGCACCTCAGTCCTGGGGTCCAGGCTGCCCTTTCCCCGGGAGCGTCTCCCGCCCTCGGGCCCTCCAGGTCTGTTTACCACCTGCGCCCCCACCGAGGCGGCGGGGCCAGAACTCCCAGGGTGACACCTGTGGCTCCCGACGCGCCTTGCCCGCCTTGCCCATCTCTGCAGCCCTCATCCGCACGTGGCAGGCTGCACTTCCCCGTCTCTCTGTCTGTCTCCTCTGCTAGAGCGCAGGCCTCCTGAGGGCAGGTGCTCCAGTCTGTTTCACTCACCGTCGCACTCCCAGCACCTGGCACTGTGCCCAGCACACGACAGGCACGGAATAAGGAATTGCCGAATACACACATGCGCTCCTATCGGCAGGTCTATGGGCTGCAGTTTTAAATGATTTTTTAAAATACTGGAATACGGCTTCCCAGTGGCTTAGTGATAAAGAATCTGCCTGCCAGTGCACGAGACACAGGGTCAGTCCCCGGTGCAGGAAGATCCCACCTGCCGGGGGGCAGCTGAGCCCCAGAGCCACGACTACTGAGAGCCGGCGCTCCACACCTGGAGAAGCCGCCGCGATGAGGAGCCCAGGGCGTCTCCAGTGGTCCCCGGGGTGAGAATCCGCCATCAATGAGGGGGACAAGGGCTCGATCGCTGGCCTGGGAAGACGCCACAGAGCAACAAAGCCTCTGCACCTCCACCTGCTGAAGCCCGACAGGGCCCGAGCTCCGCAGGAAGAGAAGCCGCTGCAGGGGGAAGCCTGTGCCCCGCGACGAGAGAGAAGGCCGCACGCCAAGGAAGACCAGCCCAGGCGAGAATGCAGAAACAAATAAAACTTAAAAACTGAGATGCCCGCATGGCAAGGAAGACCAGCCCAGGCGAGAATGCAGAAACAAATAAAACTTAAAAACTGAGATGCCCGCATGGCAAGGAAGACCAGCCCAGGCGAGAATGCAGAAACAAATAAAACTTAAAAACTGAGATGCCCGCATGGCAAGGAAGACCAGCCCAGGCGAGAATGCAGAAACAAATAAAACTTAAAAACTGAGATGCCCGCATGGCAAGGAAGACCAGCCCAGGCGAGAATGCAGAAACAAATAAAACTTAAAAACTGAGATGCCCGCATGGCAAGGAAGACCAGCCCAGGCGAGAATGCAGAAACAAATAAAACTTAAAAACTGAGATGCCCGCATGGCAAGGAAGACCAGCCCAGGCGAGAATGCAGAAACAAATAAAACTTAAAAACTGAGATGCCCGCATGGCAAGGAAGACCAGCCCAGGCGAGAATGCAGAAACAAATAAAACTTAAAAACTGAGATGCCCGCATGGCAAGGAAGACCAGCCCAGGCGAGAATGCAGAAACAAATAAAACTTAAAAACTGAGATGCCCGCATGGCAAGGAAGACCAGCCCAGGCGAGAATGCAGAAACAAATAAAACTTAAAAACTGAGATGCCCGCATGGCAAGGAAGACCAGCCCAGGCGAGAATGCAGAAATAAATAAAACTTAAAAACTGAGATGCCCGCGTGGCAAGGAAGACCAGCCCAGGCGAGAATGCAGAAATAAATAAAACTTAAAAAAAATGAGATACCCGCACGCCAAAACCTGGAGTGGCCTCGGCTCGCCTCAACTAGAGGAAGGCCACACAGCCGTGAAGATCCAGCGGAGCCGAAAATAAACAAATACAAAAAGTTGTTTTTAAAAATACTGGAATAAGTGACCACGAAGTCCCTGCCCACAACTATTTCTGGGCTACCAGAGGCAGACCTGTCCTGACCAAGGAGGCTTCAGGGCCCACGGTCTTGCCCACTTGCATCTGCTGGGCGGACGGTGGGGAGCGTCCCCTTTGCAAGCGGCCTGCGTCGCTGCAGTGACGAGCCTGAGTTCAGACCCCAGCTCTCCTATAAACTGGCTGCCGTTTAAGTGTCGCCTTATTTCACCCTCAGGCTGCAGTTTCGTGATCCATCGAATGAGAACAGCAAGAGTATCTGCCTGACAGAGCACTGGGAGGATGGGATGAGCTGGCACATACTAAAGCACCCCTGGGAGGCAGGGGCTCACAGGCTAAATGTGAGCGACGCTTACGATGATGATTCCATGTATCGTCACGGTCGTCGTATCATCACCATTATCGTGGTGTTCAGTCACTCGGTCGTGTCTGAGTCTGGGCGACTCTGCACTGTAGGCCTCCACGCTCCTCTGCCGTGGCATTCTCCAGGCAAGAACACTGGAGTGAGCTGCCATTTCCTCCTCCAGGGGATCTGCCCCACCCAGGGATCAAACCCGCATCTCCTGTGTCCCCTGCATTGCAGGCGGATTCTTTACTCACTGAGCCGTCGGGGAAGCCCCAATCATCATCGCGATGACTATTATTATCGCTTTGAGTCATATAGCCCAGGCCCTGACCCCGGGTGAGATGGAGACAGCCTCCCCATCCACAGACCAGGCGCAGCCCCAGGCGACCCAGGCCCCGGGCTGTGTCCAGGGACTTAGGTTACTTTTGTATTTTCTCTCTTTGTTGTGGTTGTTCAGTTGCTAAGTCCTGTCTGACTCTTTGTGACCCTACAGACTGTGGCCTCCAGGCTCCTCTGTCCAAGGGATTCTCCAGGCAAGAATACTGGAGTGGGTTGCCATGCCCTCCTCCAGGGGATCTTCCCCACCCAGGGATCGAAGTGGCATCTCCTGGGTCTCCTGCATTGGCAGGCAGATTCTTTACCAAGCCACCTAAAAGGACAAACGACAGGGCTTCCCTCATGGTCCAGTGGTTAAGAACCCACACTGCAATGCAGTAGATGCAGGGGACTGGTCAGGAGCTAAGCTCCCACGTGCTGGGGAGCAGCTGAGCCCACCCGCCACAAGGACTGAGGCCAACGAGTCACAACAGAAGCCCCTGCCTGACAGGACACAGAGCCCACGTGCCGCAACTGAGACCCGACACAGCCAAGTAAACACTACATTTTAAAAATCAAAAAAAGAATACAAATAGCTTCGGTCAGCCCAGCAATCTATCAGTTCAGTTCAGTTCAGTCACTCAGTCATGTCCGACTCTTTGCAACCCCATGAACCGCAGCACGCCAGGCCTCCCTGTCCATCGCCATCTCCTAGAGTTTACTCACACTCATGTCCATTGAGTCGGTGATGCCATCCAACCATCTCATCCTCTGTCGTCCCCTTCTCCTCCCGCCTTCAATCTTTCCCAGCATCAGGGTCTTTTCTAGTGAGTCAGCTCTTCGAATCAGGTGGCCAAACTACTGGAGCTTAAGCTTCAGCATCAGTCCTTCCAATCAATATTTGGGACTGATTTCCTTTAGGATGGACTAATTGAATCATACAGATTGTACAGTATCCAGTGAACTGTTCCCAGGAACCCCTGGGCCAAAAGATTGCAACAAAAGAAAGACATGGTCCCTCAATGTCAAGGAGTTCACTGCAGGGTGAGGCAGGCAGATCTGACCAGAGAAAAATGTAAACCCCAAAGACTGAGCCAGGGCTAAAGAAAGGAGGGGGCTTGAGCTTGCCAGGGCCTGGGGCACAGCTCTGGCACCAGGCTGCCCTTGTGCAGGGCCTGAAACAGGGAGCAAGGGCCTGACAGGCTCAGGTTGTGGGGCGGCCGGGGCCACAGCAGGGGCAGAGAACAACAGCGAGGGGCCCAGTGCAAGCGAAGATGCAAGTGAGGATGACAGGGTGAGAACACCGCTTCGAGGAGGTGGGGGGATTAGAATTTATCTGGGAAGACAGCGCGAAGCTCTCAGAGAATTGGAAAGAGTGGCCAAGAGCCTGCTTCAACCAGATATCAGCCTGTAACATCAGACACACCCATCAAATGTTTCCTTAAAGAAACTGAATTGATTTCATCATAAAGTAATTGCTCTCAGCTTGCACGTCTGGCCCCTTGGTGTGGAGGAGAAAGGGTGCGGGGTGCCGACGACAGGGACGGGGGACATCCTGGAACCCAAAGCCACAGCCATGAATCAGGAAATGCCCTTTCCCCCAGACTCTGTTCCCAGGGTCCTGAGACCCAGAAAACTAGCCGTGGCGCCTTATCAGAAGGGAAAGTCAGATGGCCCATCCCTGGGTGACTGAGAGCTGAACTGAGTTCTCCCCACCTAGACTGACAGACGGCAGGACTGGAGGGAGCCACACACGCCTGTGATGTTCCTGGACATTCCCCTTCTCCAGAGAGCCAACCCCAGTGAGCCCCCAGCGAGTCCAGGGGGCCGGAACCCAGGAAGCCAGCCCACGCTATGCAGGAGGCGGGCCCAGCATGCTGGTCCCCTACCCGCCATAGAAGGACACGGAGGTTCAAGGGGGAAGAGATTCCTCCTGGGCTCGGCCCCAGGGTACAGAGCGGAACACAGGCAGCCAGTCCTGCCAACGCCCAGTGATAACATTTCCCAGGCACTGCGCCATTGGTTAGCACACGCCAGGACCCCACCTGTACCTAAAGCCTGCAATCACATGGGAGAGGCTGTCATTATTAACACCCTGCTTGTGAGCCATGAGACAGCCAGAGAGACACCAAGGCCCTGGGCCGGGCCCACGGCGATAGCCGCAGGGTTGGACTCGGGAAGCAGCCCTGTTCATTACCATTCTGCATCGGCCGCCCCCCAGGAAGAACAAGAGGACAGGAAGCTGGGCCCAGCAGGACAGACGGCCTCGAGACCAGCTCCTCCGTGGTCCAGATCTACCAGCAGTGTCCAGGGCCCACTGTTAGGATCGCCATGTAAAAATACAGGACATCAAACTGAATTTCCATGAAAAATTTTTTTTCAGCTTAAGTATGTATTTTTCCTTTTTTTTTTTCGCCAACTCTGGCCACCCCACCACGGCTGGACGGCCCGGCTTTGGTGCCTCAGCAGATGGAGACGGATGGGCAGCCCCCACCACCCCCCCGCCCCAGCCCCTGCCTCCCACTCGCAGCTCTTTAGTTTTACCCCCGAGGGCGCCTCAGCCCCAGGGGTCCTGCTCACCTCCCCAGGGGCCCTCAGGTGGGCAGGCGAAGAGTCTCCAACCCCCGCCCAGAGCCCACCTCCTATTATTTCCCTGTTGCAGAGGCCACTGGCCCAAGGACACCCAGCTAACCGCCAGTGGGGCCAGATTCACACCCAGGGTCCGAGGCCCTGGGCGGGATGCAGGAGGAGAGGACCGTACCTACGGCAGCCTGCGGAGGACGGGAGGAAGCCATCAGACGGGGCGCAGCTCAGACCAGCACTGTCCAGCCGCTCTCCTGTGAAGAGAAGGCCAGGAATCTGATTAGAGGGCGTTTGAGGCCAAAGTTCCAGCCACAGAGAGGGGTCACTGGCTGGCAACCCACAGGTGCACGTCAGCCAACCGCTCTCAGCCTGTTTCCCAGCAGCTTCGGGAGCCCAGGACGGCGCGAGCATGGTGAATCATTAACCCGCAGAGAGACCAGCAGCTGCAGGACGGCCACCCACCGCCCGGGAGGCCCTGCCAGCCCAGCCTCCCTCTGCCCAGCCAGCGCCTCCGAGCTGGGCCCGCAGGTGGCCCCTCTCCAGCCTCGGACGCCAGATCACGCTCAGCCCCCGCGTTCCAGAAGCCGGATCAGCCTGAAGGGTCACGGGCACGGCCGGACGCTTCCTGCTCGTGGCTGCTCGGTCACCACGGGTGCCCTGGGGCCACCCCAGCCCCGTGGGCCCCACCAAAGGCCGCCCACTCTCTCTCTGTCTCCCCCTGCGCTGCCCATGAGCTTGGCCGGCAGGCACGTGGGTGTGAGGGAAGGAAAGGGCTTCGTGGAGGCAGATGGCTCCAGATCGGGGCGGAACCCCAAATGCCCGGAGCAGAGGGGGCAGTGTCTCCAGGCCTGGCGGTGGAGGAGCCCGCGACGGAGCCGCCAGAGCCTCCGCTGGGCTTGCTGGGCCCTGGGGCACCCTTGCCAGGCGCACCCCGCCGAGCTCTCCCCACTCCCTCTCTGCACCCCAGAGTCTGAGCTGGGGGAGGAGGGGCTTGACCCTGGAGGGAAAGCTCCAAACCTCTTTTCTAATCAGTGCCTGGTGCAGACTGGCTGCCGGCCTGTTCTCCTTTCCAACCCTAAAGCCTCTGTTTACAGTAACTGGCCTCCTAAATAAAAACAGAATGCATGTAAATAGCAATTGATAAATAATAGTAAATATCTATGCAGTCAGTGCCTACTATACCTCAGACCTTATTCTGAGCACTTTACAAATATTAATATCTGTTCATCCAAATTAGGACAAAAATGAGGCCCAGAGAAGTTAAGTAAAGTAGCCCAAGATCACACAGCTAGTGACCGGCAGAGCCAGGGCGTGAACCCAGTCCATGGACCCACCGTGTGCTCATTATATTACCACGTGCTCCACCGTCTCTCAAAGTCCAACCAGAGCGGAGGCTGTACAATGAAAAATCAGTCTCTCAGATTCCCCAGGAGTGACCGCTGTCACACATGTCTAGGAATCCTTCCAGAACTATGCCGTGTATGTGTCAGCCTGTTTATCTGTATATATGCCTTCTTTATACAGAAGGAAGCGCACTGCATACCCTGTGGTACAACCACCTTTTTAAAATTGAAGTATAGTTTAATAAACTATGGAAAATTCTGAAGGAGATGGGCATACCAGACCACCTGACCCACCTCTTGAGAAACCTGTATGCAGGTCAGGAAGCAACAGTTAGAACTGGACATGGAACAACAGACTTGTTCCAAACAGGAAAAGGAGTACGTCAAGGCTGCATATTGTCACCCTGCTTATTTAACTTATATGCAGAGTACATCATGAGAAACGCTGGGCTGGAGGAAGCACACGCTGGAATCAAGATTGCTGGGAGAAATATCAATAACCTCAGATACGCAGATGACACCACCCTTATGGCAGAAAGTGAAGATGAACTACAAAGCCTCTTGATGAAAGTGAAAGAGGAGAGTGAAAAAGTTGGCTTAAAGCTCAACATTCAGAAAACTAAGATCATGGCATCTGGCCCCATCACTTCATGGGAAAGAGATGGGGAAACAGTAGAAACAGTGTCAGATTTTATTTTTCTGGGCTCCAAAATCACCGCAGATGGCGATCACAGCCATGAAATTAAACAACACTTATTCCTTGGATGGAAAGTTATGACCAACCTAGACAGCACATTAAAAGGCAGAGACATTACTTTGCCAACAAAGGTCCGTCTAGTCAAGGCTATGGTTTTTCCAGTGGTCATGTATGGATGTGAGAGTTGGACTGTGAAGAAATCTGAGCACCGAAAAATTGATGCTTTTGAACTGTGGTGTTGGAGAAGACTCTTGAGAGTCCCTTGGACTGCAAGGATATCCAACCAGTCCATCCTAAAGGAGATCAGCCCTAGGTGTTCATTGGAAGGACTGATGCTGAAGCTGAAACTCCAATATTTTGGCCACCCGATGTGAAGAGTTGACTCATTGGAAAAGACCCTGATGCTGGGAGGGATTGGGGGCAGGAGGAGAAGGGGAACGACAGAGGATGAGATGGCTGGATGGCATCACCAACTCGATGGACATGAGTTTGAGTAAACTCTGGGAGTTGGTAATGAAGAGGGAGGCCTGACGTGCTGTGATTCATGGGGTCGCAAAGAGTCGGACACGACTGAGCGAGTGAACTGAACTGATCGTTTATTTACGGCCTCCCAGGTGGCACTAGGGGTAAAGAACCTGCCTGCTAACGCAGGAGACTTAAGAGATGTGGGCTCTATCCCTGGGTCGGGAAGATCCCCTGGAGGAGAAAATGGCAACCCACTCCAATATTCTTGTCTGGAAAAGTCTGTGGACAAAGAAGCCTGGTAGGCTACCGTCCATAGGGTTGCAAAGAGTCGGACACGACTGAAGAGAGTCAGCACACACGTGGTTTATTTACAAAGTTCCAGTCTACAGCAAAGTGATTCAGTTATATGTGTGGCGTGTGTGTATACATACGCACACGTATCTATTCTTTTTCAGATTCTTTTCCATTACAGGCTTTTACATGATATCGAATGGTTCCCTGTGCTACACAGATTGTTTATGTATTTAATACATGTGCGTGCATGCTAAGTCAATTCAGTCGGGTCCGACCCTTGGCGACCCCACGGACTGTAACCTGCCAGGCTCCTCTGTCCACGGGATTCTCCAGGCAAGAAGCCTGGAGCGGGTTGCCATTTCCTCCTCTGGTCTCTTGCACTGTCTTCGGCTTGCAGGCAGACTCTACCGCTGAGCCACCGGGGAAGCCCATTTTACACACAGTAGTGTGTCCGTCTCAAACTCCTAATCCACCCGTCCACCCCCGCTTTCCCCTTTGATAATCGTTAGTTTGCTGTCTACGTCTGTTTTGTAAAAAAATTCGTGTGTGTCGGTTTTTAAGATTTCACATATGAGTGACATTACAGATTTCTCTTTCCCTGTCTCATTTACTTCACTCAGCAGCTCCTCCTTTTTCGCCACGTGCAGCATGTGGGAACCTATCAGGAGCCCCCCAACCAGGGATCGAACCCACAACCCCCGCAGGGGGACGGCAGACTCAGCCAGGCGTCACCCGGGAAGCCCTGGCAACCCCTGTCTCTGCTGGGAACCTCCCAGGTCGCGTCAGAGCAGCAGGTGCACAGACGTCAGTCACATTTCTAACGCGCGCAGAGCACCGGGGCGGACGTCTACCACGACTGACACAGCCCTGAGTGGACACCAACGTCGTTTCCAGGCTTTGATGCTACAAACCGTTCTCCACATACTTGGCCTTGAGCCACGGATGCGTGAACCTCTGGGGCACCCTCCGAGGCGGGATGGGCTGGGTCAGAGATTTGCACTTTTCATTCTGATTAAAAACCAATTGCTCTCCACAAAGTGCGTGACTGCATCTTTCAGTTCCACGCTAAAAACTCTCAGCAAAGGGTTGGGGAAGATTTAAGAGATGTGGGCTTGATCCCTGGGTCGGGAAGACGCCCTGGAGGAGGAAATGGCAAACTTCTCCAGTGTCCTTGCCTGGGAAAGTGGACGGGCAGAGGAGCCTGGCTTCTCCAGTGTCCTTGCCTGGGAAAGTGGACGGGCAGAGGAGCCTGGCTTCTCCAGTGTCCTTGCCTGGGAAAGTCGACGGGCAGAGGAGCCTGGCTGGCCCCCACCTATGAGGTCGCAGACAGTCGGACAGGACTGAAGCGACCTCGCACGCAGCCCCAGGCACAGCGATTAACTCGAGGAGCAAACAGACACCTATTTTCACTTCTCTACTCCTGGGCAAGGACACACGCCAACGAGCCCCCAGCACACCCAGAGCCTGTGACGATCCTTCTGCACATGTGCGCCAGGGCTCAGGATGAGTGAGTGCGGAGGGCTGGCTCAGAGCAGCCAGGGGCCCTGCGAGAGACCCTCCCGGCACAGCAGTCAGCATAGAGTTCACCGCTCCCTGACACCGCCTGGGGCCCACGGCTCAGGGGCCATCTTACCGAGGAGGAGCTATTTAACACCACCTCTGGGCTTCAGTTCATTCATCTGCAACATGGGGCTTAAAAAGGACCGACCTCATGGGGTTCTCAAGAAAATTAAGAGTAAATACAGGTAACACTCTTGGAAGGGTCCTTGGGACATACCGCTCTTCGGCTGTCATTAGCGTGCAGGGCACAGGCTGTGACGGCCCCGCTCTGCCGTGGGACCCAGGCTGGAAGGTTCTTCTCCACTGGCAGGTGACCTGAGCCTCAGTGTCCCCATCTACAAAGCTGGGGTCCTCGGACCTGGCCCACGGGACTCTCACCAGCACCCAAGCTGAGCCTCAGAGCCCTGGCAGGCTCGGTCGGTGCTAAGATGCCCGTCCTTGATGCCACCACCAAAACGGGAGCAGTGACTGGGACCATGCATCTGGATCCTGCACCCCAGGGCGTAAGAGACCCTGAAGGGGGCTCACGGGGGAACCTGGGGGCTTCAAGCTGTGGGGACCTGGGCGAAGTCAGACCCAGCTGCAGGCGGGGTTCCGCCTCGTCCCTGCGGTGGGACCCCAGGCCTCCTCTTGGCCTCCCAGAGCTCCGGGCTACATCTCCGTAAAGTGGGCAGGACAGCCCCTGCCCGGAGGATGCCACAGGCTGGCAGGACCAGGAGCCGGTGTCGGCGTGAATGTGCGGAAGAAGCGGGTGGGGCGGCTTGGCTCCTTGTTTCGTTTTTTAAAGTCTCCCCTGAGCTGCGTGTGGCCTGGAAGCTTCAGGGTGCGAGGCTGAGCCGGGAGAAATGTGCGGTGATGCCCCTAAAACGAGCCTCTCTCTGAAAAGCGACCCAGA